TACAAGGCTCTTCTCTCAATATAACAGTGCACTAGGAAGTAGGCAGGCCTGCGTCCCAGCCCGTTGCCACCCACGGACCTTAGCAAACCTGTCTGAACCTCAGATGTGGTCTGAAGGCGTGAGGGCCTGGCAGTGGTCAGGCCCGAGCAAGGCCAGAGCTAGACAGCAGGGGCACACCAGGCCTCCAGATGCTTCTGGGACCAGCCAGTCCTTCTCAGTCCCTCCTTCCCCCCAGTCCCAGCCTATGTTTGGCCTGAGCCACCTCCACCATGACAACAATCCAGGAGCCTGATGAAAAAGCAAAGAGCCCCCCCCCAACCCCAGTCCTCCCTGTAGGAGGCACCTATGAATAAATGATGTAAAAGCCAAATAACCAAGTAAAGCCAGGAAACGCTCCGTCAAAAATAAATCAGCAGGAGAAATAAAGATAAGGGTCTGACGGGCCGTGGAAATGAGGTGGCAATCAACTCACCTAAGCAGCAAGTTCAGAACCCAGCTAAAGCTCAAGCAAGAGCTACAAACAGGATAAATGTCTGCTAGAGGAAAATGCTATTTTTAGCGGTAAGACTATCAGAGATCTCCATGCATACTAAGCCCCTGACATTCTGAGTGACATTTGCTTTCTGGGAGCTCCTAAGCCTGACTATAAGCCAAGATAGAAAGATTAAAAATAATTGACAATGCTACAATTAAAAAAAAAAAGGACCAGATCCCCCAAACTAGTGTCCAACCGCAGTGCCTGACACAGAGCTGGCCTTCAATACCAAGTGCCAGGAAGTGGAAGGAATTCAGCCCACAGCTGAACAATCTCGGGGCCTGAGTGATAATCAACGTTAGACAGTCCTTATGCAAAGTCAGATTAGCTCCCGAGGAGCAATGCACCCAAACTCCAGGGCTGCTGAGCTCCTCATAAACACAGACACCCCACTGCATCTAACACCAGGACCCGTGAACCGCAGCAGCCAACTGTGATCTCACATGACACAGGGACATGGAAAGTGGGCTCTTACCTTCCACCAATTTCCAAATCAAAGACAAAGGCAGGAGGGTTTATGCTTTGAAGTACCACTTAATCTGGTCAAATGGTTACAGAGAACTACCTATTTGCAAATTAAGTATCCAGGGGCTAATTACAGATCCAATCATTTTACTCTATTTTTCATTTCCAAGTTTTGGGGGAAAATGACTTTTAGTTAGGAACCAAGCTGATCATGTCTGCTTAACCCACTAAGTGACATTTATGAATCTCTGTCAGAACTTTTCTCCCCATCACCCACCCACATCCCCAACTTTGGACAGGGGGGCAAATGTTGCCTGTCAATCTTGGTACCCTACTTAGGGAATTAAGCTACAATGAACACGGGCATCTGAATGGATGCCCAAAGCTGAACGACCCAACCCTTGAAGACAGAATGATCAACATGCCCACTTCCCACCTTGGGCAAGGCCAGCCTGCACCTGGAGGCTCAGGCCAGGCTGTTCACAAAGGTACCTGGTCGTCGGCGGGTGGGGGGGGGCACCCTTTCAGGGAGGATGACAGTTGCTCTCCACTGAGGACTCCAAGTGACATGAGTCACACAATGTAGGGCCCTTCTCCAGGCAGTAAGTAGTCACTGCCAAGAAGGAAGAGGCAGAGCTGCTCTGGCCCTGCCTGATCCATGGCCATGTGCCACAGGACACTGTCCCCCCACCATCATTTCCAAGGGGCAGGATCAAGGAGTTACTCGATTTTAAGTCCTCTAGTTTTCAATGTTTTTGAGAAAGTGCTTGTCCCTTGAACACTTCTCTTTTGTATCCACCAATGTGACCCATGCTCAGCAGCAACTATCACTGTAAAAATGCTCTACCTGCCAACGAGTGTCCTCCAAGTCATCAATGAGTCCCCAGCAGAGAGAGGAGGATGCTCAGGCTCATGGAATTTTGCAAAATCTAATGTGCCAAACGCTAAATAAAGAAAAATCTTTTCTCTCTCACTTGGATGTATAACAATGGATAAACCTCTTGGGCCTAGTAAAGTCAGATTCTTCAACTAACATCAAAAATAAGAAGACCTATCAAAGAGCATTATCCTGAGGACAAAATTAAATGAGGTGTGTGAAAGAGACTGCACATTTTAAATTTTAAAATAAATATTACAAAAATAAGCCATGTGGTTTATCAGCATTATAATTCTGAATCCATAGAAATCACTCCTCAGTGGGCAGTGAGTGCGTGAAACTAGGAATCTAGAATCTAGAATCGGAAAAGTTTCCTGCAAGTGACCTCCAATTTGAGAGATTCCACATGGTCCTATTAGTAATGAAGAGGAGTGTCACAAGAAAGGGGATGAAAGTCAGATATAACAAAATGAAATCCAACACGGAGGAAATGAAGCCCTGACTAGTAGTAATCTTGATTGGGTTAAGGTAATCTGTAGGCACACCCTAGCTGCCTACAAGAACAATATCATCCTAGTCCTCAAATTATCACCTCAATTCTCACGTATAATGTCTGGTACATGACTAAAAATACTCAGGCACATGAGGAGAAAAGACAATATGTTCAAACACTAAGAGGAAAACAGATAAGAGAAAATGAGTGTATAATAATGAAGTTTTCAGGAATTTTAAATGAATCATGCTGACTATGTTCAAGGAAACAAACAATAAGATTAAGAATTCTGACATACAACTGAGTGACTTAAAAAATGGAACACACAAAGAAGTCATCTCGAAAGCTCTCGGTTGATGAACCTTATCTAGTGACAGTCAGCTATGTGGCTGTGACCCATGAGTTTGGCCAGGAGAAATCCTGGGCAGTGTAGCACCCTAAGAGCCTGGGCCAGGGAGCTAGTCTGGGTTGAAAACCTGACCTTATTATTTACTAGTTGCCTTTGGGGAGGCCAAGATGGCTATGGTTAAGCTCCCTGGCCAAGGCTCCAGCAGGCTGTTTTTAGTGTGTGGCCAAAGTCATGAACACCCTGACGCAGGGCAGACACTCGAGGGCGTGAACACCCTGACGCAGCGCAGGCACTTGGGGGCATGAACACCCTGACACAGTGTAGGCATGGAGGGCGTGAACACCCTGACACAGTGTAGGCACTGGAGGGTGTGAACATCTGCTTGTGAGCAGGTGCCCACTTACCTACCTGCTGGTTACCTAATGATGTGCCTTCTTTGTCTGGGCTGCATATAGATCTAAAGGCCCAAGGGGGTTGGCTGGGTCTACTGCTGCCTCCAAATAAAGCATGTCTACTGTCCCACTGCGTCTCACCTCTTCGGCCACCTACCCAGATCCTGCATCTGTTTCCTGGGCCCAAGCCTCCACCCAATGGTGTCCTTGGGGAAGTCACTGAACCTCTCTCAGGTGCTCATCTGAGAGATGGTAGAAACAATACCTGCTTCATAGGGTGGCTGCGGGGATTCCATGAACTGGGTCTGTCAAGTTCTTACACCAGAATCCGGCAAGGTGTTCTACGTACCAGGAAGTACAGCCTAAGCCTTCCTTAACTACGAAGAATGAGTTCAGCTCCAGCAGCCACTGCAGCCCTGCTCTGGCCTCCCTCTCCAGATGCCTCTTCTCTACCTCTGTCCTCAGGGGCCCACTTCCCACCCCAGGCACACTCACTCTCCTACACCTCCCCAGTCACATTTGCTCATTTCCTGTCCTCTCTCCCCTGTGCCTGAAACGCCCTTCCCTGATTAGCCCATTGGAAAGCTTCCACTCCATCCTCAAGAATGCGCTGCAATGTCAGCTTCTCTGGGAAGCATTTCTACGGCCCTCCGAGAGGTAACTACTTCCCCTTCCGCACTCAGCCAGCCTGAGTTCCCCTTAGCAAACCTGGGTCAGTCCTATTTGTGTCTGTCTTACCCACCGGGGGGGCTGGCCTCTGACTGTGCCTCACACGTCTCTTTTCCTGAGCACCGAGTCTAGTGTCCAGTGCGAGCAGTGTTTTGATGTGGAGAGCAGGCCGTGCCTTGCTCTGAGTGCCACCGCTGTGAACAGGAGAGCAGTTTCCAGGCGGTGCCTGACCCCCTGCTGCTCCACTTCATAAAGCAGTAGTTGGCCATTCTGAGTATCTCTGCACCTTGTTTATGCAAGTAAACCACCACCTCTGCTTAGCACAGCCACGAGGCATAAACTAATAAAAATGTAACTGTGCTAATAAAAAGGGCCTCCTGTGGACCTGTCGAATTAAGTCAGAAGCTCTCAGCTCCATGGGCCTATCAAACCTACACCACAAAACCCAGACCAACGAGCAGCACACCAGAGCAGCAAAGGAAGCAGCCCCTCACCTGAGACCCATCAGAGGAGGAGCACCCCAGGCTGGACACAAGAGCACCCTGACCTATAGCCTTGTCACGAGCCTGGTCCAGAAAAAAGCCTAGTCCTCAATGACAACATTCTGATTCTCTGACCCCGGGCCTCAGCTCAGTGCAGCTTTTCCAGACTTGATGTCAACACGTGGCCCACTCCAAGATGACACTGAAACTGCCATCAGTCTGGACCCTCACCTGGACCATCTGCAGAACTGCTCACCTGGCCACCTACAGTGACTCTCTGCATCCATATCTGCTCTCCGCCCTTGCTCGGGAGAGCGCCTCCTGTAACCCCGAGGCCACCTTAACCCTTTCTGTAAATACAAAGGCATACATATGAACACACACACGTTGTATAGTGTGCAGTGTGACTCCAGGGTCAGAGACAGAAGTGATTAGGAGTGGAGGATAAAAACTGTGATTGCCAGGCTTGTGGCTGTCAGCTGACCCACGAGCACGGGCTGAGTGGCCACTGGTGAAAGTGGTGGACCTGTGAGCTCACTGCTATTCAATAAATCCTGCCGTCACAGAAAGACCCAAGCACGTCTGGTCTATGTTAACGGCACGTCTCGCTCACAACATCGGATGGTGACGACCGAGTGATGCATGACGAAGCGATTGACAGACGCCTGTTTCCTCCCCTCCCTGCAGCTCAGACGCTCACGGCCTGGCTGGAAGCAGAATGGGATTTGGGATTCTTACTCCTCTAAGGCCTGCAGCATGCTCCCGGGGTCCTCGGAAGTCAGGATGTCCACCATCTGGTCATTGAGGGAAAGGTCCTCATTCACTCCGCCCGCCGAGGTGAAAGGCGAGGGCTCCAACTTGCTCTCGGCTCGCTGAACCTTCAAGAGAAAGGCAGACACAGCGACTTAGTGGGCCTCCGTAGGACCTCCACAGGGAAGGGAAGGCTGGCAGTCGGCAGGCAGGGGACAGGGCTGCCTGGCCACCGTGGGCAGGTGAACTCGGGCAAGCGCTGCTCTTCTTGGAGCCTCCACTGCTCAGTGGAGAAATGGGATCATGATTCCGACGGCCTGCTCCTGATGGCTGTGCGCCTACGGCACAGCAGAGGCTGGGAAGGCCTTGGGGACCCACAAAGATCTGTGCTGGTGTTGTACCACCCTCATCACCATCACCAGGGGAGGGGACCCACACCTGGCAGTAGGACCCCGCGACACGGTTTTGGCACGTTTCTCATTAGAACATGGGATTGAGGTGGAAGTGACAGTCGTCATCACTAACCCCAACTCTGATGGGACAGAGGAGCCTGGCACATGTGATGTCATAACACTCAGTGTCCCACTTGACAGATAAGGAAACTGAGGTTCAGAGTAGTGAACAGCACATGATGGCCACACAGCTCAAAGGAGCCAGGCAGCCCGAGTCCCAGGCTTCTCCACTGGAAAGGCACCCCCCGTGTTACAGCACATTGTCTCCTTGGTCACCACCACTGGCAGAAAAATAAAGAAAACGTGAAGAGACTCCACTGCGCGGTGCTGGGCGAGTGCTGCAGGGCCTTCAGACTTCACCCCTCTGCTCTCCGCCCGCAGCTGCGCTCCGTCACAGCGCGGCACGTCCGCTCCCCCGGCAGGTAGAGCTGGGTCGGTGACACGAGGTGTCATTACGTGGGCCGCTTTCCTCCTCACCTCTGCCTCCAGGAGACAGAGGCCAGCCTCACTTTGTGATGGCGCCTCTCCTCCAGGAGACGGAGGCAGAAAGAGCAGCAGGCCCCTTCGGCTGGACAGGACTTCCACCTCCAGAAAGACGGGTCTCCAGACACCGGGTCCTGGCCTGCGCTGGGCCACCTGCAGCTGTCCAGACTCACGAACCTCAGGTTCCCACACAGAGGAGGAAGGGGATGGCAGACGTTCCTTCCCAGGGGCTGCAACTAGGGGTGGCCCTGAGTCACAGCGGCTCCAGCCCTCCATGGCCCTGCACAAACCAACCAAGAGCCCAGGGGGTGCCCTCCCACCCCCGCCACCTGGCTTTCCTTCCTGTCTGTCCACCCATCAACTGGCCAAGTGCTCACTCCCCCTTGGGCCCTGGAGGGGTGCCTCAAGCACAGGTTCCACCCAGGCAAGGGCCACACAGACACCACCTGGCCCCGCTGAACCCCTGCCCCGACCCTGCAGTGGCCACCAGACAAGCGCCACCAGCCGACACATGACCCTTCCCTGGAGGATCCTGCTGGCCTTCAGATCCTATGCCAGGGACACAGCGTCATCCTTTCTCCTTGCCTCCTGGCCCCAAACAGTCACCGGCGGGACCTGGGGATAAACACCCTGGGCTGCCTCGTGCCCTGGGCAGGAGTCGGCTGGTGCCGCGTCCCCCTCGTAGCTGCCTTCCCGCCTTCCCCCTCCCTCACCCCGTGGGGATCACTTCCATGTAAACCCTGAATCCTGGCCTCAGGATGTGCTGTGGAGCCCAGACCAAGAGACGGAGGGGTGCGGCCAGGCTACGGGACTGTGAGGAGCGCTGGGTGGTGTCCAGCGAAGGCAGGGGGAGCCCAGAGAGCCCCGCACCTCCAGGAAGTGGCCAGCGATGACTGGCAGGGGAAACGGGTGCCAGGGAACAGCACAGGGCACTGGGCAGACAAGGCACAAGCGGTAGGAGCTCAGCCTCCCAGGACGTATGTCCCGAGGAGTGGCAGAGCAGAGAGCACAGGGAAGGGGCAGGAGCCTGGGCTCCCCCAGGGATGACAGCAAGCACCAAGGCCACCAGCAGGCAGTGTGGACCAGGGCCTGAAGTGGGCAATAAGAACACACCTGCCCACAGTGGGTGCTGGACTGCAGGGCCCAGAGCCCGGCCACTGGTGGAAACCACCCAAGGAGCCAAAGACAGAACCAGCTTAAGTGACCACGAGGGGTGAAGAGAGGAAGGAAAGGTGGCACACTCCCATGACGGAACAGAGTTCAGCATCAGCAGATGATGTCCTCTCACAACCTGGGTGACCAGGAGGACGTCACGCTGAGTGACACGAGCCAGGCACAGGAGGACATGTGCCACATGCCCTCCCTCACGTGCGGGAGCCATAGAGGCTGATCAGATAGAGGCAGAGAGTGGGCTGGAGGCAGAGGGAGTGCCGGCAGCACTGGGGGCTCTGCTGATCACTGCACAGCCGGAGGCTCAGGCGACCGCGCAGACAAAACAGAGGACGGACAGGATTTTCAATGTTTTCCCCACAAATAAATGTTCCGTGTGTGAGGCAACGATGTGCTCGGACCCTGATCTGATCACTGCACACTCTACACAGACATCCAAATACCACGCTGACCCCATGAACTCATATGACTATTCTGTCAATTAAAAATAAAACGAAATAATTTTTTTAGAATGAATCACTCAGGGAGGGTTTTAAAAGCATTAGTGGTGAGGATGCAATCCAGGACGCATGGTCAGTGTCTGGAGGAGCGGGGGTGAGACTCGCCCGCAGATATCAGCCGGCTCCCACCTGGTGCGCATAGGGGCCACCCGCTCGGCATGAACCTCGCCCCACCACCAACCCACTGCCCCAGGAAGAAGCTCACCCCACGTCTGGCCAGCACACCTCCCTGCAGACACTGGTATCGCGTGAAGAAGAAGAGTACCGTCCAGCTCAGTGCCAGGGAGACCAGGAAGGCAGTGAAGAAGGCCGCTGCATGGAGACCATGGTTGGGTAGAACCTGCAGGAAACAGGGAGAGTGAGAGTCACCTGCGGTCACACTTCCCATCTGCCAAGGTCAGCAGATGACCAAGAGTCTCAGCAGAACACACAGGGAGTCAGGAGAGCCACCTGGGTTGGGACCAGCTCTCCCAGTGCCTGGCTGGTTGCCTTGGGGTCCTTGCTGGCCCTCTCGGAGCCTGAGTCCCTCCTGGTGTTAAGGCTCGCCACTCAAGAACGATCATTTCCAAAGTCAAACACATACCAAACATCAGGCAGCACTGGAGACCTGGGTATTTCCTAACAGTAAGGGGCAGAATCTTGCAGGGGCCAGTACCTCAGTGCACCTGAGACCCCCACCCCAGGAGGTCCACCCATCAGAGGTGTAGCCAGGACACCGGGGAGAGGGACAGGAGGTGGGTGGGCACCGGGCCATCCTGCCACTCCACGAGCTGGGCAGGAGCCCCGAGGGCTCAGCACGACTGGCAGACAAGGAGCCGCGCCACCCAGATGCCTGTCAAGAGGGACTTGGTGTGCAGCTGCGGGCATGCGGGCAGTAGACAGCCCCTGGCTTCGAGGTCAGAATCAGCAGCAGAGAGCCACCTCACTTGATGTCACAGTCTTCCCAGGACTGCCTGCACCTGGCAGCAGAGCACAGCAGGGCCCTGAGGCCACACAGGCTCCAGGGCTTCCCCACCAGGTTGGCTGAGGACGGCGACCCTACCTCCTCCTCTGCCCACTCATGGCTCCTCCTTGTCCCCCCCGCTGGGGGTGTCATCTGCAGGTCAATAATGACCACAAAGATACAAAGCAAAATCAGAAGCTGGGGAGATGCACCTGCAAAGCCCCAGGAAGACAGCACACGTGCTTCCTAGAGCCCCCTGGGTGCGGCGTGAGGAGGTGCCCAATCCCAGCAGGGAGTGGGGCCGCTTGTGAGATGCTGGCTGCCAGCGAGGCTCAGTAGGACGCAGTGTCCCAGTTCTCACCCAGGGCTGGGGACGCAGGCCCCTCTGCTTGGCATGAACAGAGTTCCTGAAGGAAAGAAGGTGTTCAGTACCAACTGTGGATGTGTTTGTGAAGCCAGCCTAGTCACAGCCAGCCACGCTCACCAGCCTGGCGAGAGGAGGAACCCTCCTGAGACCCAAGGAATCAGACGCCAGCTAGGGCCAACCCTGCAAGCCAGTCTGGGAGCAGCCCCCAGCCCCAGGGGCTACCCTTTCTGCAACCTGGAAATACACTGTGCCCTCCTCTGTCTCAGCAGCTGCTCCAGAGAAGCCAACCCAGGAGGACAAGTCTCATTCAAAACGGCTGCAGACAACAGGGACACCTTCTGCTCAGGAGCCAGCAGACAAGTAGCCCATTCCTCATTCCTGCAGCCGCATGCAGGTGACAGTCAAGGGCAAGTCCTCCCGACAGACCAGGCCACCCCAGCCGTCCTGCTGTCAAAGCTGAGCCCCATGCAGGGGTTCCCTTAGACGCTGAGGGCAGCTGAACCAAAGCACAATGGCAGCCTCACCGCCCAGTGGCTCAGCCGTCTACCAAGAGGGTGGGCAGCCACTCTGCCTCCCACTTGGACCTCCTAAATCAGGACTTTGATTAACACCAAAATGAAACCCAGGATCTCCTACATTTGTGCCGGAGTATCCCTCTGAGCCCTGATTGTGTACCCACTGGACAAGAAAAATGTCACTAAACTGGATAAACGTGAATAGTATTCCATGGAGGTGACATTAAAATATTGATAGAGAAGAGATTCCCCCCCAATGTCTCTAAAAAGGCCAAAGCGCTGGGGTTGAGCTAACCAAGCTCTGCTCTTGCAGAAGGGGCAGCCTGTTTCACAGCTTTAGGAAGAGGGAGGGAGGGACCGGGCACTGGCCCTGTGGACAGCCTAGACAAGGTGTCCGGGCAAGGCGCCAGGCTGAGCTGATCTGCTGTCAAAGCTGAGCCCACGCTGAAGTGCTAACTCTCAGGATCTATGCGGGATCTTATTTGGAAATATGATCTATGAAGATGTGATCCAGATGAGGTCGTGTTGAACTAGGGTGGGCCCTAAGTCCCCTGACCATGTCCTCATAGGAGAGGAGATGGACAGACACAGGACACACAGAGAAGATGGTCCTGTGAAGACAGAGGCAGAGGCCAGTGTGCAGCTGGGAGCAGGCGAAGGCTAAGGGCTTCCCGGGCCAGGTGAAGCCAGGAGGCACAGGAAGGTCGCTTCTCCAGAACCTTCCCAGGCAGCATGGCCCTGTCAACGTCTGAGACTCCCACCTCCAGCCTGAGAGAGCAAGAGCCTGCTGACTAAGGGGCTGAGCCGTGCAGGTCCCCCAGGGCTCCCAGGACACGGAGCCAGTGTGTGATTGACCTCCTCTCACTCAATGCCCAGCAATCCTGCAGACGCCCAGCAGACAAGCAGATGAGCAAGGAAATTCAGTAACTCATGTCCACGGCTGAAAAATGCCAGTTGAGCGCTGCTGGCCGCCAGTGCCCATGTTCTCCCTTCAGGTCACACCAACCACCATCCAGGTTGCTGTGAAATTCCTAGTCCCACTCTCCTAGTCCAGGGGAGAAGCTGCTTGACTGGTGAGAACCACAAACAAGGACTGGGCCAGAATCACAGGCAGCAGGTCCTGTGCTGTGCCCACACTCCACATTCCCCCTCTCCTCCCTCCCCGTCACCCTCTCTCCTCTTCCCACCTCCACCTTCTCAATCCGAATCTGAGGTTCTGCGCTCCTCTGGCCAGGAGAGTGGCAGAGATAACTGGAAGAGCAGAGGTGCCGGGCAGTTCAGCGAGGCGGGGTCTGGCTGGACGTGGCACCCAGCCAGGATGCTCGTCCACACCGACACAGAGCAGGGCGGCTCTGTGGATCCTACTGTCTTCTCACTTGCAAATCTTACTTTCTGACACCAAAAGACAGGCACATCTTGTAGGCAGAGCCTGCCTCCTGGGGAAGACCACCTTAACTACTCATTTATCTGCAGTGCTAAATCACACTAGGCCCTGTCCTTTCCCTACCCACAGCACCTCTACTCTTCAACTTCCACCATGAAGATGGACAAAGAAGAGCTAGGTCTCAAGATGCAGCTTTCTGGGAAGGAGAAGAGGCCACCCAATCATCACCATCATCATCATGTTCACCACTACTGGAGTTATGCTGTGGATACGAGACGCCCCCAAAAGCCCATGTGTGCAATAATGCAGGGATGGTCAGATGAAAAGATCAGACCAGTGGATTAATCCACTTGGCGGATTACTATTCTGAAAGGATTCATGGGTGGCGTGGCTGGAGGAAGTGGGTCACTGGGGACATGCCTTTGGGGCTTAGTTTTGTCCCTGGAAAGTGGAGTTCCCTCTGTCTCTCCCCCGCCCCTTCTCTCTGTTTCCTGACTGTCGTGAACTGAGCAGACTTCCTCTGCCATGCCATTCCACCAAGATGCTCTGCCTCATTCGAGCATAGAGCTATAGTCCGTCAACCATGGACTGAACCTCTGAAACCATTGGCCAAAATAAACTTTCCCTCCTCTAAGGCGTTCTTGTCAAATATTTTGGTCCCAGGGATAAAAAGTTGTCAGAAACAACCATCAACATTCATCACTACCACCATTATCCTCACCATCATCATCACCATTACCATCACCATCTCCATCATCTCTGCCACCATGACAACTACCACCATCACCACCATCCTCACCATCACCACCATCAGTATCATCATCACCATCACCATGACCACCACCATCATCACCATCACCATGACCACCACCATCATCACCCCATCACCGTCACCACCACCACATTGTAGCTCAGTGGTTCCATGGCTTTACATATTTTAATCCGTCTGATCCTCACAATACTATGATGTGTATGCTATTTTAATTCCGATTTCATAAAGCACGATGCCAAGGTCTAAATAAGTTAACTAAATGGCCCAGGTTACAAGGTAGTAAGTAGTGGCTCTGACATATGCAAAAGACATAAATCATTTGTCTTTTGCATACACTACAAATTCTTTCCCAAGTTTCTCATTAATCTTTTTTTTACTTCTTTTTTTTAACCATACGATTTATTTTCATTTTTTATTTTTTTAGTGCTCTTTTTAAATGTCAAGTTTTCAATTATTTCTGACTATTTATATGCTAAAATCCATGGTTTTCTTTATACGATGTAATATTAGCTCATATTTACTTTTTACAATAATTTTAGCTATTTAGACTTTAATCTCATTAGGAAATCAATTTTTGTTTTTCTTCCAAAAGATCTAGTCATTTCCCCCAAATTTACATATGGCATTCTCCCACTGATTTAGAATGCCATTCTACTGCACACACTAGACCTTTCTCATCCTCAGCGCTATACACAGCGTTACTGTAGTTCTGTGATATTTTTAAGGTCTAATAGGGTACATTTTCCCATGTTACTCTTGATTTTCAAAATCTTCCCATCCAGCCTTGTGAACTCAGATTTTTAGGCGAACCTTGACTTGATCACATGGCCCACAAAGTCTCATGGGAATTATTATTGGACTCGCAGTGGATGATTCTGGGTACCATAGCAACTGCTGTAAACGTCTGGATTGGACCTGAGATCCTTGCAGCAGAACACTGCATCCAGGTCTCTGGTGCCTGGTCAGGTGCTGGCCCCTTCACCTGCATGTGAGAGAGACGGGGCACAGGTAGGGCACAGTGTGATAGTCTTTTTCCCTCAAAGACTCTACTCACCCAGGAGGAAGAGAGGGTCAGACAACATCTTGACAAAATGGAAAGAAATTCCTGAGGCCTCCTTTTCCTTGGGTGACATGTGTCAGTTTTCATCAAGGAGATGGAGGGTCCTCTGCATGTTGCACGAAGAGCAACTTCCTGTCTTTACTCTGTGTTTTTCAGCTGCTTGATGAAGACTCCAGGGGAGCTGCCGGCCTCCCTGGGCTCCTTTTCATGAGCACTTGCAACTTCCTAGTGTAAGTTCAGCATCTCTGCAGGTACCAGGCAGCCCTGTGGGGCACACCTGGTTTCCAAGGGCCCTGCCCTGGGTGTCTCCCCAGTGGACTCTGGTTCCATCTAACCAGCAGTTGGCATGGGCTTAACCCTGAAATCAACCTTCAGCTGCACACTTCAGAATATCCCTCCCGTCTTCAAGCCTCACCTCCTCCAGGAAGCCTGCCAGTCTACCCAGCCAGAGCTCTCCTCCCCTGCTGGGACCCACAGGACAATCTATATTCAAGTCATAAACTCAGAAATTCAATCATAACTGTGCATCGTTTGGTCTTTTTTGTTTTTCATTTAATGTCTCAGTGTGATGTGGGGACAGTGGCATGAGTGGCTGAGTCCCCAGATGGCCCCAGATTCCACTGCTGCTTAAAATCCTGCACTGGGCCAGACCCACTCTGTAGCACAGTGTGGGCACCTGAGCCTGGGGCCCTAGGAAGCGGCACACATTCTCAGCCATCGCAGATCACCTGGCAAGGCTGTCAGAGTTTGGTCACACGTCAACAGTACCGACACCCCCTGCAGGTGTGTGCTGAGCACTGTGAACTGCCAGGCCCTGCACGGGGTGCCCACCTGCCATCCACCTGCCTCTACAACCACCCAGGAGGTGGGTCCAAGGATCACTCTCAGTTACGACTGGGGAGCCAGAGGGCCAGAGAGGTAAGCGATCCTCCCAAGACCACAGTCAGTGGAGGGACGGGGACTCGAGGCCAGGCCTTCTGGTCTGAGCGCCCGCTGTGCCCACAGCAATGCAGGGTGCCATCTCTGTATTCCTCACATCAATAGGGTGCTGCTTGAACGTGGCCCCCAGCCCGTGGGCACCTGGGCAGGGCAGGCTGCACCCCAGAGGGGCACTGCTCCTGCTTCCCCAGAAAGGCAGCCCTAGGCCCTGGGAGGGCTCAGCGCCATCCTCCCAGAGGGCTGGGCACGAAGCAAGGACAGCCGTGAAGTGGATGCAGCCACGCAGCAGCCAGCCCTCTCCCTGGAGCGGTGACCACCACTGGTGACAGTCAGCTCAATCAAGGGATGCTGACCTATTCAATGCCACCTGCAAGGTAAGGCACTGGGGACACAGGAGCTCACAGCCAACAAGGAGAAATGGTCACCAGTGTCCCGAGGCCCACTAGACTGTGGGCTCGTCACTCTCCATCTCGTCTGCACAGGGCTCCAGCTCACTAGCAGGTGATGTGGCCTGCTGCCTGGTGACCCTGCCTGGCTTTGACTGCTGACCTCCACCCACTGGCCATGCAGAAGGGTTAAATATCCAACACTGCTAGCCTCAAAGGGCTGCCTGAGAGGCTGGGCCTTGGCTGACCTCTGGGGACTTGGGCTGGTGGGGTCCTGGCCTCTGGGGACATGGCCTCCCACCACTCACTGGTGAGCGTGGCTCTGCTCTCAAATGCCCCACAAACAAGGGGGTTTGTGTCCAACCCTGTTTTCCTGCAGGAGCCTGGAATCCTGGTACTTGCCAGGCAAAAGATGCCCACGTGGCCAGCCCCCGACACCCTGTCAGCAGGACCCTCAAGCTTTCCTAGTGGATGCCACGCCCCACGTGCTACCACAGCACTGGCCGAGGGTTTGGCGCACCCCGAGCCGCCCCTGTGCGGTGGTCTTGGTGGCTTGTGGCTGGTTTGCTCCTCCCCCGCCGTCTCTCCCCTCTGCTCCTCTTGGTTTGGGTCCTTCCCTGGAATCACCTGTAGCCCTGTATGACTCCGTAAGTCCTGCGAATCCCACGAGAGAGCGTCAGGCCTGGAGGTGGCCTGGGGACCACAACGCTCCAACCGTGGGACCCTGGGCAATCACTCGACCCGAGTTTCCCTGGCTGGGCAATGGGGTGATTTCAAGCCAGAACTCATCTCCCAAGATGGTGGTGAAGATGACAGGAGTCGGAGTCTGTCAGTTGCTTAGGACAGCTGGCACCAGCAGGCACTCAGGAAGTGCTCCTGGAGAGGGTAGGGGGTCAGCTAGGTGACCTCGGTGGGATAAGGACACTCAGGACAGCACTGTTTCGGAATGCGACTGTGAGGGTGACTGGGGGCAGCTCTGAGTGGACCCAGGAGGGAAGACCCACCCTCAGTGAGGGCGGGCACCATCCAACCTCCTGCGTCCCAGACAGAGAAAGAATACGGGGGGCACACACACACACCCCTCTTCTCCTGGACGTCAGAACTCTGGGCTCTCTGGGCCTGGACTGACAGGACCAGCAGCTCCGGGTGCTGGGACTTGGGGCCTTGGACTGAGACGCACACCATGGGTTTCCTTGGTCCTGACCCTTCAGATCTGGACCGTGTCACGCTACCGGCACGCCAGGGTCTCCGCTTGCTGACGGGCTGCCGTGGGGTTTCTCTGCCTCCAAGATCCCTAGTCAAGCTCTCTAACGAATCCCCTCCTGTAACACCTACACACGTCCGTCCGTTTTTTCCCTCTGGAGAGCTCTGACACGCTTCAGGACACAGTGCTCGATGGACATGTGGATGTGCACCCCGGGAGCCACCAAAATGATGAACGGAAACGGGTCAGTGAGGGTGGTGATCAGCAGAGGCAGGAGCCAGCTGCCAACCACAGGACTCTGGGACGATGCGGGAAGTCACCAGCAGCTGGTGGCAACGTGAGGCCAGGATTAGGGGCAGCACAGGGGGACAGGTGGCACTTTGGTCTGTCCAGATGGCGGCTGCCCCATGGGGTGACACCTGGGGAGGCCAGCCAGACAGCCATGGCCACTCGGAGGAGCTGCAACACCACACAGTCCCCAGCCTCCACCCAATCTGAGCTGTTGAGGCCCGTGGCTGGTTCCTCCCCTGGCTCCCGGGATAGGCCAGAGGCCAACACCGTGGCTGTGAGGGACATGGGTCACGTGTCGCTTACCGTTACCTTCTCTTCTGCTGTTATGGTAAGAAGGGCTTTCAGCTGTGTCCTGTTCTGGAAAAGAAAAAAAAAAAAAAAAACACTCTGGTCACTGCTCCCGGAGTCTGGTCCGCAGGGTAGCATTGGTGTCACGTTCAGCCCACCAGGCATCCAGGCAACAGCTGGGCAAGGAGGAGCCCGCGGGGTCCTGCAATCCCTTGCCGGGAAGTCTGTGATTTTGGATCCTGCTTTCTCCACCAAACGCTCAAGCGCATACACAGCAGCAGGTTCCTAAGACCCAGGAGAGCCCGCGGCATGGTGTGTGGGAAACACAGGTGGGGGTCAGGCCTCCCGGAAAGGGGTGGGCCCACAGCTGCCAGCTGTGTGTCCAGGGGAGACCATCCACTCTCTGCCTAGGGTCACCTCTCACTGTGACCACCCTGTGGACCCACCTAATGGCTTCAATGTCCCTCTGTTGAGAAGACACCAGACCCATGAAGGGTGAGTGTTCCCACACCCTCTGCAGCCGTGGGGTGCCCAAGAAAACCCACCACAGGACAGGCCTGCGGGGTGGAGGCAGGACCCCCCACAGCTGGAAGGGCACAGGCCAGAGCACAGCTCCATGCCCAGCGGGGGCGAGGCATAGCCCAGCCGGGCTGGGTGGGGAGATGGGGGGAGTGGAGAGAGCGATGGTGGGAAGACAGGGTGAGCGTCCCTGATTCGAAGTGCTTGAGTGAGAAGTATTTCAGAGTGTTTTCATATTAGGAATATCTGCATGTTCATAAAGAACCCTCTTGGGGCTGAGACCCAGGACTAAATACAAACTCCAGTTAAGTTCCGCAGACGCCTTCCCCACACACCGGAGAGAAACTCTATACAACACAAAGTGCAACTGCATTTTGACCAGATCCCATGCCCTGAGGTCAGGTATGGAATTCCGCATGTGCGGTGTCACGTGGGTGCTCAACCAGTTTGTCAGCATTTTGGATTTGGGGTTCGGGGATGAGAAGTGCTCCCCTGTGGTATCCCGGCACGTCACCTTGGGCCTGGAGATTGAAGTCCCGTGAGCCATGCGCAATGTGCAGCGGTCATCAGGGACACTACTCTCTAACCTGACCTGTGCTCCAAGGCAGAAAACCCCCTGGCCCATGGGCCCCCACTGTGACAACAGCCCAGGAGGCACGCAGCATGCCAGGTCCAGCTCGGGCGGCAGGCAACCTGTCAGAGGCTTTGAAAGAAACCAACTACCATGGCTCATTTTCTAGGGGCTTAGAAAAAAATTTAAATATGAGTCTTAAAAGAAGTGACAACCAGAGGGCAATCGCCCTGCCCTTTCTGCTTGAGCGGCCGCTGCTCTGGCATATTTATGATGCTCTGTGGGTTTCAGGTCCCCTGAGCTGGACAGCTAAGGCTAAATTTGGAAGGCCACACCTGGGGGCTCTCTGCCCTGCTCTCGTCCCCCACAGCACCCCTGCCTCCAGTCTAGGCAAACAGGAGTGTCCGTGTGCCGTGGAGCTCGGATTCAGACCCTAACCCCTGGCTTACCACGTAAACTCAAGGCTGGAAAAGATGTTTTGAACCTTAGCACAAGTCAGAAGACATGGGCCAGGGGACTGCAGCGATGGACTTACAAAGTGGCCATGAAGTGTACATGACACACTGTCCTGACTTTCTCCTTCCTGATCTGCCTTCATCTAGGATCAGTGAGTGACCTAACCCACTTGGATTTGGGGTGTGTGTTTGTGTGTGTGTGTGTGTGTGTGTGTGTAAGCACCCATGTGCAAGTGTGTACGTTTGACAAAGCATTTCTGGACCCAATTGCAAAGCATTTCTGATGCTTCTCCCTCTTGCTCTGAGGGTCACACATGCCTGGCACCCAGCAGGCTCTCAGGAAGTGGAGATTATTTTCATTCTCTCCTCTGTTACTCCCAGATGATTCTAAAGTGGCGGAACTAGATGAGACTTGGGGAATCTTCCCACTGCTCTCATTTTTCAGATGAAGAAACTGAAGCCTGGTGAAGTCCCACTGAGTGTCTGAGTATGGGTGAGCACGCAGCTGGCACAGTGGCTGCAGCCCCGAGGCACGGGAGGTAGTGCTGGACAGGCAGAGCGACCACTCATGTGGAGCTCACATAAGTCTCACTCAGACTCAGGGTCTGATCATTTTCAGTCCTAAAGACACACTGACACTCCATAGCATATAGGAAAGCCCAGGAGTCACCCAGACTCTCAAGTCCACCCAGTGAAACAAGCTGAGAACAAGGGATGGGGACCTTGCCGACTTCCAGCACTATTCACTCAACAAACACTGACCAAGCACCTTCTACACTGCACTTCCAGGGCAGGTCTGAGGCTAAGAGCTCAAGACAGCAGCAGGAGGGAGCCCGGAACTCAGCTCGTGAAGCTCGGAACTCTGGAATCTTCTGGCGGGCAGGTAGGTGTGCTTTCTGCCCTGACTGTCCACAGAACTGCCTAGAGTGCCTTAAAGGCTCACAAAGGGAGGAACCTGCAACCCACACACACACACACACACACACACGCACACAAAGACTGCAGACATTGATACAATGATTTCCTCCTACAGATGAAAAACCTGAGGCTCAGGGAAGTTTAAAAAAATGCCCAAGATTCATTAGCTCATTGATCTGTTCATTCGCCTGCTCTGTGTAGGGTTCTTTCTGGCACTGGACACAGCTAAGATCAGGACAGATGAGTCCCTGGGCTCATGGAGCTGACATGCTAGTAGAAGCAGGAGACAAGGGGCAGAGTGACCATCACAGACAAGGACAAGCAGTACAGACAGGACCACAGCAGGGTGTGGCAGGGCAGGGACAGTCACTCAGGCTCAGGACCCGCACCTCTGCTGCCCAAGCCCCATGCCAGGTGCACTGGAAGCCTAAGGCTACACTGCGGCCCTGGCTTGAGGTCCTGATTTTCCTGCCAGAGGACATGGAAGAGTCCAGTGTCATTTTGAGTGTCTGACTCTTTTGTCTTAAATTTTTATGTTAGCTGAGTTGTTCCCGTCCTCTGAAACTATCGATGGCATTCCTTCTGGGCCGTCTGAGCCTTATTTCTTATCTCTCTGTGTCCTATTTTTTGACTTTGTACCTAATTACTTCCTGACGGATGGCTCTGTTCCGACAGCCTCACGGTTTTCTCGCTTCTGGTCTTTATCCTCCAGCATCTTTCATCTTGTCCAATTTTACCTGCAGCTTTTTTTTTTTCCCCTTTTCCTGTTGCAGCAGAAATGCTGCTCAGGCTCTGTGGCCTCAGGGATGAAGGAACTCCCGGAAGTTGCCAGTGGCTGCAGGCCCCCCCCCCCCCCCCCCCCACTCTGCTTCTATCATGTGACCTGGGGCCGTCACAATAGCCTCTAAAGCACATTTCCACATCTATGAAAAGGGACTTTATCCAGGGACTAAAATCACAATAAAATGGCAGAAGGAGCCAAAGCATCCTAAGCTCCCTGAGAGCAAAGCTATGCCTCCTCCATCTTGTACCAGGGTGCACACTGTTGCCCAGGACCTCCAACCAGGGTGTTCACTGCACAAGTGGATCCACAAAATGGGAAGTGAGCAAAGGAGAGACCAAGGATAATGGTGTTATGGGCTGAATCATGCCCTGAAAATGCAGATGCAGAGGTCCCAAGCCTTAGTGCCTCAGGATGTGACTCAGAATGTGACAGGGGCTTCAAAGTAAAATGAAGTCATTAGGGTGGACTGTGGGCCACCTTTAGGGTGGCCTGGTATCCTCCTAAGAGGAGGAGATCAGGACAGACATACACAGAAGGACAACCACCAGGTGAGGACACGGGGAGGAAGCCCTCTGCAACCTGGAAGCGAGGCCTCAGGAGGAGCCACCCACCAGCTCCTGTTCTCAAGCCCGCGGCCTCCAGGACCTGCATCGATGTGGTGCTTTTCTCTGGAAGCCACCCGGTTGGTGTGCTGGGTTCTGGCAGACTCACAATGAGGGCACCCACTGGGGAAGTGCCCACAATGTGAAGAGTCAAGAGTAGTTCAAGCTGCATACCACTGACGGCACACCCTTAGGGTGACCCTGGGTGAGGCACTACGTGACTGCTCCAGGTGACAGGAGGTTACTGACCACAAGCCACTGCCCTGGGTGAGGTGCCACTGAGAGTAGGCAGGCAGGCACTACTGATCTGTGCCCTTCGTGTCAATGTTCCTAAAACCTCCCACCAGTGACAAGACAGAAAGCCAAGTAACAGAGGAGATACCGGTGAGGAGCTCTGAAAGGTGAGCTGGGCAGGAAGGGTCAGCCTCTCTCCCGTCCCCACTGCTTCCGAGTCCAGCGAGGCCGTGTAGGTCACCCAGTAGGAGTCTCCAACTGCGAGGAGAGAGAAAGCCGGCATCAGGGAGGCGCCGGCCACGCCCCCTAGGTGGCCACGCCCACCAGGCCACGCCCATAGCCGGCCACGCCCCTCGCAGACACCACCCCCCACGCCCCCCACACAGCGCACTGGATCTGTGGGCTCCACGCACCCGGGGTGGGGCTGTCTGGTAGTGGTCGTGGGCATGGGCTAGCCTCACTTGCTCCTGGACTCCCAGCCATGAGCCGGTACACTCCACCCACAACACGGCCGGCACCCCTTTCTCCCTCGTGCTGCACCTCATCTTTCCCGTGAGCATGGGAGTGCAGTCCCCACCCACTGGAGGCAGCCTTCTGCCCTCAGGAGGGACCCGGGCTCCTCCACACCGAGGGGCACTCTTCCCACCTAAGCCTACCCTCCGACTTTGCCTTCATCCCCAACAGGACTGGAGCTTGACCCTAACACAGTGTGCTTACTTCCCAGTTCCTGGCGACCTCAAAACAGTGTAAAAAAGGAGGAAATGAGCACTGATCCTAGGAACCACGGGATTTTGTTGTTTTTAAAATCTTCAACAGGTTCATTTTACTTTTACATAAGGATGAAGCCAAGACTCTGAAGACAGGTGATAAAGGGAGAAGACCACCACGATTGTTGTCCAGAAACGGCTGTCCTGGCCTGACCCCGCCTGGCACAGCCAGGTCATACTCTCCATGCACTCCCAGACCTTGGCCTGGCTCATCCCCAAGTCCCCCGAGGCCGATGGCTAGGGAACAGGTTATTTTCTGCAACCTTGAGAAGAAACTGAGACTGATCTGCGTAGGAATGAAGAGTGGACACTGTCTTGTCCCTAAATGATGCTGGCTTTCATAAAAGAAAAGCAGCAAATACTACCACTACTCAGCATCATCGTCATGAGGTCAGAGTATCAGAGGACTCAAGTCTGCTGGTCATTTGATTTTATCGTCATCTAATTATTCTTTGAGAAAAACAAAGTTGCCTGTCCCCGAAGTTGAAAATCAGTGCCACCTCCCCTGGCACAGCAGACTTCACAGTAAGCACTATCAACATGCTGACCGGAGGGAATGCAGGGTGCTGGGCAGAGTCTGGACATGGGCTTCAGAGCCACAAGAAGAACCTAACAAGAACAAAAACAGCCACGAGATGCCCACCAACACCAGGCGCACCCCCGCGGCCCGGCCATCCCGGAGTTTTTCAGGGATTAGCTTCCTCATCCTCACTATGACCTTGACCTCGTGTCCTGCTCAGTGCAAGGATGAGGAGATGGGCAGGAGGCATCCCCAGAGCAGAGTGAGATGGACTCGGGTGAGGAAAGGGCTTGCAGTGGCCAGGGCTCCCAGCAGTGAAGGGAGGGACAGGTGGGTCCTTGCAGGGTCTGGGGGCAGGAGGATGCCTTTGGAGTAGGGGATCAGGTCATACTTCCTGGAAAAGGTCACCCCAGGACCAAGCCCCAAAGGATAGAGGAGACGTGTGCATTCAGAGTCAGAACAGGAGAGCTCTCAGGTGGGAAGCCTGGGCAGGTGTGGGAGCTGGAGTCGGTGGCAGGTTTGTCTGGCAGAGCGTGGACGAGGAAAGACAAGGGGAAACGGAAGACAGGGCCGGAGGTGCAGTGGGCTGGGGAGGGCTCTGCAGGAGCCCGCACCTTCCCCTTAGCAGGCGGAGTCCAAGCCACAGGATCTCCTCCACTCAGTCCACAAGGACGCCTGAGAAACGTGGGGATCTCAAGTCGACGTGGGGCTCAATGGAGCAAACCCAGAGCTGTCTGTGCTCTGCTAGTGGAGCTTAAGAACTGGGGGACTTGTTTTTATATCATTGAAGGATGGAAACCCTAGGGGTCACTTTTAGGACATCACGGAAACCAGAGCCAGCAAAGAGGTCACAACTTTTGAATCAGCTCCACTAGTAGATTCTGTCAACAAGATTGTATTAAGAAAGATTCTGGGTGGGCTGGGGTTGTAGCTCAATGGTAGAGTGCTTGCCTTGCATGTGTGAGGCACTGGGTTCGATTCTCAGCACTGCATATAAATAAATAAATAAAGGTCCATTGACAACTAAAAAAAATATTTTACAAAAAAAGAACTGGGTACGGTGGTGCATGCCTGTAATCCCTGCAGCTTAGAGGCTGAGGCAAGAGGATTGCAAGTTCAAAGTCAGCCTCAGCAAGAGCGAGGCGCTAAGCAACTCAGTGAGACCTGTCTCTAAATAAAATACAAAAAGGGCTGGAGATGTGGCTCAGTGGTTGAGTGCCTTTGAGTTCAATCTCTAGTACCAGAAAAAAGAACCTGCTTCATCAATCAATGCCAGCTCCCTCAGCAACGGGCCCCTGACAGCCAGCCCAGACGGCAGCACCCCAAGCAAAACAGCCATTCAGCAGCTTCCCAGAGGCACATGCCCAAACACCGTGAACACACTGGAGCGACCTGGACATCTCATGAACGTGCTTCCGAGGCCAACGTCAACATCCTCCCACCTTGCCCAGTGCACACAAACTCTCTGCCTTTCTGAGTGATGGCAATTTTGGTCATCAGGTGATGGGGGCACCAGAGTCATTGGACTCTATCACTCAGAACATGTCTGGCTGAAATTTTTCACAATTAAAATTGAATCTGTATTTAAAAAAACAACAACACAGGATTCTGCCATCACCTTGCAGAAACTTCTTTCTGAAAGCCTGGAATCCATCCTGGGTCTTGTTCCCGACCGACTCCCTGAGGGTGAGGCCTGTGATGTCATCCAGCACGAGCAGTTCTGAGAGGTTGGCTGACCAGGGCGTCTTGGTGTTGTTCACGAACAGGTGAATGAGCACTGTCTGTGATTCACTCTGCCCCGACACCTGGGATAGGAGGAGAGGAAGGGAGGGCCCATGGCTGCAAGACCAGCCTGACCTCTGCACGTCAGGTCTCACGGGGGTCCTGAGAATTTACCAGGCTCCTCTGGTTTCCAAGCCCCAGAGGATGTTGACCCACACTGTCAAGCTTTGGCCCAGAGACAACTGCAAAGAAGTTGGGACCCTGAAGTGCAGTGAAATCATCCTGCTAAGTGTTCTGGAAGGAAAACTACCCCAAGGTCAGGCTGGAGAGAGAGACTCAAAAGAGCAAGCAACAGCTCTTTGTACTGAGTTATTCTAAAGATGCATCCCCAGCTCAGAGCCCAGGCCAAATGGCTATTTGGTCCCCCAGGAAAGACCTGAGCTGGTCATCTGCATCCTGGTCGGTCTTCTCCATCCATGTTCTGCCTGCTGTAGGATATGTCCATGACCCATGTGGCTGGTGGACTCGACAACTGTGCCCTGCTGCCCTCTAGCCTTATCTCCCACCACCCTGTACCCCCTCTGCCCAGCCCTGCTGAAATAGATGCGGGAGCTGAAGAGAAGGAAGCAATGTATGTCCCGAGCTGAGTGACAAACAAGGTTCAGAAACGTGGGTATAGTATTCCACCACGAATGTGTACCTGCATGCACACAGGCTCTCACACACACACACACACACACACAACCACCTGTGCATGTTAGAAAACACCTCTAGAAGGAATGTGAGAACACACTGCACTGATTGCACCCAGGAAGGTCAGCCAGGTGGCTGAGGGCCCCGTGAGGGCAGTGGAGTGAGCAGGAGCCCCGCAGGCCTGGGCTGTCCAAACCCTGCATGTTCCAGAGGGCTCGCCTTTGACCTGCTTCTGGGAGATAACCTCTCAGGCTCCTGGAATATCCTGCCTGATAAGGAGGTTTTACACCTGGGGCCCGGGACCACACCTGCTCATCGAGGTCAACAATGGTGGGTGCCATGGGCCACACAGTGGCAGTGTGGCCTCCAGGGGGCAGAGGACTGAGCATAGAGGTCAGTCTTGCAGGGGCCCATGCCTGACTGAGCCCTGAGGAAAACTCTGGAAGCTGGTCTCCAGTGAGCCTTGCTCTTGGCCAGACTCTGTAGATGTTGCCACACACGGTGCTGGGAGGACCGGGTGACTGGGCCACACCACGCCACTGCACAAGGACACCAGAAGCACCTGCCTGGTCTTCCAGGGCTCCCCATTCGCCTCATTGCTTTCTCTGCAATACACCACATCTGGGAGCAGCAGGGCTCCACTGCCTTCTGAGCCCTTCCGCAATCCCTGAGCTGAGGGTGCTCCTGGGGCCCAACTCAGATGAAAAACTGTCTCACGGGGTTAGTAAGATGGAAGACCTAAAACAGTAAGCAAATTTTTGAAACTCTCAAGAACCATATTTTTGTAATCTGAATATAAATATATAACCCTTTCTTCCCTATTCTAAATGATCACTGTTTTTTTTTTTTAGTTCTTGACAGACCTTTATTTTATTTATTTTTATGCGGTACTGAGAATCGAACCCAGTGCCTCCCACACGCCAGGCAAGTGCGCTTCCACTGAGCCCTAGCCCCAGCCCCTGATCACTGTTATTTTTATTAACAAAAATTTAAGTGTTCCCACCCACCCTCAGTCTCAGCACTGCCATCTAGAGATCAAACCCCTGCTGTCTACAGCATCACCGTGGGTCCAGACAAGAGCAGAAAAGCCCACGATTTACAGCCCGTGGGCCGACTCTACTAAGTGACCTGGGAAAAGTCCAAATCAAGCATAAGTCATTCGTGGAGACTCACCAGCGCACATTTCTGAAAAATTACTCCATTCTCGGAAGTCCCTTGAACTTGTCTTGAAATATCTCCATACTAAAAGAAAGAAATTATTTAAAAGTGAAGACTATCCCATGCTACACGTACTTAATAAAAACACGCGATGGTAGACTTTTTAAAGGCGGGTAGAGGGATTACTTCCGCGGCTGCAGCCACCCACAGAGCAGGTGCAAACCTCCTCCTTGTGTAAATCCTCTGTTGTGCACAGGAAGAGCACTGGGGAGAGGTAACTGGGCGGTCCCAGTGACGTCACATTTAGGGAGAGAGAGGGAGCAGCTGGTTGGAGGAACAAAAGCCTATGACGTGCTGTTCACGGCCAGCTCAGAAGGGTCCTTCCACCTGCTGACATGCTCAGAAGGGTCCTTCCACCTGCTGACATTCGTGAGGAGGTGCTGCCTCGTTACTCACCAGGTGGGGCGTTACAGCAGACTCTCTTTTAAAGAGGTTCCTCTTGGGCCAGGAAGGTGCGAAGGCAAATAAGGAATGAGTCCACAGCCCTGGGGAGGCTGCCGAGGTCAGGACTGGGCTGGGGACGTCGGTGTTCCTGTTGGGTTTCATTCCAAGTGGGACTTCTATGAAAGACAGCCAAGCATAGCAGGACAGGAGCGAAAGGCAGTAAACACAGCAGTTAAACTCTGAGACGGACCTCACGGTGTGTGGAGGGCACTCGGAAAGGGACGCTGGGTGAGGGGCTGTGCTCATGAGTGAGTGGATGGAAGAGGGGATAGACAGGTGACTCGCGCTCTTTGCCAGGAAAGTGGGGCAGGCTCACGGGAAGCCGAGGGCTTGGGAGGGGTGTTTCTGAGCGTGGTCTCCTTACCTGGACCCTGTGCAGCAGTGTACATTCCCGGGCCCTGGCCACAAATCAGAACCACTGGACTATGGACACTCCCTGGGTGATTCTCACCATGAGATGAGATAGTCCTGGGTTCCAGTCCTGGCTCTGCCACTCTTCAGCTGTGAGCCCTTGGGCAAGTCACCTAGCCTCTCTGTTTTCCTTAACTGCTATGGTTACTGTGGTTTGCCCCCAAAGGCTCATGTGCTAGAAACATGGCCCCCAGCACTGAAAGGTGGTGGGACCTTTAAAAGGTGAGGCCGAGGTGGGGGCGACCGGGTCATGACCTCCTCAGAAGGGACCAGTGCTGGTCTCGAGGAGCAGGTGAGGTCTCCCAGGAGTGGATTACTTCTGCCAGAGCCAGTCACTCCTTATAAAAGGAGCCCAGCCCCTCTGGTCTCTTGCTTTCTGTTTTGCTATGAAACTTTGTCAAACACACCCCTGCCAGGCCATCACATCAGCTGTGCTGTGTAGCCTAAAAGCCCTCATCAGAAGCCCACCAGATGGGCTGTCCCCTTTTGGACTTTGAGCCTCCAAAACCGTGAGCTAAATAAACTTCTTGATCCAAGTACCCAACCTCAGGCACTTGATTGCAGCAATGCAAAAATAGACCAAGATGTAAACTCTGAAGAGGAGTTAACTCCTGCGTTAGTGGACCCCAGAGCCTCCACCTACTGCAGCACAAGCTCTGGTGGCCATCATAAGGAGGACAGGCACAGGCCGGACACAAGCACTGGCTGAGCCAACCAACACAAGATGACTCCTGCGAGAATCTGCTCTACATTGAAATATTTTGAAAGTTCATGAGCATTGTATGTATAGAAATGTCTCTTAAATCACCCGCGCTGGGTTCAGGAGTCCTGCTGAGCAGGTGCCGCTTGGCTGCTAGTGGGCCGTGGGCTCTGGCCAGGGGAGCAAAGTTCTCTGAGCTTGGTCCTTCTCACCAGGGATGAGGTTAAGACACCCATGGGGCGGGGCTGCCCTGGGAGCCAATGAGCCACCACAGGTCACATGCTTGAAGTTAGAAATTTATCTAGATGGGCAGGTAGACAGACAGACAGACTGACTGACTAGGCAGTGTGGAGACAAGTCTCACTGTGCTGCCCAGGCTGACGCAAATGATCCTTCTGCCTCAGCCTCCCAAGTAGCGGGCACTACAGGAGTGCCCACCACGCCTGGCAGGAATCTATACTTTCACGATGACCCAGACTGTGCAGCTGCGCTTCCTTTAACATCCATCTCTGTCCAAGCACAACTGCAGTGTGCCTGCAGACACACCCATTTTGAGTCATTCTCACTGTGTTGACAGCAAGGTCTTTAATAGTATGTTTTAAACCTACAGAATTTCAAAAAACAGGTAGGGAAAAATTTTAAATTGAGAAAAAATAAAAAAGATGTGGGATGGGGCGCTAGATAAAATTAAGGTCTCTTGTTCCTTGGACAATGTCTGGTGGATTTGGTTCGCGAAGCTGCCGTGAGGATCAGGGTCCCCACCGCACAACTCTTCACACTGAGAAGCTGGCACCGGGACCTGACAGCCCTGGCCACGAAACAACCGGGCTCTTTCCCAGGCCAGCCGCTGAGCTGGTCAGAAAGGTCTAGGGAATCAAGTGGGCACAGTGCTCTCTCCAGACCCCAGCCCCTTGGGCTCAGGGCAACGGCTCGCCCCGCACACCCACTGGACGTAAAATCTTATACTGGATGTAAAAGACCTACATGAGTCTCAGGACTCGTCTCTGGGCACCTGTGTGTGCCCCACTGGCTCCTCCTGGTCCTCGGGAGCACCCCCCCAGGAAGGCCCCTCTCTAGTCAGTGGGAATCCTGCTGGGTCTACGGACCAGGGGGCCCACCTGCGTCCCAGCCTATCTGGATCCCAGGATCCCACAGTTAGGCAAAGAGTCCAGAAAACTCCAACCTGGCCTCGGTGACAGGTTCTGGGACACACATGACAAACTGAGCCCATTGGTTTCCCTGAATTTATACGAGGACAGTGGAGGAAAGCTCTTCACTCTGCAAGTGCCAGCCACGGGGCTTGGATCCCAGGGCTGCCACCGCCTGGAAAGGCTGCTCGGAGAAGGACGCCCTCCAGAGGACAGCAGCAGGGCAGCACCTGGGTCCCACGGGGACCTCGTCCCTGGGGTGAGGTTGTTACGGGCGATCAGTTTCCTCTTGCGGACAGTTAGTGTCACCTGGTGTGATGGACTGAATCATGGCCCCAACGATACTTGGGTCCTGATCTTTAGCAGGGACTGCGCAGAGGGACTACACCGAGGGCCTGTGAAGGGGCAAGAGCTGGGTCGTCCAGATGGGCACTGAATGTCATCCCAGGGGTCCTAAGAAAGAGCCCAGGGGAGACTTGAGGGGAGGGGGGTGACATGGCCACCCAGCTGGCTTTGAAGAGGTGGGAGGGGCCTCGACCTGAAGAACTCCAGGAGTGGGCTGCAGGTGCCACCAGAGGTGGACCCTGCCCAGATCCCCCCAGGGAGCGGCCCTGTCCACCCTCCACTTCAGCCCGGGGAACGGAGAACAGTGTTGTTTAACGAGCTCTGAAGCTGTCACAGCAGCACAGGTCACCGAGAGCCTGGCGCTCAGCACGCTGTTTCCCTCAGCAGGCGTCCAGACAGCCCGGCCTGCCCTGATTCAGCACTGTGTCCTCACTACCGCTCAGGCATGCTCTCCGTGTTTTGTTTTGTGAGTTCAGGGAACAACCTGTTTGCCCAGGTGGGGGGACACCGCGAGGACCCACAGGGTGACGCAGGTGAGGGTGGGCTCTGGGTGCCGCCACTCAGGGTCAGAACAATGAGAAACCACCTGAAGCAAAACTCACCTGCCGTCTTCAGGTGAGAGCGCTCCACGTGCAGCCACGTCCTACAGAACAGGCCCTAAAACACACGACAGGCCCAGAGTCGTGAGCTGAGGAACACACTCCTGGGGAGCGGGCCACGGTCACTTTCCAGAACAGCTCCCTGGAGAGGAGCGGCACCTCTCTTCCACGTCTGGAAGCACCTGCCCAGACACACTGCCCTTCTGGGAGCTGTCTAGGGCACAGCACGGTGTGGATGAAATGCCGCCGACAGATCTGTGTTGGAATCCCAGGTCTGCTTCCACGGGCGGGGGCCCCGGCAAGCCCCAAGCATCGTGATTCCCAAGAACCCACAAGCTGCTGGGGTGGCAGTGAAACACCGGACGGGGAGTCAGAACTGGGTTCTAGTTAGCAGCTTCTACTCACTGGGTATCCTCGGCCAAGTCTCAGCTTCTCTGAGCCCACTCCCTCTCTGAAAAGGGGCCATCTCAAAGCTCCCCCAGCTTGCCTACCTCATGACTGAAGAGATCTTATCCAAACTGCACCCAACCAGGCCCTTCCGCTCCACTTTGTGAACTCTGGACCCTGGAAGGCCAGAGCCCCCCCCCCCTCCTGTATGCTCCTAAGGGCTGCCCTGGATGGGGCCCCTTCAGCGTGCCAGGTCCTGAGCTGGCTCTCCAAGCCTGTGGTACAAGAACGCGAAAGAACCGCGGAGTATTAGCCTCATTTTAAAGTGCTCTCCCCAGACTCAGGGTAACTAGGAACTCCCTCCAGGCCTCATGGGAACGGTGGTGGGACTGCCTTTCACCCAAGCAGCTGCTCTGGACTTGGGCTCCCACCATCCGCTCTCGCTGGCTTCTGTGTAGTTAAGAAGGACGCATGAGCAGGAGGGCTGAGCAGGACACTCAGGCCTGGTCTCAGGTCCAGTCCCAATGGCCACACGGGAGTGGGTGTCTTCACTTGTTTGTGCTGTCATAACAAAACACCTGAGACTGGGTAATTGGCAATGAACAGAAATTGATACGGGGTGCGCTGTTGCTGTAGCAATACCTAAAACTGGGAAGCAGCTTGGGAACTGGGTAATGGGGAGGCTAAACCGTAACAGGCGTTCTCGAGGGGACTCGGGTGTTGGGGGCCATGTGTGCATAAACCATGGTTTGCTCAAGCCATTAAGGCAGAGAGGCCACTCTTTCAGGAACTCCTGGGTGTAACTCCCCGGACGCCTGGATCAAGCTGGCCCCATCTTAGCTCACAGCCTTAGGATCAAACAGCCTCCCAGAGATGGGCATAGCCCACCAAATGCCAAATAACCTGTCTACTGCAAGACCCCTGGCACACGGGCAGCAAGCCCCTAATCAAGACTCCTCCCCCACAGAAACTTTACACTTACCCGTCCCTTGATCTGTACCGCGATAAATAAAGCAAGTGTGAGCTTCTTCTTTATTAGAAGCCAGACCCCTCTGGTCCACTCAACTGGTCACGCCCCTGCTTTAAAAATATCCTCGCCTTTTGTCTTTAATCCTGACACATTACCTTCACAGCTTTTATCTCACAGCCAGCCCATCCCTCCGGTGGGTGCCCATTCCCTCGCCCACACCGGACGTGAGCCAGGTTCAGCAGGAGGAGAGCTGTAGGGAAAGTAGGGACTCCCTGCAGATGAGTCAGGTGCCCACCAGAATGTTGGTAAGGATACAGACAATAAAGCCATCCTGATGCAATCTTAGGTGAACATGGACACAGGAAAAGCCATCCTTGTTACAAAGTGGCAGAAGTCGCGCCTGAATCTTGTCCTGTGATGCTCTGGGGAAGGCAGAGCTCGCAGGAAGGCACAGGGGCATCTGGCAGAAGGAACCTCAGCAGGGCCCAGGGCGCACCTTGACTGCTTGTAGCAAAACCAGAGAGAAAACCAACAAATGAAAGAGAATTTATAATCAGAAGAAGAGCGCCCTTACTATCTGGGAAACGCTCAGGCAGCCAGGCCGTGAAGACGGAAAAGGGTTCCGGAGAGGATCCCAAGGCAGCGGCCAAGGGAGCTCCCGGAGAAAGATCCGTGTGGCCCTGAGGAGGCCACAGGCTGTTGATCAGGACAACGGAAGAGGGACCCTGACTGCATCCTGCGGATCCTCAAGACCTTCCAGGCTGCTCTCCCATCCCAGGGTCTCGGGGGCAGAAGAATGTCAAGGATGTGCCCAGGATGCCCACAGGACCTTGGTGCTCACGGCCCAGGGCGCCTCAAGCCTGTTTCCTGAATCCCAGTGCAGAGCTGCCCCGCATCCTCTGGAGGCCACAAGCAGAAGCTTTGGTGGTGTCCAGCTGTACAGGGTGTGACACTGCAGGAGCTACAGAGACATGGCTGTCCCCAGCTGGACTTCACAGGGTGCCTGGACGGGCTTGGGGCCCGGATGAGAACAGTCAATGGGGTGAAACACCACAGGGACCCCACGAGAGCAGGCAGCAGTGAACTGTGGGGGCGGGGCTGCCCCCAGACCCAGGACAGCTAAACCTCCTAGGCCAGCCTGGAGGGTCACCGGCGCCCAGCCCACCCGTGGGGGCTGCTCTGAGTGCACCCAGCAGAGCGGGGCCGGCCCACCAGGGCCTCCCGTGCCAAGCCCCGCCCTTGTGTCCAGAAGGCAGGGGACGCAGTCCAGGATAATTCTCCAGCCTGGGGTGTTAATGTTTCCCTGCAGGTGTGGGGTCTGGTGGGCCCCGTCGTCGTCCTCCCCGCTTCTCCTGTTTGGGAGGGAACGTCTATTTGGGGCTGCTCCACAGCTGTTCTGCAGAAGCTCCTAACCAACTGGACCTCCGGGATCATGACGCAAGGGACTCTGCCTCGGCTTCCTGCTCTCCCCCAGCCTGCGTCTCACCCAGGTCGACGGAGGTGAGCTTCCTGGGAGACTTCGGACTCTCAGGTCGACACGTAGGGTTACGGGGGGAAGGAGTGCACCGTGGATGAGAGCGCTGTGTCCCTCCGACACTCAGGATGAAGTGGGCACCCAGGTAACAGTACTAAGGGGTTTAGGAGGTAATTAGGCCACGAGGGTCTGCCCTCACAGACATGGTGAGTCCCCCTAAGACACGTGGAGGGGACTAGCTAGGCTTCTTCTTGAGCTTTTGGCCCTGCCCCTTCTAACACATGAGGACACAGCCATCTTGGAGGCAGAGACTGGACCCTCACAGGACATGGAACTTGCTAGCGCTTGACCTGGGACCGTCCAGCCTCCAGGACTGGGAGCACTCTTCCACTGCTACAGATGGCCCCTGTGGTACTGTGTGGACCAAGACTCTGGGACATGCCAGCTGAGACCACACTGGACACAGAAGGGGCTGTGTGGCTACTGTCTCTGTCCCCTGAACAGCCTTCCCGTGTCCTGTCTTGTAGTCAGAGCAAGCCACCCTGTGTAGCTGTGGGTTCCAGGCCTGGTCCTTGCAGGCCTCTATAGCCCTGGACACAACCCTCTGGGGGCAGCCCTAATGGAAGGGCGTGAGCCCCACCATGTGGAGCCCCCCCAGCTGTCCCTCATTCCACTCCACTTGCGGCATCTGTTACCTCCTCAGCACCTTCCCTGACCACCCCCATGGCTCTCCATCCACTCTGCCCACACGTGTGCCCGCTCAGCCCTCGGGGCCCACCACACACAGCAGCACACTGCTGGCTACCCTCCTCCGACTCTGGGAATCCAGAGCAGGCATCACCTTGGTCTGCCTCGTTCTCCCACCCAAGCTGTGGGGCATAGCCAGTGGCTGGCAGGCATGCCGTGGCCAGTGTCTGGTGGGCATTCCGTGGGCAGGGGATGGGGGATGGCTGACTGGGAGGCCTCCTCTCCAACACCCTCCCTGCCTTCTGCCTTCCGTGAGCTCCAGCAGGGCCTTCTGCAGCCAAGGAAATGTGCTGTGACAGAACTGTCCACTGTGCAGCCTCCAGACGCGGGGGCCATTCTGCACCTCAAATGTAGCTGACACACTGGCCATCTGGGAGACAGTTGGAACTGCCCAGTAAGAGGGGACAGATGCCAAACGAACCCTGAGCACTGATGCCCAGGTTTACAAAACCCTTTCCTGTGGAGCCAGCCACTAACAGCAAGTGCCCGGGGAGCACAGGTCTGGGTGGACAGCCTCCCCGCACCTGGAACCACTGTGGTCACGGCCTCCTCGCCTGTAAGATGGAGATGAGTCCTTTCATCAGAACTACCTAAAGAATTAAGTCAGATAATGCACGTAGAGCACTTAGCGTGGCCCAGCACACAGCAATCACCCGGGGAATGCCCCACACCACTCGTGCCCTCCGTTACTGCACTACTGTAACTATGTCATCACTGCCACTACCGTGTCACCTCTCCATCATCTGCAATAAAACTGAGAAGGAACTAGAAAAAGTGCTGTCTTGTAAATGAGAAAAAAATGGGGCTTGGAGCTGGACCGAGCCTCTTGTCAAGAACAGATGGGGGCCGTGATTATGGCTCAGTGGTAGAGCGCTGGCCTAACGTGGGGGAGGCACGGGGTTCAGTCCTCGGCACCACATAAAAATGAATACATACAATAAAGATCTTAAAAAGTGTTGTATCTGTTTTAAAAAAAAATCTTTTTTTAAAAAAGAAAAGGAGGACGATGACGTCTTGGTTACCGCTACTTCCTCTGGAGCAGGCGAGGGAGAATCAAAGACGCACAACGACGCTCTTGATCACTACCATGTGCTGCTTAGTAAATGGGGTCAACCCCGGAGAAGGCACAGACGTCCTGCTCTCAGGAACAGGAGGAGTGTAAACAACAATGTGCTGCGCGTCCTATGCTATCCACGGACGGGGAGGGGAGAGGAGGACATGAGAAAGTCGTCACGGTGCTGGGAAGAAAACTGGGGAAAGGAGAGAGTGGCTCCCAGCAGCCACGTGGACGGCCTCCTGAGAGGGTGACGCGGTGAGAGAGGGCTGGGCCTCTCGGGGAGCAGCCTCCGGGCTGGGGATCCCCTCCTGAGGGTGTGTGCCTGGAGCGGTCAGGAGCAGCAGAGGCCAGGGTGCCAGAGCAGGGTGACTTGGCAGGACAGACCTGGGTGAGGTCACAGTGCAAGGGGCGATAGAGGGGCTTTCAGGCCACCCGGGAACTTGCCTCTGCTGAGTACCAGGGGGCGCGGGGGGGGGGGCAGGTGGGCTGCCTTGTGAAGGTGGCAGGAGGAGGCTGTTTCCAGTGGGACACCCGCCGGGCTGCTCTGCTGACAACGGAGAAGGTGGGCAGGGGTGGGAGGGGGACGAGCTGGAAGGCTCCCGATGGTCCCCGAGGGCAGCAGCCAGGACCAACGGGGTCATCATACAGAGTGAAGGCCACACCGACGTTCTGAAATGGAACCCTTGGGACCTGCTGGCTGATGGACATGGGGAGGAGCCAGTGAGGAGGCCGAGGGCAGTGCCGAGGCTGTGGCCCAGCACAGGAAGGAGGGGCACCAGGAGCAGCAGGGCGGCGAGGAGCGATTCACGCCGTGCGCAGGCCTGTGGCATGCCCCTGGGCCTCCACGGAGTCTAGCAGGCGGATCTGTGCTGGACTTCCTGGAAGTCACCCCTGGAGGTCAGAATTTGGGGCTGTCAGTGGACAGATCACCCCAGGCATGCGTGGCCATGGAGGACAGAGGGGTCCGAGCTCTGCCGTGCTGCAGCCTGCAGGTGGAGAGGAGCACGGAAGCCCCCAGAGACCCCGTTTTACCTTGCCAAGCTCTCAAGAAGTATTTGAGGATGCTTCCCTGGCCAGGAGAGCTGCTCAGAAAGCCAAGATCAGTGTACCTCATAACAGCAACGTGGCAGCGTCCACCACCTTGAGTGTTTTTGTGTTTCGGGCTGGAATTTTTTTCTCTTTTTCCATTAATTGACCCAACCTGGGACACACCCAGCAGTACATTCGCCTTAACCTCACAGCTAAACCAGATCACTGTTGTTTGATATTCAAGTAGAAGAGCAAAAACACAACAATACCCACACAAACCGTGATGATGTGGGCCTCGTTCTGAAGTGTACATCTGTCGTTCCCTAAGTCCCTGGGCGTCAGGTAGGGCTTGCATACAGCAGTGCTTGTCAAACGTGCTAGTCTCAGGAACCTTCACACCCTCCACAAGTATGGAGGGCTCCCAAGAACTCTGCTTTGTGCAGACTATATTTGTTTTATTTATTTTATTTTTATGTGGTGCTGAGGATGGAACCCAGGGTCTCACACGTGCTAGGCGAGCGCTCTACTGCTGAGCCACAACCCCAGACCAGACTATATTTATTAATATTTTGTTTTTTTCCTTATCACAGAGAAAATATTTTTACTATATTTCAAATTAGAGTTAGAATATTTTTGAGTGTCAAGCTGGGCACATAACTGTAATCTCAACAACTTGGGAGGCTGAGACAGGAGGATCATAAGTTTGAGGCCAGCCTGGGCAACTTAGTGAAACTCAATAATAAAGGGGGCTTAGGGTATAGCTCAGTGGTAGAGCACCCCTGGGGTCAATCCTCATTAAAATAAAAAAAACACTAATTCCCTTTTAGATAGGCATAATAATCCCACTGCACATCCACATAAGCAGCATATCTTATGAAAAATAACTACATTCTCCAAAATAAGAGTATGGGTAGCAGTGTTTTATGCTTCTGCAAACCTCATCTGAGTCTGGATTAATGAAAGAAGCTGAATTCTCAACTCTGCTTCTGGGTTAAATCTTCTCCTATACACATATTGTGTCACTTTCAAAAAAGTCCACTGTCCCCTGGTAAGGAGATGAGTGGGAAATGTACATAATGTCTCAGTATCACTATAAAAATTGCTCTGACTCCTTTGACCCCAGATGCAGTTCCTGGGCCCCACTTTGAGAACCACTGGGCAGTGAGAGGCAGTCTCGGTGAGCATCAGATGAAGAAACCACAGAAGACACTCCCATAGGAAGGAGACAGCGAGGGGCCCAGGCAATGAAGCAAATGTTCCAACCAAGGGATTCAGGGCATCACGGGTCCAAAGACAGTGGAACATATCACAGTCCCTCCCACCTGGGGCTTCACCATGAAGTTCTGTGCACACAGGATGTTCTCTCTTACTCCTTCCCTAGATAAACCCACTCATCCTTTGAACGTTAGCTGAACGATTTCATCTGACCACCTAACTGAATGACCCTCCTTCCCAGCCCTCCCTCATAGCTCCCCACCACTCTGCTCAAAAGTACTTAATCACTGTGCAATTATGAACGTACTTCCCCAGCCCCTGGCACACAGCATGGCCCTCAGCAAAGGTGTAAATACCTATGAACATGTGTATGTCTGCGTATACACATGTGTGTATGTGCATGTGTGTATATGTACATGTATGTGTGTATAAAATGAATGGAGGGAGGGAAGGTTTCAGACAATCACACAGAAACAGCTAACAGGCACCTTCAGGAACTAGGATCGTGCTATGGAGAGAGTCTTCCACCACTGTGGGGAACCTTGCCCCAGGCCCCACAGAGTGGGGTGAGTGCTCACGGCAGGGACACCCAAGACCCACAGAAGCCCCAAGTTCTTTACTGTCCAGCTTATGGAAGGATTGTCTGAGACAGGCCCAGAGTGATGCAGGAAGAACTGGCATGGGCAGGGCCAGGACCCAGGTGAGGCAGGTGCTAGAGACACAGAGGGCACCTGGACACAGGTGCTCACTCGAAGGTTCCTTCAAGGGCAGGAGATGACCTGGACTCACTCTGGTCCTGCATGGCCTCAGGCACTTCCCAGAGGGCACTGTCCCTCCTCTCAGCAGGCCCATCCTCCACACCTGCTCTTGACAGAGGCCCACGTCCACCTCAATGTTCCAGCACAATCTGGCCCTGGAGCCCACCCTGCACCTGCAGGCACAGAAGAGCACGAGGCCAGGGCCATGCTTTCTTGGGCCTTGGTTTTTTCCTCCACAAATGGGCCAGATAATTCCCACTTCCCTTGGCAGAAGCAAGTGAAAGGACCCAGTGAAAATGCGCTGTCCTTGGGCTACTTACAGCTCAAAGTTCACAGACACAGTGCAGTGCTTCATACTGAAACCGAGAAGACATGACATAGGAAGCATCAGAGGCATTCTCAACCTCTGCAGCCATGAGGGAGCCCTGGGGCATGCACCAGACAGAGCGGCAGGACTGCAAGCTGGCCCTGGGGGAGAGTGGGAGGACTCCAAGGGCATCAATGATCCAGCGCCTGGCGAAGGCGCTCCTGGAAATCTCTGGGTTTGCAGCCAGGATTCATGAGACAGCCAGGAAGGAAGAGGGAAGCGGTGGGACACAGACCTTGGACAGATCCCCCTAGAGCCTGGGGGAAGGGATGGGGCACAAATTAAGGAATGAAATCTAGGATAGATCTTCACCAAGGGCCAGAGGCAGACAAGTGACCTGATCAGAGAGAGAAGGCATGAGGCTGGTGACCAGCTTGGGGAGGAGGAGAGAGCTAGGGTATCCGGTGCCTTTCCAAGTTTGGACACAGAGAAAGACCAGGGTCAAGGCCAAGTGGGAGATGGCCAAACTCATCAGGGAAAGTGTAGTGTGGTAAAAATCCAGCCAATACCCCCGAAGCTCATGTCACAAGCTGCACCTTCCCAAGAAGAGGTGGCCACCGCTTTAACAGACGCACAGTGGCCTCTGGGGGAGTCACCATTAGGCAGGGTTGTATGTGCAAAGAAAGAGAAGTGAAGTGATTTGCTCGGGGACACAGAGCTCCTAGAACGCGAAGCAGGATTCGAACCTGGCCGCTGGTCGTGGCCAAGCCTTCACCCCCAATCCAGAGCCGCCCCCTCCCGTCGGGGTTCTCTGGGGCGCGCGGGAGGCACCTTAGCGACACCTCCAGGCGCGGCGGTCGGATCCCGCCTCCCCTTCCTCGTCCTCTGCCCAATATTAAAGGCCCCCGCCCGGCCTGCAGACCGTGGGCCGCGCGGGTCCCACCCGAGCCCGGGGCGGCGCTGCTCACCTGTGCTCTGCGCTCGGGCCCTGCCCCGCTGGGTGCCGAAGGGGTCCCCGGGCAGGGCCCGACCTGGCCCGCCGCGGGCAACGTGCGGGGAGTCTGCTCGCCGAAGGGGTGATGGAGCGGGCCGGGGCCCGCGGGGAGCCAGCCTCGGGCCCCCAGAGCCAGGGCCGCGACCAGGACGCCCCCGGCCAGCACCCACGTGGCGCGCCACCCAGCGCCCACGGGACCCATCGCCCGCCGGGGTCCCGCGCCCCGAAACCGGCAGGCGCCGCGGAGTCGCTGGGCTTCCGGACCCCAGGCCCGCCCCGCCGCCGAGCATGCTCAGTGCGAGCTGCCGCGGAAAGTTTTCTGGAACAAACACGGGCATCTGGACTTGGCGGGCCGGGAGGCGCCCGGGGTGTGGGAGGGAGCCAGGGAGCCAGGCTGGTGAGGCTGAGCGCTGCGCGGTCACGCCCCGGTTGCTCGCGCTCTGCCGGGTGTCCCATACTACCCAAATCAGAGCAGGTCCCTCTTCCGACTCCAGGGATTACCAGGGGTCCTCTACTAAAGCCCACCCGGTTCTCTGGATCCCAGCTCAGCCTCACCTCCTCTAGGAAATCCCTGGACACCGGACTAGATCCCCACGCTTCCCTCACCCACCTATTAGGAAACCGAAAGGCGTTAGGGCATTTGCAGAGAGCCTGCGATGTCTCTATCAGAGGAGCTGGCAGGGAGCAGGCAGAGAAAAAAGGTGACCCGCACTTCCTGTTGGGTTCAGTATTCACTGGATTAGCCCCTGGAACTGCCCAGGGGGGCACATTCCCAGGGAGAGGCAGGTAGTTTCTGACTCTCTCTGGAGAATCAGAAAGAGGGCAGAGCATGTCTGGAGCCTGGAAGCCTTTGAGCAGCTCCTCTGAGCCCTTCTTGGGGACACGTGGAGACTAGGCTTGGCTTGGCTTTGCCCTGGGGATTGGGGGTGGGGTGCAGTTTGTCTGCTTCCTGTTCCTTTCTCATCCCCTATGGGCACAGCTCATGCCTGATCACTGGGGAAAAGAATTCCTCTCCTGCCAGTTTTCTTGCTGGGCAGCCTCTGAGGCTGGCATTTCACCTCCCAAACACACATCTCCAAGGACAGGCCTTCTTGACCTGTCACGGATAAGGTGATGGGTTAAGGATCTGAGAGAGAGAGAGGCCAACATTCCCACAGTAGGTTTGCTGTCCTAGGTGGTACCTGGCTGTGTCAAGAGTGAGACAAGGCCAAAGGCTAAATGCCAAGCATCCTACTGGAGCAGCAATGTTATATGGCAGCGAGTCATTTAAAATGACATTTTAATATTCAAACAACCTTGTAATAAAGTAAAGTGCAATGAACATTACATGATTCCCTTTTTTTAGACGGGTCCTGCTGTGTTGCCTGGGCTGACCTTAACTTTGAATCCCTGGATGCAGCCATCCACCTGCCCCTCCTCCTGAGGACTGAGTAGCTGGGACTAGAGATGCATGCCACTGCACCAGCCTTTACATTTGGAAAACTGAAGCCTGAGCATGCCACGAAATAGCCAGCATAAAGCACAGGGTTATTGTCCCTGCAGATGTGCCCAGGAGCCTTGGAAATTCTTCTGAGGAAACATTTAAGCAGCTAGCAGAGACTGTGTGCCTTGAAGCCAGACAGGCGCAGGGTTGAGTGTTGCACTCCTTAGTTGCACCTTGAGCAAGTCACCTCTCCTTTCTAGCTGTAAGTTTTTTCATCCGTAAAAAAGATGAGGAATTTGGATAATAGTTCCCACCTTGCCCACCTGGAAGGGTAGAGGGAAATGATGAAACAGACTGGAGAGTTGAGCCTGGTCTCCAGGGCGAGAAGCTCAGCACAGAAGCCCTCTCTGTTGAAACAGATCCCTGGATTACCTCCAGCCCTCCTCTCACGGGGAATCCAGGTAGGAGCCGGCACAAGCACACATCTGGGAGCACTCATGTGCCCCTGGCTGCACTCTGGCTCCCAGGACGATTGCTAGCAGGCACTCTGCATTCAGAAGGAGCAGGACGATGGCATCGCCTTGTGTGTCTCCACACAGCCTGGAGATCCAACCAGATCCCTGCTCCAGAAAGACACTGCATGTTCTCTGCAAATGCCCAGCAAATGGAAGAGCTCCCACTGTCTCAGAGCTAGTGGGGCCAGGGTGTGGCAATCTGTTTACACATTGCTTTAGAGAAAAGCACAGGCCGTAGGAAACGGGGAACTTCAGGGTAGCAAATTTGGGGTAGTGGTAGGTTGTGAGGCCCCAGGAAGGCCAGCCCTTAGAGGAAGGAGCAAGAGCTGAAGTCCAGTCTGCTTGAGGCTACTGAACTGCTCTGACCTTGAGCTTCCTCCTCTAGAGGATGGGCAGTGAACAGCACCCTTCACGGAAGGTTAGTGGGAAAGTTAATGAGATCATCAGATTAAAAGCTTAGCTTATCTAAGCGGTCTATCAGTTTAAAGGAGCAAACCTCCCGGGTGCTTGGGGACACCCTTTCTCCACCGGAGCCCAGGATGCCTGGTGTAAAACAAGACCCCCTCTTAAAAGTCCTGCGGGCTGGGAGCGCGCCTCTGGTGGGCATGCTCAGTGCAGCGGCAGGGCCGGGGGCGGGGGTGCCTCAAAGTTTTGGGCGGACGGCCCAGGCTCCTCCCTCCTGCTCGGGCGGAGCAGGGAAGCCAGAGAGGAGCAAGGGGAAGGCGACTTCACCCACCGGAAAGTGGGCGAGCGCCCCGCGCTCCTGGCCGCCCGGGCTCCGAGGGCCGCATCGCGGACGCCGTGGGCACCTTGCGGTGGGCCGCGGGCCGGGGCACTGCGCGGCGGCGGGCGGGATGCTGCCGGTCCCCCGTCTGAGCGCCCGCGATGGCCCGCGGCGCCGCGGCCTGTGCGAGCGACGCGCGGCTGCTGCTGGGCCGGGACGTGCTGCGGCCCGCGCCCGCGCTGCTGGCCCCCGCCGTGCTGCTGGGCGCCGCTCTCGGCCTCGGCCTCGGTCTGTGGCTCGGCTGCCGCGCGGGCCGCCTGCGCCCGCGACACCAGGTGAGTTCACCGAGCCCGCAGCCACGGGGCGAGAGCGCGGTCCTTCACGGTCCGGGGTCCGAGCCCAGGCTCTGTGTCCCGGGCTTTGGCGCGATTGCCGGCTTTGAGTTCCCCTTCTGCTCCAGGAGGGAGTTGGAAGCAGGGATTTTGGAGGGAGGGTACAGGGCATTGGCCTGGCGTCCTGCTGAAGTGTCTATTGCATCCTACTTTGCTGCATGATCTTAGCCTGCAGGCCTCTTTGGGCCAATTTTCTCCTCCAAAGGACCATGAGTTCGGACATAATGCTAGCAGATGTGCCCAGTTCAGAGGGGTGCGCAGGGGGCTGGGTGTCTGCTCCTGCTTCTCCACTTCCTGCCCGCCCCTGTGAATTACCCAGCTTGATTCCCAGCTGCTGTAGCATTCATGGTTCAGTTCACTCATCCCTACAGCAACAGGTGACTGAGAACCTTTTACGAGGAGCCAGTGGCCTAGGGACTCAGATGGAACAAGGACCAGGAAAGACTTTGCCCTTGTCAGCTAGCAGGAGAAAGACACATTGCAAGTAAACATTTGGTCATAACACATGGGTTCTGTGACTGAGAACTCAGGCTAGCATGCCTTGAGTGCCAGGGAGCTGCTGAGCTAGACCCTCTGCCTCAGTCTCACTGAGTCCCGAACAGCTTTGATTTCCATTAACGTTTCCATTCTGCACATAAGGAAACTGAGGCACAGAGAGGTTAAGTAACTTGCCACAGTGAGCGTGTGAGCCTAACCCCGAAGCCACTGTGTTCTATGTGGATGAGGCTCGGGCGGCTGGCTGCTGAGAAGACCAGCAGATGCTGCACACCCCAGCTGTGCTGATGAAGTGGGCGTCTTGGAAACACCTGGCACACAGTAGGTGTGGGTCAGTCATGGTCAAGGAGGACCTTGTTCTAGATCCTTTTAGCTTCTGCCTCCATGAGGAGTAAAGAGATAGGATTGGAGATGAGGTGATGTTGTTTCCGGCTCCCACCTGCTCTTGGTCCTTGTGAAAAGGAGACGTGTCTGGCCTGGGCACACAGGCTCTTTCCCAGTGAGCTGATCTCTGGGAGTGTCACGTTGCACAGGGACAAGGGCTGAATCGGAAACAGTGCAAGGTGCTGCAGGGAGTTGGGGGCTGTCTGCACCGCCCGCAGGAAACATTAAGGGAGTCTGGCTTCTTGGGTGGAGACAGAAAGGTCCAAGGAAGGGAGACTGCCAGGCCTGGCCCTGTGCAGGGTTTGTGGGTTCTTTATCCTCAGTGGGGCCTAGCAGGCAGGGACCTATCAGCAGCCACTTCACAGTGAGGTGATGGAGGCCCTGCAAGGTTGATACTAGTCCAGGCTCACACAGTAAACCAGCATGGGGGTGGGACCCCAGAGCCAGAGCTTGAACCACCTGCTACCTGGTAAGGTGGTCCTTAGCATCCTGTTTGGGTCAGCTGAGGCTCACAGTCTAACAAAGCTGTGAGGGTTGGCACAGCTGGTCAGTTGAGGATGATGGTGGCCAGGCCAGCATGGTAGCCACAAGGAGGCTCTGGCTCAAGGGCAGAGCCACGGGCTCTTATGGCTTAAATGTGACCTATGCAACGGCCTCCTTTCTAATGGGACTCCCTCCTCCCCTGTCCTTCCTGCAGTCTTTTTCTAAAACACACGTCCTACAGTATGGCTGTCTTGATGAAAACCCCGTGCCCCCTGTTGACTCCGAGATAATGCCAGGCTCCTCGCACAGTGCGTTAGGTGGTGCGCCTTCCCCTGCACCTGCCTAGCACGAAGGTGGCCGTGCACCCACAGAGATGGCCCTGGAGGCCGCACGCCCTCTCCTGCCTCCTACACACGTGTTCTCAGCCCAGGAGTTTACTGTGCATTACTCTCCTTTTCTTTTGTTCCTTTATTTATCACTAGAATCTTTAACTTTGAGTCAAGTTACCCCTGCACGCCGTGTGAAGTGCTCCTTTGAGAGCAGCACCCCCCGCCATCCCCACGTCTCAGAAGCCAGTGTCCTCAACTCTCAGCTGCTGCTTTTGGTAACTTATTCCCCATTTCTAAATAACATGGCTGGGTTGCTGCTGCTTTCTGGCCTTAGCAGCACCCGCTGAGTTCCTTGGTGGGAAGGAGGAGGATTTAGCTCTCTTCCCCCCTCCATCAGTACACTCACCCCCAATCCCACCAGTCCTCTTGCTGCGTGGCGAGAGGGGAGCTGGGGTTAAATCGTATTCAGTGTTTCTCTTACGATGACGCTGTAAGCATGACTCACTCTAAGTCAGGGATCAGTTATGGTCATAAATACTTTCCTTTCTTGCAGAACATTTTGTTTTTCCTGAAATTAACGTGTCAGATTTTCTGTTAGATTTCGCGGGCTTATCTCTCCTTTGTTTGTTGTACATTTCTTTTTAAAACATTGGAATACATAAGGCATTTGATCAGTTTTATCTTCTTGAGAAAAACATTCTGACATGCTCCAGTTTGAAACGGCTGCTCTCTAATGTCTGGAACAGACCAGCGGCATCAGCACCACCTGCAGCATGACAGGAGGGCAAACTCTGGGTCCCATCCTAGACTCACAGTATGAAAACCTCCAGGATGGGTCCCAGCAAGCCATGCTTAATAATCCCTCTCAGTAAATTTTCTTAGTGTTTGAGAAACACCTGCTCTGGGCTTCCTCTGTCACCGTGGAGACTTCACAGGGCCACCCTAACAGGACTCCTTATCTCTCTCCTGGTTGGATCCAGGTGCAGGATCTGGAGCACTTGTCTTTCTCTGACTGATTTCCTTGTGTGGATGGAGGGCATCCTGAAGTAGCTTTCTGAGAATGGGGTGGATTAAACTATTTTGAGAACTCCTCTGTCTGAAAATGTCTTTATCCTTCCATCTTTATCCCCAATTTGGTTAGGTGAGTTGGTATAGAATTCCAGGTTGAAAATAGCATTCCTTCAGAATTTTGAAGGCATCTTTCCATTTCCTTCTACTTCCTTTGTTGGCGTTGAGAAGTTTGGTTCTGTTCTGATTTTTGATACTGTCCATGAAGGCTCTTTTTCTTTTGCTCCTTGGTAGCATCTTGAAGAATTTTTTCCTTGCCCCAGTGTTATGGTTTAGAGATGGGGTGTCCCCTAAGAGCTCATGTGTGAGACAAGGCAAGAAAGTTCAAAGTGAAAGGATGGGTTCTGAAAGCCTTGACCTAACCCCTGTATCAGTCCCCTGAGGAGGATTGACAGGGTGGTGACATAGCCAGGTAGGGTGTGGCTGGAGAAGGTGCTCCATTGGGGGTGTGCCTTTGGGGTTATATTTTGTCGTGGTGAGGGACCTCTGTCTCTCCTTCCTGGTGGCCATCGGTTTCCTGAGCCACTTTCCTCCACGAGTCCCTTCTGCCGTGATGTTCTGCCTCACCTCAGGCCCCAAAGAATGGAGTCAGCGTGTATGAGCTGAGACCTCTGAAGCCATGACCCCAAATGAGCTCTTCCTCTCCTTGTTCTCGCTGGTCTTTTGGCCCCAACAGCAAAAAAGCTGACTGAACCCCGGGGAATCAAATTGCATCAGGACGGGCCTTGGTGGCATCTGTGCCATCTGTTGTACGGGCCTTTGGGTGGCTCTCTCAGTCCAGAAACTCCTTTTCCTTATTTGTTTGAAGATTCTTTCCTTTCATATGTTCGCTTACTTCTTCCAAGAACTCCATCATGCTCAGCCTAAATTGACCTCTGATTATTGATCTCTCCCTCCCGTATCCCATCTCTGGGTGTGTGTGGGGGGTGTGTGTGTGTGTGGGGGGGTGTACTTTCTGGGAGAGTTTTCTCGATTTCATGCTCACAGTTGATCTCCCTAGTTTTAATAATCAAGCACTCTGTTTTGTTCTAGAACCCCGTGTTTACAGCGTGCTCTTCTTACCTTGTGAATGAGCTACCTCCTCTCATCAGAGGACAGTGCACTGCTTTTGTGCAAGTTTTTGTGCAGCCTCTGACTCCTGCTTGCTTTCCACATTAGTGTCTGTCCACAAACGGCTGGAGGTCCTTGTCCTCGCTGGTGGCCCTTGTCCTCAGAGTCCATTTTAAACAGGGAACTAAACAACTGATGCTCCTGGGGGGGGGGAGTTTCTTCTGGGGTGTTTCCTGTGGTCCAGTCTGGCTGAGTCCTTCCACTCAGAGCTCTTGCACTGGTCAGCTACAGCTGCTGAGCCAACAGTCCTGAAGTCTGTGGCCGTATCATCTGCCCTCTCTCTACCCCAGGACACCCAGACTTCTCCAGGTGCAGGGACCTCCCCAGACAAGCTGCACCTGTGCCTGGCACAGAGCCTTTGCACGGGCTCTTCCTCTCCCTAGAAGCCCTTCTCTGAGGTATCTCAGAGCCTCACTTTCAAGTTTCTTCTCAAAGCCACCTTGTCTCTCCCCATCCGCCCAGGCTCCACCGCTTTCTCTGTAGCCCTCGTCTCCCCACCACGCTCCATATTTATTTGTGGATCTGTTTAGCTCTTTCTCCTTTCTGGAAAGGCAGCTCTGTGGAGGCTTTGCATTTGTTGTTCATGACTCTGTTCCCAGGACCTAGAATAAATCTCAGACTAACACAACGCAGTGCAAAGCGTGAGGTTTCTGCAGTGGAGAGATGGCGTCCACACGCAGCTAGTGGTCACGGGGGTTGGGAAGTGTCTCTGCTGTGTCCAAATTTAAATGCACTCTGTTCCCCTTGCTCGCGGTGGTTAGGCTAGTTCACGGAGATCGTGAATTGGTGCCTACTGAGCTTTGGTCCCCAGGGGAGGTGCCGGTGAGGACCTGGGAGCCTCTGCTCGCGTTTCCAGTGGCCAGTCATCGGGGTGCTGTTCTGCGTGTTTCTGATTAGAGATCCCTCACCTAATATGTACCATCGATGCCACCCTGGACCTCAGCCAGTGGCCCTTGTTTTCCTTCTGCCTGCGCAGGGCACATCACAGCCCTTGCCCGCCAGGGGGCACAAGAGGGTCCTTCAGCGCCACAGCTGGGGCCATTGCCAACAGCAAAAGTGACAATGAAACACAAAATTGGAATTTAGAAAATGCATTAAGAGGGCTGTGGAAAGGACACTTGTCTGCAGAGTGGGTGGGGAAGGGGGCCCTGCCTCCCTCACCTGCACTGAGGTCCGTGGGGGCAGCCCCTTCCTTCCCACTGGCCTGGGTGCACATGCAGCGGGGAACAGGGAATGCCCACAGGCATGGCTTGACTTAGCGGCCGGGGAGTTTGCAGATACAGGATCGACAAGATCACAGTTCACAGTGGGAATCGCTCTGTAATCTAAGGTGGCCCAAGGGCTTTTCTTTACCATCATCCAGTGGCATTAATGAAAAAGAAAAAAACAACCAGGGAGGTTAATATTGACGAGCATCTCCCCGCAGAGCCTCGTCCTCAAGGCTGTGGTCAGCAGGGCCACCAAGCTACCAGAAGCAGGGATGAGCTTTGCCCCAGGCCTGTCCTTGGGGTCCTGAGGGGCACGGAGGTGGGACTGTCGGGTGGGAACCTCTGGGCTGAAGTCCAGGGGCACAAGCCTGACTGACTTCGACATCCTGTGTCCATCCACCTCTCGGGGTTTAGAAAGACGACACTCAGCATCTACTCAAGAACGTGGAGCCTGGTGCACAGAGCCCCTCGGAGACCGGCTCCCCATCCAGGAGGAGGAAGAGAGAAGCGCAGCCGTCGAGGGACGCAGAGGCCCCAGATGTAAGTGCTGCCTGTGTGTCTGCCCGGGTGCCGAGGCGCTGCTGCCCACCCGGCAGTGATGGCGTGTTTCCCAACGGGCTTCTCCTTTGAGGGGTCACTTACCTATAAAATGCAGAGTTCAAGTTTAAAGTTTGACATTTTTTAACAAACGTCTCCACCTGGGAACCAGTGCCCACCATAGAGGTGATTCTGTCACCCCGGAAGCCCCCAGTGCCCCTTCTGGGCCAACGTCTCGCACACGTGCTCCCAGAGGGGATGCCAGTTGGCTGTCCATCGCCAGGCTGCCCCTGCGTCCGGGGACTGTGTGTGGGGGGTGTCCTGTGCTCTCTGTGCTGCGTTCCCAGCAGAGCACTCTCGAGACTTCCCTGTCCCATCGTCACCACTCAGGAGTCCTGGGCCCAGAAGTGCCCTGGTCACCGTCCACCGGCTGCTGGGTGTCTGGTTGGCGGCCTGGCCTGCTCCTGTGTGGCGGGCACTAGGCTCCACCCTGTCTGTGTGGCTGGTTTATTTTCCTTTCTCCTGGTTCCTTCCAAGTGCACGTCCAGCGTAGGGAGCGCGGGCCGCGGCAGAGGGGTCAAAGGGGATTCTCCTGCTCCTTCCTGTCACCCTCTCTGAGCCTGCCCCAACCAAGAGCATCGCTGGTGAGCCAGGGGACAGGCTGTGACATTTCCAGTCTGTTCCTGTGCCCAGGGAAGGACGGCGGGCTTCATCTCCTGGGGGGGGGGGAAGACTGAACTGACATTGGTCAGCGCCTGTGGGCGCCAGCAGTTGTCCGTGTGTCCTCTCTGGGTGACGTACGTGCTCCTGTAAATGACCCAATTCCTATTTGCACCCCCATTTTCCAAATGAGGGATCTGAGTCCTGCAGCTGGGGAGTGGCCCGGCTTGGATTTGCGCCTGGGTCTCTCTGACCCCTGCCCGGCAAGTGCTGCCATCACCACATCCCTCTGTCAGCTCAGTGGCCCAGTGACCACAGGAGAGTGGCCGGGTGTTTTCAAACAAACCCACCAAAGCCTTGAAACCAACAGGGGCAGCTTCTGGTTACACTGAAGAATCGGTTTCCGGAAGGCGCCCAACCCCTGCACTTCCCAAGGGTTCCCGTAACCTGGCTCCTCTTGCCTGCTGGCAGGACCCTGAGGAAGGTGGGCTGCTGTCCCCAGGGCTGACCCAGGCAGGTGGAGGAGACGGAGACCGCCTCTGTGACTCCAGGGCAGAGCCTGCCCTACGGGCACACGCTGTGCGTCTCTGGTCCGTCTCCTGTCTCTGTGTCCGTGTGCTCCTCGCTGCCCCGCCCGAGTGTGTGTGTGTGCACCTGAATCTGCAGCCTCTCTCCACCTGCACCTCTGGGCTCTGTGTGCAGCGGTGTCCAGGTGACAGCTGAGTCTGGGGGCATGTGTGTCTCCCTATGTCTGCCTCTCCCATCGCCTCTCCTCCCTCTCTCCACTGCCTGCTCACCCCCTCATACTATGAAGATGGTATCACCAAAAGGCAAGTCTGTGTGCACACAAAACTTGTACACAACTGTTCACACCAACATTATCCACGACAACTGAAATGTGAAACAACACAGAGGGCCACTGGCTGACAAATGGATACCTGAAATGCAGTCTGTCCACGCAGTGGAATATTATTTGGCCATTGAAAAGGAACCAAGCCCTGATATGTGCTACAGTGTAAACAAACCTTGAAGCTGTCGTGCTAAGTGAAAGTCACAAAAGGCCACCTAGTACAGGACCGCATTGGTAGGAAGTAAACAGGACTGAGAAGGTTATAGAGACAGTGGATGGTGGCTGCCGGGGGCTGGGGAGGTGAAGGCAGGGTGGAGGCGATGGCCACGGCCCTGGTTTCTCCCCCTTGTGATGAGGATTTCTGCGGCAGCTGTGGTGATGTTCTGTGTGTCTGTGCAGACACTGGAGCTATTACATCCTGCACCGGGGCAAGTTGTGGTGTGTGGACTACGCCAAAGCTGTTTACAGAAAACAGCCCTGTTCACACAGGGGCAGCTTTGGACATGGGGGGTGGCAGCAGCTTTGGGACCTAGATCCTGCCCAGTGCTGGCTCTGCCATGTATTTGCTGTGTGATGTCGGGCAAGAAACATAAGCCCTCGGAGCCTGGGGCTTCTCACTTTCACGGTGGCAATCATGAAGGCTCCTCCCTGGGGAGGCTGAGGGTGCAGGTGGGGGCTCCGCCCGCCCCAGGATAGGTGTTCCCTGGGTGTTTGTAGGGCCCAGTTTCCTGCCCCTGGAGGGTCGGCTCATTTTCCTGCCTGGTGTGTTACTCGCTGACTATTGACCTAGTCCTGGCAGATGCCCGTGACCAAGCTAATAATCTCCCAGGGTTAAGTTAAAGATCTGCCTGTTCCAGTGACTGCTTGCTGGGCTCCCTGGCCTTCGGTGGACTCCACATGTGTGGACAGGGCTGTCTAGGGCACGACCAGCAGAGCCATGGCTGTTGTCCCCTACTGCACAGAGAAGGAGCTGTGCTGTGCCCCTCCGCAGGTGAACTCTGTTTAATGAGTAGCTCCTGTCAATCATCAAAGCCAGGCAAAATTCCAGAGAGCTCTGAGTCCGCCCTAGGTCTCCGTCCTGTCCCTTGGGACAGAGTCTTTGTGACGCGCTCATGAACTCGCTGGGAACTCGCTGGGAGTCCCCGCCTCCCCAGCTTTATGGTAGCGAAATGGCTTTTTCTACAATTATGCTTTAATTTTCTGAATAATTGCATTGACTCGGCTGGGCAGGTGGCCAGAATCCAGAGGACTCCCAGACTTAATAAGGAGAGCTTTAAAAGCTCAAGTTGGTGGGTCCCCTTTGGGTGGCTGGAGCCAGGCTGCCTCCTCCTTGGTCCCACACGCCAAGGGCTCCTGGGTCCTTCACTTCCTGGCCAAGGCTGTGACTGTCCCCCCGCCCTGTCCTCCAGGGCATTGCCTGCTGCGGGTTTCGGGATGGAAAAGACAGACAGCCACACCCGTGGAGCCTCGCCTGCAGCCAGGACTGTGCTCGCCAGGCTCCCCGTCCCCGGGGCTCTTTCCACGGGTCCTGCCCCGGCACCCTGTTCGTGCCTTGTTTTGCACACTAAGTGCAGTTCCCTGTGTCTGTGCTCGCCCTCATTCTCCACGCGTTCTTCTCTTTCCTCCCACCTCTATTTGAGGGGAGGTCAGAAGGCCCAGGGCTTTTCTGCCTCTGCATCTTTCCCTTGAGCAAATGTGTCCCCCTGGAGAACCAGCCAGGGCCAGCGTCCTGAGCACGTGACCTGTGCAGTCACGCAGGCCCTGCTGGGAGGGGCCCTGGCCTTGGCTGCTGGGCTGTGCTGTCCCTGCCTCTGACAGCTTTCACAAGAGCCCTCTGTCTGCTCTGCACGAGGCCCCACCGTGGTGGGAGCAGGCTGGGTTCTGTCTGTTAGTCTCACCACTGTTCTTGGCTTTTGCACCATTTCATCAAAAATGCTTCAGCAAGGAGTGGGTCAGGTGCTGGGGTGGACAGCAGCCCTGCTCTGGCCCTCAGGTCAGAGGGAGGCCAGGAGGGTTTTCAGATGAGCAGCAACAGGAAGTGCATGTTTAAAAATCACTCGATTCCCACGTGGCGACTGACCTGGAAGGTGCTCACCCCTGAGCCTTAGTTTGCCCCTCTGTGAAGTGGGTGTGACCCTGGAGTCCCCGCCTCCCCAGCTGGCTGCTGTCTGGTGACTGCATGAGCAGATGGGCACACCGTGGCTGGCATGCAGTTGGCACGCATGGCGGGGAGCCAGGAGGGAAGCCGTTGCAGCCCTTCAGGGAAACGGTGGCTAAGGGTGGGTCTGTGGACTCCCGAGGGCTTGGAGAGGGAGATTAGTGGGACTGTGGCTGGTCAGACCTGGGGAGTTGGGGAGCAGGGAGATGGGGTGCCTCGTGTCTGGGCGTGGCAAGGCCACACCTGGGGCCTTCTCTACTGAATTCCCACTTCCCTTTTGATTCCCTGTTCTTGCTCTTGTTCTTCCCTCTTGTTATGTTGAAGGAACTAGCATGGTGTCAACTAATTGCCCTTAGTGTGCAAAACAGCGCAAGGATGCCTGTCAACTCAAGAGGACGAACCTGGAGCGGGGAGATTCGCATTCCCATCCTGGCTCTGGAGTTCATGAGCTGTGTGGCCTTGACCTTGGGCACGTGGCCTAACCTTTCTACATCCCATCCTCTCCATCTGGGAAGTGGAGACAGGACTCCTGAAGGGTCCCGGGAAGCTTCATGCACCACCCGGTTCTTGACCTCTGGGCCTGTTTGTGAGTTGTGAGGTGCAGACAGGAGGCCAGAATCAGGGCCTGCACACATGGCTGCTCCCGGTCAAACTGGAGACCATGGGCCACAGTGCAGCTTGGTCAGGAGCATCCCGGCCCCTCGATCATGAGCAGGTGGCCAGTCCCTCTGCGAGCCCCATGGCAGGCGTCCAGTTGGGTGAGTGGAGCAGTTGGAAGGAAGCTGGTCGTCTGCTCTGGGTGCTTCCTCCAGGATGCAAAGCGGAGGAGGAGGGTCCCCCGCAGCACCTCGTTCTGGGGCAGGTCGCCCAGGGCCTATGAGCAGTCCCCTGCGCCTGCCTTCACTCACTCACCCAGTGGCCCCAGCACGTTTCCCAAGCCAGTCTTCACTGCCTGGGCCGCGCACAGGAGGGCACGCCTACTGGCAGACAGGAGCACAGGACGTCGGGATACTTCCCAGAGAAGTCCTTCCTGCCACAGGGGATGGCTTGTCACCACTGCACCGGGGGCCCAGGGCTGAGGTCCTCCCCTGGTCCAGAGACTCATCTGGGAGCTTGTTCCTGTGGCCCTTGTGGGTGGGTCTCCTGGACCTGCTTACTGCCTGGGAGGACCGGGCTCAGACAGGTTGCTTAAGGGTCCAATCCAAGTCTTGTGTGAACACGTGTCATGGGTTTATACTACTAACAGTGCAAAAATCATTTTTTTTAATTTTTAAAGAAGTTTAATTGGCTCATAATGATATACCGACTCATGGGGTACAATATAATTCAATATGTGTAAAGATGTAAGGTTCAAATCAAGGTCGTTAGCATTTCCATCTCCTCAGACAGGACTCATCCTGTTAAGAAACTTCAGCTCTTCTCGCTGTGTTCAGATGGGTCACCAGTCCTCGCAGGCTGTGCTCCTTCTCTGCTGTAGAACACGGGGCTGAGTCCTCCTGTGTAAAGTCATTCCTTGTTTTTGTTCTTTTCACTTATAGATTGTTCAAAATTATTTAGAAGACACTTTTAATTAGTCTCAAGTTATTCAAATCCTTACTGCTTTCTAAGCCAAAGAATCAGAATTAAGTGATCATATCTTTCTGTCCATATACCCCTCCACCCATCCATCCACCTGCCCATCCGTCCACCCATCCTCCATTCATCTTTCTCTCTACTTATTCATGCACACACATATATCTGGGCCTTCACCACCCATCCACCATCTGTCTGTCTGTCCTTCTATCCATGCACCACCCACCCATCTATCCATCCATTCTACCAAGAGAGCACTTGCCAGGATCTGCAGGTGCCCATCACAGTCCCTCTGAGACCACTCCTTCACTTGGATCGTGGCATTTTGGACTCGAGGTCTGTCTTGTTCTGCAGAAAGCCTCCCAGACCACTTGTATGAGCTTTTCTTTGCTGTGACCAAACTCCCTGACAAGAACACCTGAGAGAGGTTCATTTTGCCTCACAGTCCAGAGGTTCAGCCCATGGCCAGTGGCTCTGCGGCAGGAACGTCCTGCCAGAAGGGCATGCCTGGGGAGAGCTGCTCGCTCACGGCAGCAGGACGCAGAGAGAGGCAGGAAGGCGCCAGGGACCAATATGGTCCAGGGACCTGCTTTCTCCAGCCACAGCCACCTGCCTACGGTCCTCACCACCTCCCAGTGGGCCTGGTCAGATTATTAATCCACCGATGGGCTAGTCCACTGATGGTCCAATCACCCTCCTCTGAAGGTAACTACACTGCCTCACCTGTGAGTGCTGGGGCTCGTGCCAGGTCTGAGCCAAGACATTGTCCGTTCTCTTTCCCAGGAGTATGAGCCGTCCTTCAACAGCAACATCACAGCATTCGCCCTGAAGGCCAAAGTCATCTATCCCATCAATCAGAAGTTCCGGGTGAGAGCTCTGAGCCCCGTGATATTGGTGACAACTGGGGCTTGGCGTGGGGTGGGGATCCAACGTGCAGCTGAGTCCCGGTCAGGGTGTTACGCCAGCTCTTCCCCACACAGACCTTGAGGTTGAAAGCAAAACTTGACGGTGACTCCATTTATGACAGGATTGTCAGGGCTGGGGCAGGCTGTGTGTCAAGGAGGGAATGACCACAGCGCCTGTGTCCCCAGGGACACCAAGTGGCAGCACAGTGGGGCAGCATCCCCCTGCCTTCCCACACTGACACAGCCTGACGTCGACGAGGTCACCCCTCTCCTCCTCCCTCACAGAGCCTGGACTCAGGCCAGCGTGCCCTTCCCGTGTGCGTCTGAGGGGCTGGCATGGGCTGTTTGTCGCAAGCTGGGCATCTCAGCTTTGCAGTGTTGTCTCAATTCACCCATAAAGGGACTAAGGCCCAGGGAGGCTACTGCCCTGCCTGTGGCCCCCGGCAGGGCCAGAGTCCGCCACACCTGCAGACCTCACCCCCGTGATTGGCGCTCCCTGCTGGGGGGCGGGGGGCTGTTTGCAGCGAGTGCCTCTGCCACGCTCCAGGAGCCCGCGCCCCCGGGGGGCTCTGGAAGAGTTTCCTGGTCAAGTATGTGTGGGTGTTAGGGGGACACGCTCCAGGGCACATTCCCACTCCCGTCTCGGCCGTTTACTACTGTTGGCTGTTCCCGTGCCTCGGTTTCCTCATCTGTGACGTGGGGATGATGGGTTCTAATGCCTCACCTGGTTGTTTTCAGGACTGTGGCATCAGCCACTCGGCACACGGCAGGATTTTAGATTATTACGTGCTTTTTTATTCCTGGTGCTGGGGATTGAACCCCGGGCCTTGCGCACACTGGGCAAGTGCTCTGCCCCTGAGCCACATCCCCAGCCCACTAAATGATGTGCTTTTGAAGAGAGCCAGAGTGCCCTGGAGGCTCTGAGACTTCCCACACCACGGAAGTGACTCCGTGTGCAGTGTAGCATTTCCCAAACTGATTCTCCACAGAACTCTTGGGATGAACAGTAACAGGATAGAGTTCGTGAAGTGTTCCCCGGAACACATTTTGAGAACCACATCTTTCTTGCACTCTCTGGTGGGTGGACGAAGGGCATTTATACAACAGCAACACCCACTGCTGAGTCTGTCCAGGCGGAATGACCTGTGGTAAAACAGGCTGTGAAGGCATGGCCAGGGAGCTTTGGAACCCAGCACAGGACCCGGGGTCAGTTCATTCCAGCAAACAATGAGCGAGGGTGCTCAGGATGGGTGCAGAGCCTGGGGTGGCCCAGAAGCAGGAAACAAGGAGAGGTTGACCGCCAGAGCCAGCTGGCCTTACAGCTTGGGCAGTACAGTAGGGGACAGGGCTGCGCAGAGGTGTGGACATTCGCTAAACTCTGCAGCTGCGCTGGGCACCAGGCTGTGGCCTGGGCAGTACTGGTCATGGGTGGAGTGGGCCTGTCGGAGGGCAGTGAGAGCCACCTCAAGGGCCTGGGGCTGGGACGGCTCCTGCCTCAGTGGGCTTTGTGGCCAGTACAGGTAGGGATCGGAGGCAGCGGAGGAGGGGAGGAGGGCAGGGAGGCCAAGTTGGCTGTTGGGTGTGGGGTGCAAGTGGTATTTAAGGACAGAATCAGGTTACAGCTGAGATGGGCCTCAGCACAGAGGGGACAAGTCCAGGGACAGAGAATGTGAGTGTGAGCCAGGTCCCAGGGCAGACGCTCTGTCGGGTCACCAGCACCCTGCAGCCTGCCCAGCCAGGCCTTCTGGTGAGGTGCCCTAGTCCATCAGGGAGAAGTTGCTAGAAAGACGGGGGATGCACCGCGGATGCTGACAGTGTCCCTGCCCTTCTGCCACCCAGCCCCTGGCTGATGGCTCCTCCAACCCGTCCCTGCACGAGCACCTGAAGCAGGCAGTCCTGCCGCACCAGCCCACCGAGGCCTCCCCGGCCAGCAGCCTGGGCAGCCTGAGCCAGGCCGAGAAGGACGGCGGCAGCTCCTCATCCAGCCTCCACTCGGCCAGCGACGACGGGTTCCTCGGCCGCAGCTTCCTGCGGGTGAGCAGCTTCCTGGAGGTGCTGGCCTGCGAGAGGTGAGGACAGGGAATGAGGCAGGGGACTCCAATCTCAGGTCACCAGTGGTCACACCATTGTCAGAAGAGGAGGGAGGGCCCAGAGAGGTTAAGGGACTCGGCCACAGATGCACAGAGCCCCAGCATGAGAGCTGGGACCCCAGATGGTCTGTCACCTCGTGATGTTGGCCAGCAGAAGGGTTGGAGTCAGGCCTGAGCCCTGGGGACAGATGACGGGGGGCCTCACTCAGTCACTGTTGTGCTCTGTGCATTGCACGGTGACAGCTGGCACTGATCAAGTGCCCCCGAGTACTGGGCAGAGAGTGCTCAGCAACCGGGTCCCTGCTGTTCCCGTCGGCCATGAGCAGCATCCAGTAGCTATCGAGTGCCTCCTCATGAGCCCGGAGTGTTGGGACCTCAGCCCAGGAGTGAGTGCAGGAGGCAGGTGCACGCAGCCCACTCGGAGCAGCAGGGCCGTGTTCTGGTCCTCACCGCTCTGGTCAGATGTGCTGACGTCTGTCCACCTTCTCTTCTGACTTCTCAGTGTGGACATCGACCTGTGTGTCTACAGCCTTCACCTAAAAGACCTGCGGAGCCTGGACACGGCGCTGAGGCAGGAGAAGCACATGGTATGTGGAGTTGTCCATTTTCCTCCCCTTATCTGCCTAGGGAGCGTGGACACCTTGAGGGACAGACTCAGGACAAGCGGAGCTGCCCTGGGGAGGGGGCCAGGGGTCAGCCTCCGAGCACAGCCTGGAAAGCAGCCGTGCCTGGCGGTGGCTGGGCCTCCCTTAACCAGAGCGTGTCTCCTGGTAGAGGCAGAGAAGGGGCGTTCCAAGTGTCTGTGGGGTGACAGTAGTGCTGAGAGTGAACACCTACTGTGCGCTAGGCCCGGGGTGTATTAAACAGGTGATTACACTTAAGCATCACTACAAACCAGAGAGGTGGGGCCATTAGCTTCCCCATTTCACAGGAAACTGAGGCACAGAAAGATGGACTCACTCAGTCATAAAGCTTCAGATGTGGCGCAGAGACAGGAAGTTCAGTGTCTCACAGGTGGTGCCATCTGGGCCATGAGTGAGACAGTGGAGCGGGCCGACTGGGACAGCAGGACTAGCTCTGCAGAGGCGCCAGGCTCTGGCTGAATCCCGCCTGGGGTTGGGCTACTGGGAGCCAGAGACGAGTCCCCTCAGCCCAGCACTGAGACCACAGGGGACAGAGGAGCAGTGGTTCTTCCCCGAGGCATATTCTCTGGGCTGTTGAATGAGGAGTGAGACCTCCATAGAGAGGCAGGGGGAGAAAGCGTCTGGGAAAGAGAGAGTGCAAGAGCAACAGAGCAGTGGACTCAGACACGCAGATGCACCCACAGGCCTCTTGTCTGTACGCTGGAGACGGCGAGGGTGCCCACCCAGAGTGCACCTGGAGGAAGTCTGGCTCTGTGCGAGCAGGTCTGGCCTCATAAGCAATGCCAGTGTCTGAAGCCTTAAATGACTCCAGAAATCGGGACATAGAGGTGTCCCTGCACCCCGCTGCCCTGCTCCACATAGGTCCCTGGGTGCAGAGGCACCTGTGGCTGCAGCCTGCTTTCCCTGGGCCTCACCCGCCCGCCTTGGGGGCTCTGTGCTCCTGGGGTGAGGGGGAGGCTCCTATTCTCAGAGCGCCTCCAGCCAGCCAGCCAAGTGGTCCTGGCCAGCCCCGCCCTCCAGGGCAGCCTACTGTCATGTGGGGCAGTTACTCACCACCAGGGAGGTGTGGCCTCTGCCCCCTGCAGGATGCAGTGGCAGACACCAGCAGCAGCCCCTGCTTTTGTGGAGCCCACTTTCTGGTGCAGTGGGGACAGCAGGAAACACATCCCACAAAGCACAGTGGCAGTCAGCACAGCACGGAGATGACAGGGTGCTGCCCAGGTGTGCAAGGGCCACCTGAGCAAGTGAGGGGTCAGGGAACGGGCAGGTGTCCCCGGGGAAGACACAAACAGGGCATCCAGGGAGTTCCTGGAGATGTGCCCTGCACCTAGTGGGTGCTGCATAGAGGAGTCTCTGACGCATGATTGACAGGCACACGGCCTCACTCAGTGGGACTCGCCCTCCTCCAGGGCAGTCTCTAGGGGCTCTGCAAGTGCAGGAAGCCATGCCACATCCTTTCTCCAGCAGAGATGGGCGGGGCTCAGGGTGATTCAGGCCAAGGGCAACCGATGCTGGGAGGTCCCTGCTGGCCCTCGCTAGGTGAGAATGGGCCTGGACACGGACAGGGAGGACATGGGGACACACTGCAGCTGTGACCTCTGAAAGCAGAATGGCAGAGATGAGGGCAGATTCTGGGAGGCGGGGTACTAGAATAAGGGGTGCACCAGGACCAGGGGGTTTTCTTCTGGTGCTGGGACCGTCTGTGTCTCGACTGTGGCAGTGCTGCCTGGGCCTTTACCTGTGGTAACGCTGCATAGAACCACCCCCAAACACACACACGCATGCACACACACACACGCATGCACACACACGCGCACTCACACACACACATATGGATGTACGTGGCTGGGGTGAAAACGGCTCTAGTTTGGTGTTGACATATTGAGCCCAGGGCAATCTCCTCTTGACAGTGTGCCCCAGTGATCTGCGATGCCGTCCTGGGCATGAGCTCCTAGGCCTGTTTGTTTTTTGCACCTTCTCTTGAGTCTATCATTATTTCAAAATGGGAAGTTTTAAAATGGCCATCTTAAAAGCGACAGGAACAGGGTACGTGTTACTGATTACACTTGGGGTCAAAAAGATGCATTTGAGGCTAACATCTTGGGGAGAGAAGGTCACCTTGCACACCGTGGCTTTCAGTGTGTGAAAGCCAGGACACGTGTCTTGGTGCTTGTTACACGGGGAAATGGAATGAAGGGTGTGGGAGGAGATCCGGGCTCGACCCTCAGCAGGAGGATCCCTGTGGCCATGCAACAGGGGGCACCTTGTCCCGCTTCCCAGCCCTAGGATCCTGTGTGTGACATGTCAAGACGTGCCCACCTGCCTGTTGCCCTGGCAACCAGGTGGTGACGTGTACTATGTGAGCCTGTCAGCTGAGAGTGTCTGGAACCGAACCCACTCAGAGACTGGCCCAGAGCTGCCTACTCCTCTAGCGACCTCACACTGAGGCTGCAGCTGGAATAGGGTGCTTTCTTCTTCCAGGGGCTCAACATCCACAATTCAACCAGCCACCGATGGAGATTAATCAGAGAAAAAGGAACTGTGTCTATACCAGACATGTTGGTATTGCTCAACACCACAGTACAAAAACTGTTGGCACAGCATTTGTGCTGTACTGGGTACTGCAAGTAATCTAGAGAGATCTAAAGTCTGTGGTAAGCTATGCATTTGTTAGTTGCAAATACAACTTACCAAGGGTTGGCTAGTTGCAAAAGAGATGATATAATTATACAATTATGCCCAACAAAACCAAAAGATATTTGCTGTTGGGCTTTTATAGAAAAAAAGTTGCTAACCCTGCATCAAAAAATGCTTTATAAGATGAACATATCCATGTGACCTTTAACACAGACGCAAAAACAGTTCAATGAAGGAATGAGAAACTTTGGGATACACGGTGCTGGAACAATTGGACAACAACTTCAACCTCACATTTTATACACACATGAACTCAAGTGGATCCTGCATTTAAAGGTAAATGTATAAGGCTTTCAGACAAAAACAAAAGAGAAAATCTCCAGAGTCTCCAACACCACAAAGAGTTCTTACACCAGACACTAAAAGCTTGATATCATTAAGACTAAAGACTGTGGCTCTGCAAGAGACCTTAAGATGAAAACCCGAACTACAGAGCGAGGGGAAAGCTTCCAAGCCACGATCCCACTCCAGGACCAGTGCCTGGAACATGAGGAACCCCGGGGGCCTCCTGGGAAATGAGCATCTAATCAGGACTTCACCAAGAAGGAGCTGGAGATGGCAAGGACACAGAAAAAGACGCTCAGCACGATGAAGCCATCAGGGAAAAGAAAGTAAAACCACAGTGAATGTCGCTCCACACCTGTCAGAATGACTGGACACAACACAGCCACAACCCAAATGCTGCAAGGCCGTGCGGGGACTGGGCTGCTGGGTGGTACTGACGGCCACTCTGGAGGGCCCTGTGGTGGGCTCCAGTTACTGCCTTCTGAGCATTCGTCCCAGATGAGCTCACGTTTACCCCCAAACCTGTACATGCGTTCAAAACCCCAACTGGAAACCACCCCGAGGTTCACAAGGGGCGGATGGCCAAGCGTGGGGTGGACGGAGCAGCTCTGGGCTGTGGTGGGGGTCCCTGCTCCGAGGAGGACTCTTTTGGGTTTAAGGGACATCTCTCCTTTGAGCAGGAGGCTGGAGGGATACTTTGTCCACCCTGGTTCTGGGAGACTGTGTTCTAATCCTCCCCGTGAGGAAGCGGCCTCCCTTTGCCATTTCTATTTCCCTGACACCTGTGAAGTGGGGACGGTGCAGAAAGTGGACACCTAATAAACACTCGATGAATAAATGAAGGTGAACATCATTCAGAAAGAAGAAGGCCATCGTCATGAGGTGTCACCTGAGGTCTTTTCCTGCAGCCAAAAGCACATGGAGGAGGGGGAGGGAGGGAGGAGAGCGGAAGAAGAGACAGACGGGAGGGAGGCCTGTGTTTAACCCTGTCTCCTGTTGTCCTTCCTTTTTGCCAATAGATGTTTATTCAGATTTTTAAAATGTGCCTCCTGGACCTTCTTCCTAAGAAAAAGTCTGATGACGAATTATATCAGAAGATTCTCTCAAAACAAGAACAGGTATGTCTTGAACCTGTATTTCAGATAGCTTAAAAAATAGTTGATTACTATATAAAAATATAATATTACAATAAATTATTTTTTGCTTTCATGTATAAAAATGATCTATTAAAATATACATGTCTCCACGTCTTCATAATAATATCTAAAAGTACGTGTACAAGCTCAAAAAGAACAATGCGTGTTATTAAAATTCAGGAGAACATTCAGAGCAGACAGAAGAAGAATGTTGGTCATATTAACTACTCAGGCACAATCACTGTTAATGTTGTTTTCTTGCATGAGTTTCAATATAAAGAAGTAATTTTTGAATTTATATTGTTTCATCCCACGTACAAAACTGTCTTTTCCTGCAAAAAAAGAAGTCATGTGTTTATTGGTTATAGCTGTTTATTCTGCTTTGTATTCTGCTCTTCTTGGTCTTTTTTCCATCTGAGAAAACTTACATTTATTTCATGTGCAACAAAAAGAGTCAGGGCTTGGAGTCAGGCTGGGTGAAGTCGGAACCCTGGCTCCACCTTTTACCGGTTTTCAAAATCCTAGTAATAGTGATGTGTGAGCGCTGCCATCACCTGTCATTACCACCCCGATGTCACCGCCATCTTCATCACCATGGTCATCACTGCCAGCGTTTTCTTTTTATCACCACCACCAACACCATCACTCCACCGTCATGACGTCATTGCTGTCACCACCGCCACCATCATGTGCATCAACAGCAGCATCACCATCCTCCTCCTCACTACCTCATGGCCACTCTTCACCATCATCACTGGGTGGTCATCAGCACTGTCATGTACTGTCACCACCACCATCTCTTCATCAACGTCACCAAGATCACCCTGCTACCTCCACTACTGTCCTCTCTGTCCCAGTGACCAGATGTTACATCATCTTCATCGCCATCCCCGCCCCCCCATGGCCACTCCACTACCACCCTCTCCATTACTACCACTGCCACTGCCACTGTACTCTGTGTCATTGTCACAGTCGGCCTGGCTACCCCACCACCATCTTCCTCATCCTCATCACTGCTCCCTGTATCTTCATCGTCATATCGTTGTTGTCATTGTCACCATCATCATCATCCCTGGTCCCACCATGATATTGGGGGCTTGGAGAGACTGTCTCCTCATCACTCTTCGGATTCTACAGGAAGACTTCCTCCCTTGGTCCTGGGGTGAGGAGTGGCTCATCTTCCTCACTGTCTGCACCTTCACCGCCATCCTCACCCTCAGTACCACCCCGAGCACCGTCAGCAGGCAGTGCTAGACCTACATTATGCACCTTTCGTGACAGTCCCACGAGTGACTATTATTATCTTTGTTTTATAGCTGAGGAAACTGAGGCTTGGTGTGCTTAAGTGGCTTTCCAGTGGTAAAAACAATGATAATGGCAATATTTGTAATCATGTACGTAGGAATAAAGTAAGACACGCTGTCATGGAAAGAATGAGAGGTTTGGAGTCGCAGATCTCAGCTCAGATCACCCTCTCTTGCTCACTCAGCCGTAACCCTGGGAAGCATCTTAGTTATCGCAGTGGCTACTGTTTACTGAGACAGTCTGGCCAGGTGCCTGAAGGTGTAATTCAATTTAATACTCACAGCAGAGTTGAAACCTCTCGAGGAGGACAAGAAGTACTTAGAAATGTCAGTCGCCCTTTGGAGAGAAGCAGCATGACATATGAAGGTGGAAGGGGGGACAAGCCTAGCACTGCCACTTCCTGCCCAGGAGTCTTAGGACAGAATGTCTGACTTCCATTTATCATGGTCCTCATCAGGAGGAAAGCTGTCATTTCCCTCTGTGGAGACGCTGTGAGGATGAGAAGTCACATGTGGCCGCAGCGGGCCCAACCATAGCGTTCTGGCTCAGTGAGCTTTCCTGGTGAAGCTGGGCCCCCCCAGTGTTGGTCACATGGCAGTTAACACAGCTCTGCAGAAAAGAGACCCCTCCCTCGCTCCACGGTGGGGTTTGAAGGAACCATGATACAGGGGACTCCCGCGTTTCTTCCCAAGTTCCGGACCCATTCAGACAGAGCCAGACATTTACAGAAACGTGGCTTTGCTACTGATGGAGGGCAAAGTGGAGGATGGGACTTGAGAGACGTCACAACCTCCGGTGGCTTCTTGCCACTGAACCCCAGAATCAGCCCCGTCACCTACCTCGTCACCAGCAAAGCTGACCACTCTGGCTTCCCCACATGCAGGCAGGGCCTTTGCTGCCCGGCTCGCTCCGTGCTGAGACCGCAGCAGAGCAATGGCCTCCCCGGTGGTCCGTCCCACAGAGACAGCCTGGTCTGGCCAAGCCAGGCGCTCACTTCCGGCTCTCCAGCCCCAAGGAAGACGCAGCAGTGTTGCCCTGAGGGGTCGCTGTGATCCTTCCCCACGGAAACCAGAGGAGTGGAGAGAAACATTCCCTCCTACCTCTGACGCCGTGATCTTTTCTAGGACTTTGTAATGACTGAAAAAATAGGATTTCATTGCTTTTAAAGGATGGCTGGTTATTTTTGAGCGCAGAAGATAGAAGAATCCTTGATTCTCAGTGTTCTGTGTTTAATGAGGAAAATAGATTTTTATCATCAAAACTGAAGTAGGGCAGTGCCCTGAGCATTTAATTGCCGGTGAGAAATGGCTCTTGATAACGTGGTGAAGAATAAAGCACCTGTGTTTCTAGAATTTAAGATACGGTTGATTTTGTCTTTATTTGCTTCCTTCCTATTCCTTCAGGATTTGGAGGAATTGGAAAAGGCACTTCAGGTCCAACTGTCGAGCACAGAAACTCTGGGCACCAGTGACTCTGGGTACGTCACCCTGGCAGACGTGGAGAAGAAGGAGAGGGAGCACAGCGACCAGCTCCTAGATGACGTGCGTGTGGTGACCCGCGCCCTTATGGAAACCCTGGTCTCTGGGATGGTGGCGCCGGCTGGTTAGAGAGGGTGCTGGGAGCAGGTCTCATCCTTGAATTCCCCTGGGTGCTCTGCCCTGGAGGCAGCGATTCGGTTCTCAGGTTCAGACACAGAGAAGGGGTGATTGGGGAGCACAGATTTACAGAGGAGGGATTTTGGTTTATATTCTAGACTGACCTTTTTACCATTCAAGGCAAGGATTGCTCTGGCCCTCAATGTCACAACTGTCCAGGGGTAGAGCAGAGGCCAGCTGCCGACTTCTCAACCCCCAGGCCGGCCTCAGGAAGCATGTCTCCAATTCCAGAGGGGATGGCTGCCTGAAATCAGTCTTTTTTTCTTTCTCTCTCTTTTTTTTTTTTTTGTGTGTGTGGGGGGGGGCGGTTTCACCTCCCCCTACCACATATCATATATCAAACGACCTTTCCCTGGCTCTTGATTTTGGCCAGTCACTTTGCTGGACACTGGGGACTCAAAACTCACTTCGATGTGGCTCTGCACAAGAGGTGTGTCGGGGAGACCCACGGTGAGCAGAGGAGAACTTTGTTTCCCAGAGCTGTGACAGGTGCACCGGAAAGACCGAGACACCACAGGGCTGGGAGTCCTTTCACTCCAGGGCTTGGGGTGTATCTCTAGAGGAAGGGACCGAGAGGCCAGCTGGGAACAGTGTAGATGCTGGCCAGCGGGCGTGCAGAGGGGGAGCCAGAAGGAGCTGAGAGCCGGGAGAGCAGGAACAAGCCACAGAGGTCTGGCTGGGGGTTTTTCACACACTAGGGCGGTGGGAGTCACGCAGTGGGAAGCAGGGGTGGCTTCGTCCTCCTCCTGTGTTCAAAGGACCACAGGGTCTGTGCAGAGGATCACGAAGAGCTGTTGGGCAAACCCAGCAGGACCTTCATGGGGCAAGTGCAGTCAGGACAGAGGTAAGCAAAGGTCCGAGAGCTGCTAGGTGATGTATTGTGGGCTGGTGGGTGGGAGGAAGAGGGTGTCCAGCTCAGCTCTGCAGAAGTAAGGGTCCCAGAGCAGCCAGCTGGGAGGGAGATGGTAAGCCCCGCTGCGACGTCTCCTGTGGGAGAGGCCAGCAGAGAGGGGCTTTGAAGGCCCATGTAAGAAGATGAACGTCCCTGGAGCTGTGGAGAGGCGCTCAGCCAGGTACTCAGCCGGGATTCCTGTGTTGGTGACTCCCCAGCACTGAGTAGAACATCGTGGAGAGAGTTCATAGTTTTCATAATATTCTTGAAAGTATGGGTGGTGGCACCAGCACTGGGTGCTGCCAGTACTTAAGGTGGAAAGAGAAGGACCAGGAGAGGCAGGGGAGGGGTGTGTGGTCCTGGGAAGACTGCAGCAAGTCTCATCACGGATGTGCAAACCACGAGGGTTTGGGGAGAAGCCAGTGGACGGCCTGGCCCCAAAGGGGTGGAGGGAAGAGGCCCAGCGGAGGGCATGGGCCCTGCCTGGGCATGCGGGGGCGTGGGGGAGGGTCTGCGTTCTCCCACATGAGCTGGGAGGAGTGTCATCTGAGAGGTGAGGGGTGAGAGCAGCGAGAATGTGAGAGTGTTGGGGAGGTTGAGGTCCCTGCTGGGGGTGCATAGGAGGTGACCAGTGGCAGATGACAGGTTTCCTAGCTGCGGCAAGGCCCCTACGGTGGCAGGCTGCTTCACCAGGTGCCGGCTCTCTCCTGGCAAGGCCAGGCTGACTCAGAGCTCAGGGTCCACAGGGCTTGGCCCCTCCAGCAGGAAGTGACACATAGGCGTCTGAGAGGCCCAGCCAAGATGGAGAAAATCCACGCAGTGGGCTTAAAGGACCTGAACCAAATCCTGGCTCTGACTCTCCCGAGCTCCAGGACCAGAGCCCCTTCCTCCCAGGGCATGTTATCCAGAAGCAAGCCTGTGAGGCGGGCAGCCTGGCCCACGCCCGAGTGCCACGCAGCACAGCTGGGATCATCGATCTCAAAGCTCAGAGGGGCTCCCATGTTGCAGATTAAAGCCCCCAAGTTTCTAAGCCATGTGTGTGTTGGTTTACACCCTGCTCCTGATAAGATGGAAGGGAGAGAGAATTTACAAGCAAAATATTGTCACAATCAGCATCATCTCTGCAAATTGTTCTTTCATACTTTAAGGATAATAACTAATATTTAAATGGCCATTCGTGTGTTTATCTCCAACCGTGTTTAATTCCTTTTAAAGACCGTGAAGCTCCCAGGAGCACATTGTTGCATTTCCTGTGTCCCCAGCTCGTAGTCACAACCAGTTGAAGAGCCCTTAAGTGGGGTGAGCTCATTGCTTTCCTTCCTGATAGGCAGCTCACTGGTGTGCTCTGAAAAGCCACCTCAGAACTGACTGGCACCTGCCACAGGCCGGGGAGGACCCTCGGTAGAGTGCGGTCATTCCAGGAGAGACTCACTGGCGTTGCGGAGTGGCCCAGTCTCCGCCTGCGAGGAGGAATGAATTGCAGTTCCCAAGCCCGAGCTGTGGAGCCCTCTTAAATAAGTTCTCCCCCCGTCACTTGCTTCTCATGCTCATTTCACAGATGGAAGCTTTCTGGAAACAGATGGAAAACATCCAGCACTTTCTTGTGGACCAATTTAAATGTTCCAGCTCCAAAGTGCGGCAGCTCATGGCTACGCTGACAGAGACAATGATTGCAGCCGAAGGGCTCTTGTGCACGTCTCAGGACCTGCAGGCTCTGGTAACGTGGGGCCGGGCACTAGGACATTCAAGCTGGAGGTGGGGAATCCTGTGGCCCAAACACCTTAGGGAGCATTATGTTGAACACCTTCATATTATAGGTGGGGATGTAGCATCCCCAGTGAATCCATCCACCCACCTATCCATCTACCCACACCTTTATCCACCTACCCATCCATCTACTTAGCCATCCACCCACTCATCCATCTACTCACCCATCCACCCGTCCACCTACTCATTCATCTACTCATCCATCCACACATACACCCATCTATCCACCCATATATTCACCCACCCGTTCACCCATCCATTCATTCCTTCATCCATCATCCATCCATTTACCTACCCATCCACTCACCCATCCATTCATCCTCCATTAGTAGAGTAATAGAAGCTCAGAGAGGTTAAGTTTTGTGTTTAAAATCATACAGGTCCCGGTGGCTGAGCCTGGGTTCACAGGTGGACCCGTAGATTCCTCTAAGCCAGTGGTTTGCATCCTTGGCTACACATCAGAGTCACTGGGGAGTTTTAAACCCCAAGATGCCAGTGGCTCCACTCCAGACCTGAATCCGTGGGGGTGAGGCCCAGGCACAGGCATCTTTTAAAGTCTCCCAGTGACACATGGGCAGTCAGCAGGAAAAGCTGACACTGTGTCCATACCAGTGGACATCACCCCTGCTGCTCCGCATCACCATCTGGGGGTTTTAAAACCTGATGCCAGGTTGCACCGCAGCCTGATTAAGCCTGACCTCAAGGTGGAGACCACCTGGGACCCAAGCATCAGGACTATTGCAGTATCTCCAGGCAATTTCAACATGTAGCCAGGTTTAAGAACCAACACTCAGGGCTATGGACACTCTCAAATCTGCACATTAATAAGGCTCCCAGGTGTGCGCTGTGGTTCATCACCATGTACATGTAAGGTCTTTGGGCCGAGGGGGCGGGTGCTGGGATTGGCCCAGGGCCTCCTATGTGCTAGGCAGGGGCTCTACCACTGAGCCACCCACCACCGTCTCCTTGTTTCCTTGGCACCCATAAAGATAGACAGAGCAGATATTCACAGCGAGCAGGAGCACAGCCAACTAAGTAGCTACGTGACGAACCTAGGGTCCTGCCCCAATGACATGGTGGAGTCCCAAGCTTCCCAGTTTGCCACTCATCAGCAGGTGAAGCTGATATGAGCAGATCATCATAACGATGAATGGAAAGGGTTACAGGCTATGACTGTGCAGAAGAGGGACACGTCAACTCTGTCCCTGGCATCCTGTGTACCAAGAGGAAATATGTAGCCGGGCTCTCAGAACTCATTCTTGATGAATTCTGGGAGAATCCAAGTTCTCAGGCTGGTGCCTGAGTGGCTCTGCCCAGGCATTTGGACCTGGAATGTGTCACATAGCATCACTCAAAACTGGAAGAGCCCTTAAAGTGGACCCAGAAGTTATCAGGTTCAGTCTCTTGAGACAGACAAGCGGGGGGAAAAACTCACCAAGAGATGGCGATGGCTGTGGATAATTATAGAAATGGTGGTTGTTCGTGGAGGATGAACTTCTCTGGCTCTTATTCCAAATGCCTGGCATGTTTTATTTAATGCTGTTAGTGGTCAGGTTGGGAGGCTGTGCCCAGGTCAGCAGCTCTGAGGGACGAGCCAAGTTCCAGCGGCGTGGACTTTGACGGCTCTACTACAGCTACTATTGGGGACAGGGGTGGCCCCCGTGCTCCTGCGCACTGGTCTCCATTCTCCTCTCTCCTTGAATCTAAACCCAGAGGTGGTGTTGACCTGCTGAGCCCTGCTCTGGAGAGTGCAGGTCTCTCTGCATCTTCCCCCTCTGCCAGAGGCCAGCCTCAGCGCTAGCAACCCTGCTTCCTCTGGAGAGCCACTTGTCCTCGCGCGCCCCCTAGGGGTCCTGGCTGCTGAGTGTTCACAGCAAGTGTGGGCCTGAGGGAGGAGGGTTCACAGCAACTGTGGGCCTGGGAATGAACCGCGGGTTCCCTGGATAGCTGGGGGGTCTCTCTCCTTCCCCCTCCCACACCTGGTTAGATCAGAAACCAGCAGGACCACGCAGTGGGGGCACCGTGACTTAGGCATGACCCTACCTTCAAGATCTCAGTCCAGCCAGGGACTGCCCTTCTAGCTCAAAGACCTGAGTGGACGGTGCAGGGAAAGTGAGGAGAGGACCGGTCAGGCAGGGAGCAGGAGGAGGCAGTGAGAGTGTCCCGGGACATCACTTGCATGAGCAAAGCCCTGAGGAAGCTGAAGGCGGGCACCTATAGCCAGGAGCAGGGAAGAGTGCAGAACAAGTCCCCAGAGGCCTGTGTGCTGTGTCTAGGAGATCGGGGGGGTTGGGGGCTCAGGGGTGACAGCCGTGTCAGCATCTCTGAAAGACCCCCCTGTTAGTGATGCCTGGGCAGAGCAGAGGCAGAGGTGGGAGATGGGGAGAGGAGACCAGAAGTGGCCTGCAGTGCCAGGCCAGTGGTGTCCCAGCCTGAGCTGGGTGGGACAGTGGGCAGGAGGGAGGGAAATGCAGATCTGGGCTGAGTGGTGTCGTGGTCCCCCGTGTGTTCTGTGCCCCTGCACCTGACCAGCTCTGTTTTCGGAGACCTCAGGACCCACGTTCACCTCTAGTCAGCCTTTCCCACCGTCCTCTTCAGGAGTCCGGTCCTGCTAATGGATACTGTGGGAGGCCAGGCGGGAGCCTGCCGTGAACTCAGGGAGCGGGGCCACTCTTAAAGCTAGCCTTGCCATTTAGAATCCCCGAAACCCCAGGACTCAGTTTCGAGGCTCCAAAACCAAGATGTCTGTAGCTTGGATTCTTGTTTTGTTTTTTGTTTTTCCCCCCAGGGCTGTGGAGGCTATGGGGCCACGTGCACTGGGGGCAGGGTGACCATAAGGAACATGGGTTTTCCTCCCCTGTGTGTGTATGTTGGTCTCCTGCCCACGAGGGCAGCCCTCTAGAGAGCGCTCGCCAGGTGCTAAGTGCACAGTCACCCGTGGGTGCCTCCGTGCCCCCTGCAGAGGCGTTTCCACCCCTACCTGGGCATCGGGCACAGGAGGCTCCGAGAGAGTTCAAGGCCGGTGCTCTGGTGGTAGGATTGGAGCCCTAGCCTCCTCCAAAGCTGGACAGAGACTCATGGCGGAGCACTGAGGCCTTGGCTGTTGCATGGGATTCCCCCGCAGGACGCCCTGGAGAGAGCCATGGGGCGGGCGCACATGGCAAAAGTGATCGAGTTCCTGAGGATGCAGATCCAGGAGGAGACCAAGTGCCGACTGGCCGCCATCTCCCGCGGCCTGGAGCTGCTGCGTGTCCAGGGCAAGCTGTCCGGGCGGCAGAAGGAGGAGCTGCTGACCCAGCAACACAAGGCCTTCTGGGAGGAGGCAGAGAGCTTCAGCAGGGGTGAGAGGGTAGCCAGGCCCCGGGGGCCAGGGTGACACTGACGTAGAGCTGTGGCCATGTGGCCCGTCATACCAAGCGCAGGCTGCCTTCCCGTCCCGCCCGGGGCTTGGCTTCCCTCTCTGGAGAGCAGTTAACAAGGCTCCTCCTGAGGTCAGGGTCACCTTCCCCATCTAATTCAGGAGGCAAAGGAGAGGGGAGGGCCTCGACCAGAAATGGATGTTGAAGTGCCCAGAAGCCAGCTATGCGTCTGCTGAGACCACCACCCTGCAGGCCTGGCTCGCCAGCACAGGGGTGGGGGGAGGCCAGCGTGGAGAGGGGGCTGGTGTGCTGAGCTGCATGTCCCCACACCCGCACCTGCCCCAGGGCTGCCCTGGGGGTGGGCAGGGCAGGGGTCAAGCTTAGAAGGCATCCAGGCTGTCCTTGAGGTAACACAGTAGTAGGACCCATTAGAAGAAACCCAAGTCTGACCCTGCAGACACCTGGGGACCATCTCTGCCAGCAGCCCCAGCTTCCTTGCCCCCTTGGCAGAGCGGCCCACTCCAAGTCCTGGCTAGAGAGTCACTTCCTGTCCTGTGGCTCATTTCAATTCCAGAGTTTGTCCAGAGAGGCAAAGACCTGGTCAAGGCGTCCCTGGCTCGCCAGGCAGAGGGGACAGCAACGCTCATGCTGGCCCAGGAAGAGGAACGGAGGGGCTTCCTGGCCAACTCCCACCTGAACTCGGATCCCGAGGAGTTTCTCAAGGTGACCTGCCCTGTCCCCACCTGGCCCTCGGGTGTGGGGGGTGAGCCAGGTGCGGGCTCCGTTCTTCCTCGGGGCGTGGGAGGCCCAGGACTCATGAGGCGTGGTGTCGACTGCCTCCTGTTTGTCAGCTGAGTGGCCATAGCCTGGACCCTGTGCCCTGCCTGCTCCCCTGTCAGCTAGCCACGGGAATCACAGGCTCCTCGCTGGCTGCCAAGGACAGGGAGGGGGAATCTGCAGGAAGCGCGGCTGTGGGTACATCTCAAGGCTCCTGGGGTGGTGGCCCTGTGTGGTGGCACCAGTGGAGTGTTGTACGGTTCAGAGGGGACAAGCCTGTGCCCATGTGTGTGTCCGGCCCTCACCCAGGACTGGCCCAGGGACAAGGTGTGGGTGCTGGGTCAGCCTCCCCAGGTGTGGGTGCTGACTCTGCTGCCAGGTAGCAGGGAGCTTGGACACCTGCCTACCCGCCCCTGGCCTCGTGTCACAGTGTTGTTAGGGCTGAGGCAGGTGAGGGGCAGCCCTGGCCCGGCCGTCTCCGGGTGCCTCTGCCCCACAGTAGCACTGGCTCAGCTTGGCTCAGATCTGCTCAGGGGCTGGCGGGACAGTGTCTGGTCCAGCCTCAGCCCAGAACCCAGGCACAGAAGTCACTGGGGGCCAGCAGCACCTCAGTGAGAGGCCTCAGGAGGGGACGCCCCAGAGAGCAGAGGCCCCCACTGCAGTGTCCCCTCCCAGGGCCATCCCAAGAGGGGCCCACCCTCTGTCCTTGCCCTACCAGAGCCTCTGTCACATCAGAGGCCTCTGAGGCCCTGCTGGCCTGCCCCATTTCCCCAAGCAGTCCTGCCTGGTAGCTGACCACACTGACCGCTCACAGTCAGTATCACCCCCTGCTGGGATCCCTGGGGTGGTCCCTAGCAGCATGAGTCAGAGAAAGATGGCTGGGGGCAGGAGGCCAGGACAAAGAGTGACAGGGGTGACCAGTGGGCCTCTGCACTTGGGGAGTAGCGAAAGCCAACTCTGTGGTTCCCTGGAAGTCAGATGTGCTGGTCCCGGCCTCAGCCACAGTTTGTAAGCCACAGAAGCTGCGTGACAGTTCTGGGCCTCAGATTCCCTGTGCACAAATCGAGGTGAACATCCCTCCCATCTGAGCCACCAGGATAAGTTGAGAGTTTTTCTAGAAGAAATTAGGGCTGCATTTTCCACCAGACCCAGTTCCTGTTTTAATCACAGGCCTTTCACGAGGTCCTGGAGCGGCAGAGGCTGATGCGAAGTGACCTGGAGGAGGAAGAGGAGCTCAGAACCACAGAGGCCATGGCTGCCCTCTGCCAGGTGGGTGGCCTCAGCTACGGCAGAGAAACCTCAGGTTTTGTTTGGGCAAGAGCCGCACATCCTTGGGCAGGGACCCAGGCAGGCTCAGGGTGACAGGAGGTCACATCCCTGCTGGGTGCTGGTCCAGCCCTGCCATCTGCTCACTGATGGAGCCCTGCCTGAGGGGCTGCCAGAGCTATGGGAAAGCTGTGCGAGGGCCGGAGTGAGTACCCCAGGGGGTGGCACAGGGGGGAAAGGCAGGACTCAGGAGCTGGTCAGCATCTGTGTCTTTTCCTCCGCCCTGTTAATGTGGCACATTGGATTGATGCCGGTAATGGCGACTGCCTGTGAATTTAGAACTTCTTCATTTTCTCTGGTGAATTTAACTGTTCCAACTCTCCCTTCTCTTTGGGACTCCATTAAACATTTAGACGTTCTTGTTCCTTCTGTACCACCATCTACACCATTTTTTCCATCCTTTAGGATCTCCCTGCTTTGTTTTGGGTAGTTTTTTTCTCCCAGTGCATAATTCTCTCTTCAGCTACATCTAAACTACAATTAAACCCATATGTTGAGTTCTTAACACTGGACAGTGTTTTTCAATTCTAGGGTTTCTAGTTGGCTCTTTTTTAACTTAACACTATTACTTTTTATAATTTCTGGGTCTTTCCTTAAAGGTTCAAAAGCAGACTTTAGCACAATGAGTATAGGACGCGTTGGTACTTGAAGTCTGGGTCTTGAATTGATACTTTGCAGTACCTGTGGGCTTGCTCTGCATGTCTACTGTGTGGCTTTACGGTTAGAGCGTCCTGCCTCCTCCTGTTGTCTGGTCTTCTGGGTATTTTGTGGAGATATTCCAGGTTTGCACATTTACTTGTAGAATGTGCCAGTATACAATGATGTTCTCTTTCTCCAAAGGGGAGTTTCTCTGGCTTCTGCCATATGGTCGGGCTTCTAATGACCCAGTGTCACCTTCATTCGAAATCAAGGCTTGAAATGTCCTGGACGGGCCAGTCAGGTTTTCATTTTTGTAACAAACACCTGAAAACAAACAGCTTTTAAAAAGGAGACGTGTGTCTTGGCTCCCAGTCCAGGGGTCTTGTCTGTGGTCAGTGGGCCCCATTGCTCTTGGCCTTTGAAGAAGCAGCACCTCACGGGGAGTTGGGAAGCAAGGAAGCGGGGAGACCAGTGTCCCACAGTCCCCTTCACGGGGACTCTCCAGTGACTTAACACATGCCCTGAGGCCCACATCTTAAAGATCCCGCTGCCTTCCAAGAGCACCAAGCCGAGGACCCACCTTTAACACCTGGCTCTTTGGGGGCATCCCAGGTCCAAACTGCTGAGCTGGGCAGCCGAATGACCAGATGCAGGTTGCGGCCTGGGGAGGTCCATGTGGACTGGTTTCCTTCCACGTCACCCTGGTCTCTCCAGTGCCATTTCTCCAGGTCCCAAGCCTAAGCGTGAAGGGCCAGGTCCACACGATGGGCCACCGCTCCAGCCTCTTTCCCCTGCAGCTCAGGCTGTCCGAAGGCCTGCCGGGCAGCTCAGCCAGCTCTGCTGGGCAGGCCCCGGGGAGAAACAGTTATCCATGTAGCATATTAGCTAGGAGTGTGAGTTCCAGAGTCCAGTGGCCAGGGCCCACCATCTGCAGACTGTCCATTCTATGCCTCTGCTTCCCCATCTGTGAAATGGTGGAACTATAACAGAGCCCCTGCATTGGACTGGCATAAGGATTGAGTGAGATTCTAGATGAACAGGGTTGACGACATTCTTTGGCAGTGGTAAAAATTCATCAATACTGATGACTATAATTATCACCAGCAATTTGCCAGTCTCTCTGCTAGACCTGCACATGAAGAGGTAGCAAGAGAAAACTTTGCACAATGGTCCCCGCTCATCTTCAAGGCTACATTTCAAGAACCCCCGGGGATGCCCAAACCTCAGATGATGAAGAATCCTATATATACTATGTTTTCTTCTATTCATACACACCTCTGATAAAACTTGATTTATAATTTAGGCACAGTAAGAGATTAACAACAATAACTAACAAAAAAGTACAATTATAAAAACATACAGGAATAAAAGTTTTATGATTGTACTCTCTTATGGCACCATCATCATCCTTCTCCTCACAATGATGTGAGATGGCATAGTGTCTATTTGAGGAGCTGAGTGACACAGGCATTGTGACATAGTGCTAAATACTACATAAAGACTACCTGAACACAAGCACTGTGATTCTGCAACAGTGCATTTGATAAGAAAGACACTGATGGACTGACTGACCGGTGGGTGGGTAGCATATACAGCATGGATACACTGGACAAAGACATGATTTGCATCCCAGGCAGAATGGAGTTGGACAGCATGATATTTCATTATAATACTCAGACCAAAGTGTAATTTAAAAACTACACATTGTTCACCTCTGGAATTTTCCATTTGATATTTTTGACCCATGGTTGACCACAGATAATTGAGACTGTGGAAAGAAAAACTTAGATAAAGAGGGAGTGTGGTACTTCAGAAGGTCTAGTCCATGAGAAGGATGATCAACCAGGGGCTAGGAGGGGTGTTAAGTGCTGGAGGGTGGCAGCAAAGGGAAGTGCCTAAGACCACCAGGTGGGTGATTCCCCAGGACAGCTCACACAGCTCAGTGCGTGGTGCACCCATGGCTGAGATTTGTTAGCAGTGAGAGGATTCAAAGCAAAACCAGCAAAAGGGAAAGGTGTGTCGGTGAAGTCCAGGGGGACTCTGGTATGAGCTTCTGAGTCCACTCCCTGTGGAGTCCCATGGCATGGACCTCATTCCCAGCAGTGAGCTGTGACAGCATGTGCCAGGTGATGTCTACCAGGGAGCTTGCCTGCGCTCGGGAGTCCAGGCTGTGGTCAGGGTCAGCCCGGGGTGCCCTCTGCCCGGGGTTCACCACGAGTGAGGTGTGTAGCTCAACCACTTGCACCCTGTCCAACCTGTGGCCAGGGGTCTTGCCAGTGAAGGGAACTTGGAAATGAGCTTGGGAACAGATGAGGGATTCCTGGATAGGGAAGGAAGTGGACATGAGTCCTGTTGGTGCAGGAAGCATTTGGGGACTGCAGCCAGCTGCTGGGTTGGGGAGGATGTGAGACGCAGCTGCAGACCTGAGGAGGACCAGCCTCTGCTGACCAGGAGCTGTGGTCCAGGGAGGGTGGTAGTGAGATGGTGGTTCAGATGCTGGTAATCAGAAAGCTGTGGGAGCCCAGGGTCAGAAACGCCCATGTTGGTCTCCGCGGCCCAGGGAAGGCTCTGTAGAGAGAGGACTGTGTGCAGGGAAGCTGCAGGATGAGGGGCCTGCCCAGGTGTACGGTGCCTGCAGGCGAGGTGAAGGGCGTGCATAGCAAAGCAGGCAGTGAGAGGCCCCTTATGTGTGAGCTGACACGCAGCACACGTGTTGATGAGCATCACACCCATGTGGTATGATACGATATGGAAGTGGAGAGGGAGAGGCCAACATTGTGGAAGTGGCCATCTTTGTGCCTGGAGGGTGAGGAAAGGTGTTGTTGGGGGACCTAGTGCCTTCCAGCAGAACCTGAGTGGTTTGGTGTCTTAAATGTGTTAAAAAAAAATTCAGAGTGTGGATTCACAGGTGCTAAACATACTATTATCTGCAGTGTGAGGATTTTTCATAACTTAAAGGAATGCATTTTTAGAAAGCGACTGGGGTCAGGGAGGTAGGACCAGGCAGCAGAGGACCCCTGGGGCTGGATTCAGAACTGCCTGGAAGCCCCGCTGGGTAATTTCCCTGTGAGGGAACAAGGGTCTTTCAAGTTAATTGAGCCTGGAGGCTCATGAAGATCTGAGGTTCTGACCTCCTGTGCCTGGAGGGGGAGGGGAAGAGGAAGGGGGAGGGACAGGCCTGTGAATCTAGGAGGGGACTTGGGAGGCCCCTGGTGGTGGGTAGAGGAGGTGCAGAGACCAAGGGCTCTGGGGGTCAGGAGGCAGGCTGAGGCTTGTGGGGGTGGGCAGAGGGCGGGAAGACTGGGCTTGTGCCTGTGTGTGTACGTGCGTTGGTGTGTTCACGTGTGTGTGCGCACTAGTGCACATGGAGACCTACGTGCATGCCTGTGTGAGAGTGCATGCGTGTGTTCGTGTGTGTTTGTGTGCACATCGCGCACAAGCGATTGGAGTCTTCCCGTCTCGGGCAGGGCAGGGCAGGACGTGACCCCGCCCTGGTGTGGTTCTCTCTTCAGGAGCTGTACTGCAGCACCATGGGCACTTTCCAGGGCTGTGTGGACGCCCTGTTCCTGCAGACGCTGGGCGCCCGTGGCCTCCCCAGGGCGGAGTGTGAGGCCCTGCGGCAGGAGGTCCAGGAGGATGCAGCACGGCGGCTGGGCAGGTCTGATCGCTTCCGGAGGCGGCAGTGGGGACTTCTGCAGGAACTCCTGGAGCGAGACCAGCAGGTGGGCACCCTGGTGTGGGATCGGGGGTAGTTTTGAGCCAGGAGGGATGGTGGGCTGGGTGTGGGCATCCCCAGCACGTCCTCAGGCTGTCCGCAAAGACCCTCGCTAGCCTTTGGCCACACCCACCCAGGGGCAGTGTGAGAGCCAGAGCCAGCTCCTCTAGGCAGGGTCGGGAGACAGGGGTCAATCCTGAGGCTTCAGGAAGAAAGGCGGGCGTTCAGGTGGTGGGAGGGCAGCGCATCAGGCATGTGCCAGACAGCACCGTGGCCCTCAAGATGTCCACATCCCAGTGCCAAACCGTGGACCTGTGTGACCTCACATGGCCAAAGGGACTTTGTGGTTGTGATTAATGATCTTGAGACAAGGACATCATCCTGGATTGTCCAGCTGGACCAAGGTCACCCTGGGGCCCTCCTGAGAGGGAGCAGAGCGTGAGGACCAGAGGAGGAAACAGGAAGGTGTGAGCCGAGCTCCGAGTGGCACAGCGTGAGCCTGGGGACACTGGCAGCTTGTCTAGAAGCTGGAAACGGCAGAGGACGGGTCCCCCACCTCAGGAAGTTCCTGCCCAAACTGGCCGTGCGGCACCTCGATTTCAGCACGTGAAGACCCATGTGATGACTCTGACCTCGGAGCACCTGCCACAGCAGTTTCTACGGCTCTAAGCCACAGAGGCGGTGAGCCACAGCAGCCATGTGAAACTCACAGTGGACATTTTTATTTTTAAAACATTAAAGACTGTTAAATGAAAGAAGGAACCCCTGACCTGGCTGTCCCCAGCCACTGGCGTTTCTTTCTCCCTTGCTTCCTGCAGCCTGGGGGCTGAACGGCTCAGGTGCTTGCTATCTCGGGACTCCTGCAGTCGGCAGTGGCCAAGTGACAGCCCTGACCAGGTGTGGCACCACGAAGAGCTTCTTGTCCCTAATGCCAAAGCCAGGTTGTCCCTAATGCCAAAGCCAGGTTGCTGGTGTTCGCGTTCTTCCTGCCTAGGACATGGACACCCCTTGCCCTGACTAGAGCAGTCAGCTGGGGCCCTCAGGAGTGAGCAGGGGCCCTGCCCTGGACCACCCGCCCCGGGTGCTTGTTTCGCTGGGTTTTCAGTTGGGTGCAAAAGGCCACAAGAAGGGATGCCTGTGGCCGGGGCTCTCTGGAGAGCTGGGAAAGTGCACGGGAAACACGAGAGCTGGGCGGACATGGCCTCCGGCAGCCGCGGGGCAGCACGGGGCGCGTTTCCTGCTGTCTGGGTTGGTGGACCCTCTGATTCACCTCGGCCCTGCCAGCTGGTGGCCGTGTTGCCCTGCGCCAGGCACCTGCCCCTCTCCTGCACTTGGGAGTCCTCCAAGGACCCCTCCCCTGGTTTGTTTGCACGCTCTGATTCAAGGCCCCGTGGCCCGGATGTAGCGGGTGCTCTGGAAGGACTGTGTCCATCTCCAGCAACAGCACTGCAGCTATGGTCACCCTGACCCTGTCTGTGTCCTGCCCGGGATCTAAATGAAGCCAAGTCATCCAATTCACCAAACCCAGACCTTTGTGTTTCCAGTCTGGTGAGTGGGGAAGCCTGGAGAGCTGGCAGGTGAGTCAGTGTCCCCCTGGCACTCTCCACAGTTGAGAAGGCCTGGAGACCACCAGGGCTTTACAGAAAGGCCCCTGACCTGCAGCGCATGCCCAGGGTGTGAGACAGAACGGACACCAGGCTGGAGACGGCCAGTTAGCTGACCTCCCAACTCTGCTATTGCAGGGCTTACAGAATGTCTCAGAACCCCAGCTTGTGTGACAACTAGGGACCAAAACACCCAGCAGGTTGCCATGAGATAGTCATGTGAAGAGTCTTGCACAGCGTCCCTGTGGTCACCTGATGATGTGGGCATGGAAAGAATCCTGAATTTCATTTCCCACAAAATGCCCACGATTCGGCCACCACTCTCTGGTCACATTATTTAAGTACCAGCTTGCGACTGGCTCTTTTTGTCTTTTACGAATTTATTGGTGACGTATGACAGTGATTCTCCCTGGGCTTGTGGGGAAGTTTCACAAGAGGAGTTTTGCATTTGAGAAGCAAGAGGAAGAGCTAATGCCTTCGACAGCTGATTAAAGTGTAACCTAAGCCAGCTGGCTCAAGGTGTGGATGTCCTAACTAATTCACTGATTGATCGCTTAATTGCCGTAAATTACCACAAGGCCTTTAGAGACCCAAGTGCTCTCCACCTGTCATGTTTCCTTGTTGATGAAAACGAGTGAGACACGAACTCTCTGTTGCTCAGATGAGGATTCGTCTTGAGGAGCCCCAACAGAACTGTGTGTGGAAAATAAGCACACCCAGACCACGAGGGCCTCTTCCGCATCATACTCTGTCCCACACACCACGGTGGCCCCATGACCTGTGCCTTATGGAAGTTGGTGAATTGTGGAATCTGTGGAATGCACAGTTGGAGTGGGTAGCACATGGTGTTGTCAGAGCCTGATCCACTCGGGCACACAGGTTCTGGGCTTCTCCAGCACAATGGCCACCCAGGGGTCCACACCCTGCTCCCTAAAACCAATGTCAGGTTCAAGGCTAAAAGGACTTTGCAGATGTGATTATGTCAGGGGCCTTGAGATGGGGAGAGTCCCCTGCTTAGCTGGCCAGGGCCAGTGTAATCACAGGGGTCCTTGCAATGGAAGAGGGAGCAGGTGTCCGAGCAAGGTGGTGTGAGAAAGACACCGGCAGCCATCATTGGATGCCATGATGGAGGAAGGGGCTCCAAGCCAAGAACAGCAGGTGCCCTCCAGGGGCTGGGAAAGGCGAGACATACAATAGTAATTCACCTCAGACAGATATCCAAAAGTATGAGATAATAAATGTGTGTTGTTTTGAGCCACTACGTTTGTGGTCATTTGTTATAGCAGCCACAGGAGACTAATACACCACTGCATGGAAATCTGTGTTTTTAACAAGGGGTGTGTGGCAGGTGTGGCATTTTGTGCCTGACATAAAACTCTCCAGTTAGAATTGTGGCTCACTCACCTGTCAGCCTAAAGCAGCCTCATTTATCACAGAGTGTCTGTGGCTCAGGCATCCAGGCCCAGCTTGGATGGATCCTCTCTCCAGGGTCTCTCTCGAGGCTGCAACCAAGGCAGTGTTGGGGTTGGGGTCTGCTCTGAAGGCTGGACTGGAAAAGACTCTTATCCAAACTCACCTCTGGGGTTCTTGGCAGGACTCAGAGCCTTAGGAGTTGTTGGATTGAGGACTAATTACTCCCACATTTTTACTGCAGTTTGGAACCTGTCTTGAACTCAGCTCTGACCGTGAGGTCTCATTCGGGTGGTCAGTAGGCATGTAAGCTAGTGCAGCCCAAACAGAACCTCTGCCCTTCCTGCCAACCTGCCCATCATACTCTCCCCTTAACTGGGCAAAAACATTGCTCCTCTTTCTCTCACACCCTTCGTCCTGTGGACAGAACACCCCACTGGCCCTACCTCCAGCCTCACCCAGAAAGTGGGCACTTCCTGTCATCTCTGTCCCAGCACGGTGGTCACAGCCACACGCCTCTTGTCTAGCTCACTGCAGCAGCTGGCCTGCCCTCCCTGAAGTCTCAACGCCCAGCCAGAGTGGAACTTTCAAAACACACTACAGCCACGCATCTTTAGGAGGCATGTTTATTATCTCACACTTTAACATCCCTGAAGTTGAAGTACATTTTAATTTAACTGGCAATGACTTTTGTGTCTTAGTGATACCTAAAATAGTTGGGCACCTTACAACCCTCAGCACTATAGATGACAAAAGACAGAAAGTCACATCTCTGCTCAAAACCCCCAGTGGCCAGCGGCCTCGTCATGTCCTACAGGACCTGACCTGTCAGACCTGGTGCCCTCTGACCCCACCTGCTCCCTGCCCAGGCTCCTCCGTGCCTCACTGGCTCTGTGCTCCCCAGGTCTTTCTCACAATGAGGCCTAACTATTTTACAGCCCCTTTCCTGTCGCCTGTAACATGTGAAAGTTTGGAGCCAAAAGAGCAAAGCCACGGCACAGCCTGGTAGCAATGTCCGGGGTGGGTACTGCAGCCCCTAGGGCAGTGCTGCTCTGAACGGAGGCACGGGCAGCCTACGTGTGGTGATGCCAGGAGGCTGGTGTGACCCTGCAGGCTCCGTCTACCCTGCCAGCCCGGCCTTGTGGCCCTCGAGTCCTGCTGCTGGCCTTATCTGCAGACTCAAAAAGACAGCAGAGACCCCTGTATGCTCTAGAGATGATGTCAACTCACCTTTTAAAGAATCAAGATGGGGAAGAATTTTCTAGAATGTTCTGTTTGCCCTTAGATTATTGTAACTCCTCAAAAAAGGACTCAAAAGACTGATCTGAACAGCCCATTCTGGGTGACGCCATGTCATTTGGTGAGATCGGCTGTGTTAGGAATCACACAGCCGGGAACTGGGGTGGGCACAGGCGCTTCAGCCCCCTGTGTTTTGTGGAGCGCAGTGGGAGCCCCTCCAGGCTGCTGGGCAGAGAGCTTCTGCAAAGCTGCGGAGAGGGGAGAGGTGACGGACTCATCTGGCTGGCTGAGTCCTCAGGTTCTCTAGTCTTGCCAGAGGTGCACGTTTCTCCTGGAGATGTGAGATGGCCAGGGAGGAGCAGCGTGGAGGTTTTAACAGAATCTGGGAGAAAGGGGTTTTAGAGCAAGATACAGACTCAACCCCACAGCTCAGGTAGCTGCTGGGCACCCGCCCAGTAACCAGCGCCCACATTCTGTTCCCCGGCACAGGTGTGGATGGAGGAGTGTGCGCTGTCCACGGTGCTGCAGGACCAGCTGAGGGACAACCGCCAGCGCACCTTGCAGGGCGTCCTGAGCAGGCTGGGCGGCCTCACTGAAGAGTGAGTCGGGCGGTCCTGGGATCAGGGCTGGGTGTCCGCGGCTCTACCCTCTAGGGGTCCTCATCTCGCCTTCTTTGAATGTGGATGATGGTGGCTCTCAGTCCTTGTCCTGGGTCTCCTCCGCACAAAATGGGGCCAAGGACCCTACTTCTCAGGGTCATGTTTTGTAGGAATTCTTCTCAACAGCTTTTATGGGATGGGATTTACACATGTTACTTTAAGAGTTCAAATCAAAGATGTTTTAGTAAATCTCTCCACATCCATCACCACAATTCGAATGAAGATTTCCATCTCCCCAAAGAGACCTCTCATGGCCATTTACAACAAATTACAACTGATCAATTTTTATATCCACTTTTTACATTTTTGCTCTATTAGTGCAATATGATTTCTCCAATTTGCTGAAAAATGTTTTCTTATTTCTTCTGATGAAAATGGCTGATATGTTTTCCTAGTAGCCCGGCCTTTCCCAGGCACCCTGTCTGTGTTAGACCAAGACACAGGGGCAGGGCTGAGGCCTGGTAACCCAGAGGCTCCGAGCCAGGGAGGGGCAGGTGAGCAGAGTGCAGCTCCTTGTGTCTCGCTCCTCTGTGCTTTTGGTGATTCGGAGATTTCAGATGGCATCCTTGACCCGTCAGGATCTGCGGTACAGTCAGCCATTACCCCTTCTTGAGCAGTGCTCATGCACAACCCGCTAGTCCTCTCCGAAGGTCACTCTGCTGCCTGTGTGTTTTAGCTCTCTGCATTCCCGGTCCCACAGGGCATGGCTCTGTCGTTTAGAGTTATTCACACAATCGCCCTTCCTGTGGCTCTTGAGTCTTTCCTCTTGCCGTTAAGTTTCCCTCTGGGATCATTTTTGCCTGAAGGCTCCTTTGAGTTCAGATCAACTCATAAAAAATTCTCTAAGGTTTTTTCTAAAAATGACTCACCTTCACCTGTAAGGGATACTTTCCGTGGGCACACTGTCAGTCCTTGTGCACTACTGTTGTGACGTGTCTGAGACTGGGTAGTTTATAAACAGTAGAGATTGATTTCTCCTGATTCTGGAGCCTGAAAGTTCAAGACAAGCACCTGCAGCTTCCGTGCCTGGCGAGGGCTGCTCTCAGCTTCCAAGATGGCGCCTCTCTGTGTCTCCCATGGCAGAGGGGAGGGCATGAGTGGGGCGAGCTCTGATTCTGTTTTCATGAGGGCACTAACCCAGCCATGGGGTGGAACCCAGGGCCCCCCTCCTCAGGCCAGCACAGTGGGACCCAGTTCCAACACTCAGATCATAGCATACATACAGTCTTACTTTGGTTATTTTTCAATATGTGTGTAGGAGCTCCGTGGCGCTCTGGATGCCGCGATTTGCCACTGGATCAGCTCTTCCCAGGGCTCACCCATCAGCTTTTGTGGCCCCCCTGCCATCCTCTGCCTGCGCTCCTCCAGGGCTCCCGCTCCCTCCACTCAGTCACCCCTCCACACCACTCAGTGCTCCTCCCTCACCTGTGGCACGGCCTCAGCGGGTGCTTTCTCCTGAGCTGTCTCCAGGTCACTTCCTCTTTGGCTGGGTCTTCTCTGCTCTGAGGCCTGTGGAGCTCTGAAGGTCAGCTGTTGTGCTGTGAGTTTAGAATGTCTCTGTTTCTCTACGTACTTTCTGATGATCTGCTGAGATTCTTCATCTTATCCATTTCTTGGCCATATGAATCATGATTATTGTCTTGCTTGCCTGATTATTCCAAAACCTGATATCTTGTGGTTATTTCTCCAGTTCCCATTTCATTCCTTTTATTTTTGGTTAATTTCTGTCTCTTTGCATGTCGGGTGATTTTCATTGACTGCTGGATGCTATTCATCACCAATTGTAGAGGGAACATAAGACTCTGAATAATGCCGTCTTCCAGAGAGGATTTATCTTTCTTCCAGCAGGAATTTCAGATAGTGGTGGATGAGCTCCACCCACTGGGGAGTTTAGCTGATTCAGTGCTAGGTCTTTGTGAGGGCCGTGTCCTTTCTAGGATGAGCCCCCGGCCCTGGCTGATGGCCCTGGTGATTGCCAGGCCTCCCTCTGCCATGCTGACTGCTGAAGCTCTCTCCAGCTCTTCAGCCTCTTCCAACACCATACATTATAAAACCAAATGTCGGGCCTCTTTGGTTGACCCAGGTTTCTTTCCTCTTGAGCCACTGGGGTGTGAACTCAGGCACGGCTCACGGCTTCAGTGGGGGGGTGCTTCCACCCACTCCCACTTGGCGGGTGCCAAGTGGTACCTGGGGGCTTCTTGTGCGTCAACCCCGGCCCCCGCTGCTCTCCCCACAGGTCCACGCGGGGCATCCTGCAGGGGCACGAGCTGCTCCTGGGCTCTGCCCTCCGGAGGCTGGCCCTCCGCGGCAGCGCCGTCGCCACGCTGGCCCAGATGAGGCTGTCTGGGAAGAAGAGCCTCCTGCAGGAGCTGCGTGAGCAGCAGGCGCTGGAGCAGGGCTCCTCCCACTGTCGGGACGAGCATCAGTGGCAGCTACTCCAGGCCTTGGTGAGCCCAGGGTCCCCCTGAGCACGCAGGAAGTACCCGGTCGCAGGCCAGCCATGTCCACCAACCTCGATCCTGCCGCCCCTGTCATTAGGGGTGCTGTGTGAACCTGCTGGGGCATCGTAACGAGGTCACAGCCACGGCCCACACGGCTGAGCTGGAGTCTGGGGGTCCTGGAGTGGCAGGGCCAGCTCCTCCTGGGGCTGCTGCCCTCCATTGTCACATGGCCGTCCCTCCATGCATGTCTGGGTCCCGACCTCCTCCCCACATGAGGATTAGGGCCACCCTAATGTCCCCTTTCTGTCTCCTTAAAAATCCTGTCTCCAAATCTGTCAAATCCCAGGGCCCTGAGGCTAGAACTTGAACATGTCGACTTGGGGAGGACACAGTTGAGCCCATGACAGCACCCTCCTGTTGGTGCTCTGTGGCACCATGCCCGGTGAGGATTGCACCAGGAGACCTAAGCCAAGTCCGAGGGGGAACGTCCAGTCAAGGGTGTGGGAGGGGGGCTTTGAAATGTCATGGAGGTTTCCACAGATCAAAGGGAAGAGAACGGGCAGGCAGCAGAGCCGGGTTTAAACCCAGCCGCTTGTCCAGCTCTCACGCCCGTGGCTCCTGAGCCCCAGGAGCAGCCAAGTTTCGAGCCACTGAGGCAGAGTTTCCCAGCGGCTGCAGCTTTGCAGCGCAGGGCAGCAGCTGGGCCTCGTTGCAGGAGATGCGTGTCCTGGAGGAGGCCGGCCGGCTGGAGGAGGAGGCGCAGCAGACGCGGCTGCAGCTCCAGCAGCAGCTGCTGGCCGAGGCCCAGGAAGCCGGGCAGCTCCTGCAGCAGCACTTGGAGCGAGCCATCGGGCAGGCACTGCTGGGGCACGCACGGAATGCGGCCACCAAGAGCCGGGCCAATGACAGGGATGACTTCAAGGTAGGTGCCAGGGGCAGGAGGAACTGGGTGGAAGGGCCGGACACCTGGGCTGGTCCTCACTGTGTCCTGCAGGGACCCTGCAGAGCTTGCAGCCGCCCAGCCTTGGTTCCACATTTGTAGGTGGGTTGCCCTCCCTCCAAGGGAGGTGAGGCTCTATCACACCGATGGCAGGTTTCTCCTGCCACCAGCCCCGTGCTGTCCTTCCGAGCAGTGCCACTGAGGTCACTGACTTGATGGTGGTTCCTCCTCTGCTGACAGTAATGGGAAGCCAGCGGTGGAGACCTGAGTCAGGAGCCCATCCGCCCAGCACCTTCTCCAGTGCTCCGCCTGCCCTTCCTGGCCAGGTCTCCCACAACCCTTGCACAGTAGGGTCATTCTCCCTCCCATTGCACAGATGGTAAAGCTGAGGCTCATGAGTCCTCCCCGGTAGAGGGTGACCGGGTGGAGGCCAGAGCCGAGACTCCCAAGGCTGAGGTGGGTTTGCAGACCTTTGAGCTGTGGGGCTTGTGGTGGGACATGGCGGCACCTCAGCTCCTCTCTGAGAATCCTGCCACTTGGGCAAATGAGTTGCCCTGCTAATCCACGCCTGAGGTTGGCCCCACGTCCTGGTCCTTCAGAGACTGGGGCAGGGCCCGGCAGGTGACACTGGGAAGGTCACTCCCATTCCCTAAAATCCTCCTGCCCTACCTAGTGAGTGCTGCTATGTGAACGAGGGCGGGGTGATCAGCAGGCGCATTTGGTCCTGGTGTCCAGAGGATGGCGTGGTGCTGGGTTTCTAGAGGAGGTTGGCTGGCTCTCTGGGTGGACGGGCCATGTGGCAGGAAGGCAGGTGGGTGGTTGACCCAAGCAGAGACGGTGGGGGACTTCCTGCCTCCCAGAATCCAGAGAAGGCCACCAGCTGTCAGCCACAGGTCCTGCTGGGCCCCGATGTGGATGTGGAAGCCTGCGGGGCAGTGGCAGGTGGCAGGACGGGGAGGCCCACTCAGCCCTGCTCCCCACAGCCCGGGTTCCGCACCTGCAAGGTCAGGCGCCTTTCACAGACGGTGCTGGGGGGGAGCGCAGAGCGCAGCCTGAGCAGACCGCTCAGTGCTAAGTGGGCGTCGTTTCTTGGCCGAAGCCCGGCCCTGCCCATACATGTCTGTGGATGTGGACGCTTGAGGCTAACTCCTGCCTGCTGCCCGTTATCTGAGGAAGAAAAGGACGGTGACTTGGTCAGTGCACGACCAGCACACTCCTGGGCAGGGCTCAGCACGTCCCTTCCTCTCTACTTTGGCCTGAGGGTGTCACTCAGAAGTGTCATAGCTGCGAATGACAGGTGCCCTGCAGTGGCTCAGGTGGGCAGAAGTCACACACCCAGGTACATTCGTCCCTCGGCATCACACAGCACATACCCGGGGCTCATTCTATAAACACAGGGCTGGGCCAAGCTCACAGTCTGGGGCGCTGGCATCCTGGCTCAGGCTCTGGCCACGCCACACCCTGGCTGTGTGATCTCATGGTGGGTGGCCGTGGTGGCAGTGCATTGTGGGGGAGGAACCCGAAAGAGGAAGCCAGGGGAAGGAGCTGGGCTTGCTCCGTGAGTGCTGACCCTCTGGGAGGACTAGCTCAGGCTCCCACACGGCCTCCCCAGTCCCTTGCAAGGACAGGTCCCCAGTGACCAAGGACCCCTTGGCCTTCCCTCCTGCGGTTCCACAGCTCAGTGTTGCCACTCTGGGACCACACTGACAGACCATGGGCCTTGGGGACAGACCACGGGCCTTGGGGACAGACCACAGCCAGACGGCAGCACCGCATGATAAGAAATGTGGAGGGAGCGCTTCCAGCCAGCAGTGTCTGTGCTGGGACCTGGGAACCAGGTCTGGGCTCTTTCCAACCCATGCTTCTGGCCGTTGTTGTCACTGTCATCGTCATCCTCATTAGCGTCCCACATGACTGTTGCTGCTCCAGGTCTGCATTCCAGACAGGAGGAGGGAGGTGGCAAAGTCTCCCCATCAGGACTCTGCCTGTTGAGAGAGGCAAGGCCCCCAGCAGACTCTGCCTGACTTTGCATCTTAGGACCAGAACGAGGCCATCGCGCCCGTATTAGGCCATCCTGACCTGGGACAGTAAGATTATTGACCAACCATGCGCTCTCCGCCTGCTCCCAGCCACTCCAGGTTGGAAGTGAGATGTCAGCCAGGCGGAGAGGCCGGGCCCCCACTGGGCACGGCGGCTGCACCTGTGACTTCCGTACCGCTCTGTCCTTCTCTCCTGCCCACAGGGGACGCTGGTGGAGACAGTAGTGGAGAGCGTCTACGCCACCCGCGCTGGCGTCGGCCCCCTGGTGCAGGCCTATTACCAGCAAGTCGGGAGGGTGATGCAGGACCAGGAAGAGAGGAAGCTACAGCTCCTGAAGACCTTGCAGGGTGCGCAGCCTGGCCCCGGGACCAAGGTGGCCCACGTGGGGGGACGCGCGTTCCAAGTTGGGGGGTTAATTTTGAAGTGTCTTTATGTATTTATTCACCCCTCTTCTTATACCCAAAATGCTTTTTTAAGGCAACGTAAAGAAACATACATGCCGTACAATAAGGTTTGTAAAGCAGAGAGTCGGCGGCGGGCAGGACCCCGAGGTGACAGGGCAAGGTCATCGTCTGGACGGGCTGGGGGGGCCTCCTTGGAGGTGAATGATTCTGTCTCTGGGTTCTTGGTGGCCAGAGATGGAGCCACTCAAAGGCACTGCCATGCCCAGGGGTGAGGAGAGGCCAGCAGCCACTGTGACGTTCCTGAGACCCTGAGACCCCCCTCATAAAAGGCCACCAGGTGATGGAGCAGACAGTGTCCCCATTGCAGTGACAACAGATAATGACATGCAGAGCCAGCTTCTCAAGGGCCATCCTCACACCCTCCCTCCTGCCGGAGCTCAGGACAGGGCGGTGCTCCTAGGTCTCGGACACTCTGCCTTTGGGAGCTGCTCTCGGCTGCCCCGTCCTGGGGACTCAGGGGAACCTAGCCCACACCCAGAGACGGGCAGAGGCTCCAGATTCCCCGTCATGGCTCTCCAGAGACAGCTGGGTTCCTTTAGCAGGAGACAGACGTGCCCATGAGCCACCGCAGAATGGGGGCACGGCCCCTCCCTCCCTGGCCTCGGCTCCCACTCTGTGGGAGGGGGCTGGGTTCGCCCCAGGCACCTCTGAGCTCTTCTGCCCTTCCCCGACCCCCGACCCTCACACAGTGAGCACTGGAGACCCTGGAAACCCCTCCCCATCCAGCCCACCCTTCATGGGAGCCACAGAGGGTGGCCCAAGCTCATCCCAGGTCAGCCTCTCTGTGCTCCCACGGCCTGGAGGGGGACCGGGAGGCAAAGCACCCATGTCCCCCCAGAACTACTGCTGGGCATTGGGCGACTTGGCCAGCAGGGCCTTGAAGCAGGTGCCCATGGCTCGAAGTGCAAACCTGCCCCTGCTGGGGTGGGGCGCTGGAATAACCCTGCTGGGGACGGGTGTGCACTGGGCTTCCCAGGGACCCAGGGCACCTCGCACTCCACCTGAAGTTTCTATCTTAACCTGCGTTTTCTGAGCATCTGAATTTGCAAACAGGAAAGGGCTGGGGGAAGGGCGCTGCTCCAGCTCCTGGGGGAGCCTCAGGCCTGCCCAGCACCCCGGCTCCCTGCTGGGTGCGTCCACCTGCCTGTTCCCCTCCCTGTGCTGTCCCCAGGGTCCTCGCACACGCCTGCCTGTCCCAGCGCTGGGGCGAGTGGCGCACTGTGGGTGCAGGTGTGTCCTGCTCGGCCTCAGGCGCGGCCAGCCCAGCCTGCAGAGCCTGTGCTCTCCCTGTGATGTGACCCGCCTCGTGTCTCCCATGGTCCAGGCCACAGAATGGACAGCTCCAAGCTGCGGAGGAAGCAAGAACTCGGGGACCCCGGGCCGGAGGACCAGATGGCAGGTGGCACTCAGGGAGCCTCCCAGGCTGTCCACCAGAGGTGAGGCTCACGGTGGGCAGTGGGTCCCCCACGCCGGGATGTCCTCTGCCCCCCACACCCAGTGTGGAAGCCCCTGAGCCTCTGCCCACACCCTGTTCCCAGAGGCACCCACACTAGCGCCCAGCACAAGGGAGGGTGAGTCAGGGTGTGGCGGCCACCCTGTGTCCAGCTTCAGGTGGCACCTGCAGCCCTAACGGGGCTCCTTGACTCCTGCTCATGCTCTTGGCTCCCTCAGGAGCAGACCTCGAGGTGGGAGTGGGTGTCCACCTAGAGGGACCCAGGGAGCCAGAAGGGAGGCAGAGACAGGTGTGTCCCGTGACGGTGGCCGTTACCGTGGCCACAGACTCACCGGCAGAGGCCACTGCGTGTCCTCCCACGGTCTGTGGCTCAGGAGGCCAGTTCTCTGCTTCTCTGGGTCTCGCGAGGGGAGGCAGGGCGTCAGCCCGCGGGGCTCTCCCTGGAGGCCTGGTGGGTTCACTTCTGAGCTTGACAGGGTTGCTGTGGAACCGAGGTCCCATTTGCTGGCCTGCTGTCACGTGGGCCACCCTCACCCCGCCAGGGCCTCTCTCTGGTCCTTGCTCTGGGCCCCGGGGCCGGCAACCAGCCGCAGTGACAGCACCTGGGGTCACGCCTGCAGGCCCTGCGCCTTCTTCCCACCTGGGAGAGGTTTCTCTGCCCTCAGGGGCTCAGCCGCTGTGGACAGGACCCACCCGGTCACCCAGGCTCATGCCGGGACCTTGCAGCCTGTGGCCCTGGTCACACCTGCGGCTCTCCCTTGCCATCTGCAAGGGCTCCGGGATCTGAGCGTGTTTAGGGACACGGCCTGGGATGTGGCCAGCTCTGGGGACGTCGCGTGGCCCAGCACAGTTGGAGCTGCAGAGAGCTGCGCAGACAGTGCTTTCCAGGGAGGCCACAGGGCAAGGGTCTTTGTCCCTTCCCCAGGGCTGAGGGTCCGGCCTGGAGGGCTGACTCACCTGCCCGTCCACTGCCCCGGGTAGGCCCCACACAGCGCTGCAGCCAGAGAGAGCCCTGGGCCACAGGCAGGCGCTTGGCATAGGGTCCCTGGGCCTTGGGGAACTACGTGGCATCAGCAGCCTCCTGTGGGCTGTGGGGTGGAGGCAGCAGCAGTGCAGGCCTGTAAGTGCCCGCTGTTTGCTTGGCCACTAGGTGGGTACAGGACAGCTCCTGCCATCTGTCCAGGAGCTCTGAGCCTGGGGGGGGAGTAAAGAATCAGCGATCAAGCAGTGGGGGTGCCGGGGGGCAGGGCTGGACCACAGGGGAGGATCCCTTGCCTTGTCCTGCCACCAAAGGTGGCAGAAAGACAACAGCCATGCAGTCGAGCCCAGGGAGCCCGTCACACAGCACAGTCCAGGCCAGCGGCACGTCGGCAGCCCGTGTAGATGACGAGCACTGCAGCACCTGGATCAAGCTGAGCCTGACACCCCCACTGTGAATTCTCCAACTGGTCATTAGCCTTGGTCAGCAAAGTCCCTGCTATGGCATTGCAAGGTCTGGGCTTGCCCTGACTCTCCACACCGTGCTCAGCAGTTCCTGGACTTGGGCACAGGAGCATCAGGGGGCTTTCCCACTAAACCTGCTGCACCTGGGACTCAGGGAGCTGGAGGGGAGCCCGGGCATCTAAATTGTTCACACATGCTCACAGACACGCCCAGGGACTCGGATGGCTGTGGCCCAAGGACTCCACTTTGACCCAGGTGATCTAATGGGGGGCCCTGGCCCAGCCTCACCTGGTGTAGGGAAGAGGAAAGTCAGGCCTGGTGTGTTGGGGTGAGCGCCTGGCGCAGCCTCTGCAGGGTGGGGAGGGCCTGCCTCCTTGTCAGGGGCTCCTGCCTTCCCCTCCCGCCCTCCCCACCCTAGGCAGAGCTAGGGGGACGGCCAGTCTCCCATCTCCCCGTATCCCAACCCAGTGCCTCCCGGCAGGCAGGAGAACAGGGAGGGGCCACAGGAGGTGGATGGGACAGATGGCGTGGCACAGAAGGACTGGGGCTGGCAGGGCAGTGGACAGACGGGGTGGACTTACAGCAGACAAGACATGAAGCCAGGTGGCACCGTGTGCCTTGGGGGCCCCCATGTGGGCAGCTGCCTGCCAATGCTGCAGGTGGCATCTGCCTTCAGTTGCAGAAACTCAGCCCTTTCCGAAAATCCAGCCTGGGAGATGAAGGGGGCAGGGGGGTAGTGGAGCCAGGGGTCTGAGTGATCCTGTGGGCCGAGGGGAGGCAGGAGTCTGCGCCCCAGAGGGAGATGGCACTCAGGATCAGAGGGAGTCTCTGCCCCAGCTGTCCCCCTGCCTCTCGGGGTAAAGGGGCTGCCTTGTTCTGGATTTATCTTCTTCCGGAGGAAAAAGCCTCCTGTTTCACAGGGAGGGGCCAGGGCCGTTCTGAGCTTTAAAATCAGGATGCAGCCGGGACCCTGGGCCTTTGGGGAGAATGTTCCTCCCTAAGTAAGATGGTTTGCTCAGGAGAAGAGGCCACTCCCTGCCCAGCCCCGTGGCAGCTGTGGGTCCACAGGCAAGCCCCGCCTCCCAGCCTCCCAGCCTCTCCTGGCTTTTCCTCTGTCCTGCTGATGTCCCCAAGCCACCCCGAGGATCAAGACAAAAGTGCCTGTGGAATCTTGTCGACTCCTTGGTGTTCGGGGCCTTGACAGTGTCCCCAGTGTGTGGCTGCTGGACACTGGGCCCATGCTCCTCTCGGGTACCCAGGCCCAGCGGTCACTAATCCCACGGCACGGTGGGCCCTTTGGGAAGGTTCACGTGGGGGCTCCGAGTGACTGTGGCCAGGGCAGCGCTGACCTTCTCATCCCCCACCAGGCTGCTGTCGCAGCAGAGGCGGCTCCTGGCCCAGTTCACGGAGCACCAGCGGCTCCGCCTGGAGGCGCAGAGGCAGAAGGCCAGGGTCCTGGACCAACTGGAGGCCCAGCTGGAGACGCAGCTGCAGGTGAGAGTCTAGGAGCGGCCTCCGCAGGCAGGGCTTCAAGAGGAACAGAGGTGGGGAAGGCAGAGGCCAGGTCATCCCGGGCCAGTGTGGGCCTGGGGGTGGGGGGGGGCAGGTCCAGAGCCTTCGCCTCTGCACCTCGCTGTCTGCACGGTCACCTGTGGCCTCGGGCCAACTCCAGGCAGGCTGCCGAGAATCAGCGCTTCAGTGTGTGCGGATCCCCACCAGGCGACTGCTCAGAGTAGGATGGACATCCGTCCTGCTGGCCGTGGGGGGCGACCGAGCCTGCTGTGCATCTGGAGCACTCAGGACTCACCCAGCACAGAGAGTCACGGCAGGGAAGGCTCCGTCCCGAGTGTGGCCAATGGCTGCCGCAGATGCCTGGCGTTCCTGAGTGGAAGCCACGGACAGTGTGGGCCCTGCCAGAGATCTCCCCACATTGGGCAGCGATTAGAGGGACAAGGACAGGTGTGCCCAGGTCTGTGTGGCGCTGGCGCCAGGCGCTCACTCTGGAGGCAGGCCACACTGCGAGGTCCTGTCCTGCTGCCACCACCTCCGTGCAGGCCACCACCTCTCACCCTGTGTCATCTGTAAACGGGCTCCACAGCGGAGCCAGAGAGGATGCCCACCCTGCATTCTGCCCTGCTTGGGCCTCTCCGGGGCACTTCAGGAGAGTGTCCTGAAGTGTCCCTGCTGGGGACGCGTCCGCCAGCCTCCTGGACAGCGTCAGGCCCTTTTGGGGGAAGGGCTCGGGGAGGGGCCGCTGACTCTCCCCCACTTGCACATCAGGACGCGGAGCAGACCTTCATCTCAGAGCTGGCAGCCTTGGCCCGCGTGCCTCTGGCCGAGAACAAACCGCTCTCCAGTAAGCGCGGGCTGCCAGGTAAGTCGTGGCGTCCCCGCCGCAGGGGCAGAGCCTCTGCACTGAGACCGATGTCCACCTCCCGTCCACCGCTGACCAGCTCTGGGGCCTCGGGCCTCGGGCTCAGCCTCTCTGGGCTTCATGTCCGTGTCTGTAATGGGGCAGGCTCAGGGCACCTGGGGCCCGGCTCTCCAGCATTGGGCCATCCCAGCCCCTGGGTCTGCTGCCCTCCAGCTGTGTCTCCGACTCTGTTCCTACCTGTAAAGTGGGAAGATGTGTCCCCTCCCCTGCCAGTGAGGGAATCGGGGACGTCCCAGGTGGTGGTAGCCTAGTCGTGGGAGGGTCGCTCTGAAGGCAAGCACATAGACGTGCCAGCTGATCTCGGCACCCTAAGTCCCGAAGGCCCCTGGGTGCAGTAGAACACGGCCTGGCAGGACTGGTCAGGTCCCAGGTCTGCCACTTATCGGCTGTGCTGGCCTGGGAAAGCACGTGGCTCCTGGGCCTCGGTTTCCTCGTCCGTGGAGTGGGTACAATGCAGTGACGCAGCAGGGCCCACCTGGCCACCGGGTGCTTGAGAACTGTCAGGCCTGGTTGGCCCAAGGCCGGAGGAGCTGTCCGAAGTCCCAGACCAGGGTCCTCTCTCTTCCGCAGAGAAGCCTCTACGGACCAAAAAGAAGAAGCCCCTGCCTCGAGAGAGAGGGGACCCAGGACTGCCCAGCGATGGTGACCCTGCCTCGGGGGACCACGCCTCAGGGCTCCTCAGGTACAGCAGGTCCCCATCTCTCACCTCTGCGCTGCCTCGCCACCCACTGTGCTCCCTGGCCACCCACTGTGCTCCCTCGCCACCCACTGTGCTTCCTGGCCACCCACTGTGCCTGGTGTCTGGGTGGGAGGCCGCCCCTTCTCCAAGGCCCTCAGAGGCCCAAGAACAAGGGGTGTGAGCGTGATTGAGGGCAGGAGCCGGGGCCACTCGGTGGCAGCTGGCATCACTGCGGCTGCCGCTGTTGGCCCATCTGGCTAGGAGGGGACACTGCCTCCAGGCCCTGTTGGCATCCAGCCAGAGCCACGCACCCAGCCCTCCTCCTCCAGGGCCAGCACTGGCCGCCACCTGTGTGAGCTGCTGTCGGCTGGCAGCCCCAGGGTCGTGGGAACCAGCGCGTCCCTGTTGTGGCACCTGGGTGATCAGTCTCCCACCTGGAAGGGCACCCTGGGGCTCCACTTGCCACTTCACCACGGGTGTCACCGTGTAGACCACCTTGGTCACTGTGCTGCCACCTCACTGAGTGGCATCACTGAGCCTGGTCTCAGGCAGGGCACTGACCGCTGGCCTCTTCCCACTTTCAGCAGCCAAAGGCCAGGTCAGCAAGAAGCCGAGGCTGGTGTCGGCGAGGACGGGAGGCAGGTGCTGAAGAGGAGCCATCTGTAGCTCAAGGCTGCTGGGCAGGCCTGTGCCTGGGTGTGCAGGGCCTGTCCCCGCCACAGCCTGGGGGACGTGGGGGCGGCTCTGAGAGAGGACGGAGGGGGGGGAACCGGCCAGACGGCCGCGCCTGAGATGGTTGGGAGCTCCTCCTAGGCGGCTTCGAGCCCGCTCAGCTCCCTGCCCGGGTGACTCCTCCTGAGGGTCATCCTTCCCTGGCCTCCTGTGCCCAGCTCTACCCGTGTCCTGAAGCTACCAGAACCTGCCTCCCACAAGCTGAGGTCACCTGGCACAGCCCCGGGCACTCTGCGCCCAGCTTCTCCGCCCAGTGCTCCCAGGAGGGCCCCTCAGGCTAGCTGTACTTCCTGGATCCGAGGTCATCCCCTGGTCCCGCCATCCCCTACACCCGCCAGGGGCTGCTCAGCATTCCCCTCAGGACCACGTCCTTGCTTGGTACTTTCTGTCCTTTGACTCAGCCAGCACCGAGAACCGGTCACCAAGACAGTGTCCGAATCCCGGGGCCAACAACCCAGGACAGGCTGCTACCTCAGCTCTTCCCTGCTGTGACTAAAAGACCCGATTAGAACACTTTTATGGGAGGAGAATTTATTTGGGGCTCACGGTTTCAGAGGCTCAGTCCGTAGACACTGGCTCCACCTTGGGCTGCAGGTGAGGGGGACGTCATGGGGAAGAGTGTGGTGGAGGGCAGCAGCCCCACGATGACCAGGAGGCAGAGGGAGACGCCGCTCTCCAGACACAAATACACACCCCAACGCCCCCCTCCAGCCGCACCCACCTGCCGTCAGTTAACACTCATCAATCCCCTCAGGTGAGTGATTCACTGATTGGGTTCAGGCTCTCATAACCCACTCAGTTCTCCTCTGCACCTTCTTGCATTGTCTCACAGTGAGCTTTTGGGGACACCTCACCTCCAAATCATTACACAGACCATGGAATCCTGGTCCCCAGGCCTCTCCTGACCCATGTGGGCCCAATGTCACAGACACCTGTCAACCACAGCAGGGCCTCTTCTTCAGAGCCCAGGGAAGCGCACAAAATCTTCCTTGGGCTTCACAGGGGACGGGTGAGTTCTTCTCCCTGACACAGACCCCAAGGAGAAGTGTCCCTGAGAACATCCGGAGGCTCCCAGACCAGCCACACATACACCATGGAGGGAGGCCTTTCCCCGCAGAGAGACGCCTGCTCTTGAGAGGTTCCCGCCCCGCACAGTGGACACTGGGGAGGTCACCCCTTGTTTGGGGTTGGAAGCTGCTGGTAGAAAAATGGGTCGCGGATTTCAGACCCAAATCAGAGCAGAGCCGGGGGCCATGGGTCCGGAGCTCTTGCTGGCCCATCAGAGGAGAGCTGTCCCTCACAAGGCTCTGCAGCAGGGAGCCCCAGGCCAATGGTGCTGCCGACCACAGCCCAGCTCTGGGCACCTCCAGGAACTTGGTTCTCATGGTGCCCGGGCCCCACCTGCTCTTCACAGCTCCCCCAGACCTCGACCTCCCTGGATGCCTCTGTGACCATCCTAACAGGTGTGCCCAGGTCACAGTGCCCTGCAGTCCTGAGTAAACCCATGGATGTGAAGAGCAGCTCTGCTGTGTCACTCTGGGCTGATGGGCAGGTGCTATCCTGTGCATGGTGGGGTGTTTGGCAGCACCCCTGGACTTGACCCATGAGACCACAGGACCAACCCCAGGATGTCTCCAGCACTGCCCAGGGTCCCCAGGGTCATCATCCATGGGCTAAGGAAATGGATGCCTGTCCTGGCCAAGCCCAGGACGTGACAGCTGTGTTTCCACAAACTTCTAGAACATGATGGGCTCTGGTTTGCGGATTGGGTGGCTCAGGGACCCTGACTGGGGGATTTTCTGGGCTATGAGTTTTGCTTTCTAAAAACCTAAGTTAGACTCTGCTGGTGCAGGTGCGGCTCCTTCCTGGAAGCGGCTGCGCAGTCCTGTTAACTAACCTGGAGGTGGAGACCCTTCAGCCCTGGACGCGGGTGGGATTTCTAAAGTTACCCAACAGTGCCCTCTGGTGGCCTGAGGAGACGCTGCGTCGGTCTGCAGGGTCCTGTAGGCTGCTTGGCTTCCTTTGTGCCGCGTTCTCAGGGCACAGTTTGCACAGACATCACTTCTGCGTTGTCTGTCACAAGGGTCCTTGCACAGAGGTGCCCTAAGGCAGATGGTGCCTGTGTCCTGGATGCCCAGTTTGGTGGCATGTGTGCCCAGTGCAGACCCCACCCCCACCCCGCAGCAGCAGGACTGGCCAATTAACCCGAGATTAGGTCTCGGAAAAATCGCAGGCCAACTGTAAGTGCCGATTTAAGGACCACAGGCCCAGCCACACCTTCCCAGCTGAGGAGGCTCCCGGCTGCTCCCCACCCCACCCTGCAGGTGGCCTTCATGGCTGCCGTGGGTCAGCAGATCCTGGATGTGTTCTCAAGTGTGGCTGAGGTGAGGGGCTGGAGGGGTGGGCTGAGACAGGCAGAGGAGGATGGGCGAGGAAGCCCCAGGGTGCCCTCCACCGCCCTGGCCCCGCCATGGTGGCCTCCGGTTCTCAGTATGGGATGGGAGTTGCTATGGTGGTGGATGGAGGTGGAGCTGGCAGGGGATGAGGGTGATAGTGTCAGGGGCTGGTCACCTTCTCTGACGGTGGTGTCCTAGGACCTGAGCTGGGGACTCAGGATGCGGCCAGTGGGGTTCCCCTCCACAGACTCCTCTGGCCTGCGTGGTGCCAGAGCTGATATTGATTCCTCCTGAAACCAGGGCCAGGAGGGGCCGGCAGCCACTGCTCCAGAAGTCTCCCAGCACGGGAGAAGCTCTGGGTGAAGGACCTTCTAAACGCACATGGCACGGCCCACGCCTTCCCTGGGAAGAGAACGTGGAGGGTCTCTGTGCTTTTGTGGGGATAGTAGCTCTGCTCAGCTGTGACATCTGGCAAAAGGCTGAGCAGCAGCCTTTTGTCCACACTGTGACCGAGGTGGCCCGACGGCCTCAGGGGTGAGCAGCGAGCTGGGCGGCACGGGAACCCGGGACAACCCGGGCGCACGCAGTGGGGCGCACCAAGGAGGCCGGTTTGCCTCTTCAGACTCGATATTCGGTCTGGGGGTGAGGAGATGCATAAACCAACACAGGAGGGCCGGAAGTGGCCCTCCTGGGACAGCAGAGCTGACTCAAGTGTTAAGGACTCCCAGCTGGTGGGCCTCATGTGGTGACATGGCTGTGGGGAGATTGACGCCGTGGAAATCGGCAAACACCAGGCCAGGGCCCTCCAGCCCCACCCGCAGCCACATCTGTTTTCCTGCACGTCCCTGACCACCAGGTCACAGAAGGTCCATGTGGACTGAGACATGTATTTATCATTGTGATGGACGAGAGAGTCATTGCCACTGACTGGGGAAATGTGGGGTGCCCAGTAACACTGTGAGCTGTCACATGTCACGGGAAAAAATGACCCTGGGGACCCGCCCCTCAGTACACAGGAGCATCCTCCAGGCGGGGCTCATAGGCCTCAAAGTGAAAGATAAAACCTCCAGAAGAAACTTAGAGGACGACCCGGTGGGCAGCTTCATGCCCGCCCCTCTAGCACCCAGGGGCCAGGGCCCTGCTCCCTGGAGCCTGTGAGGCGCTGGCTGTGGGGAGGGAACCAGTGGCCGCTCCTGCAGCTTCCTGAGAAACTCAGGCCCCAAGACCAAGGAGACACAAGAAAACCACGTGCCTTGAAAGCCCTGCTCCAGCTCAGCCCCCAAGAACTGCCATGCCTTGCCAGACCCCGTCCCCTGTCCCCTGCAGCGGGGCCCCTTGGAGAGGCAGGTGGTGGGCTCCAGGACCAGAGGGTCAGGAAGAGGCCCCGTCAGTCTGTCTAGGGAACAGGATGTCAGGACAGATCCTGCTTCTGCTTCTCCCCCCCGTGGGACTCGGGCCGTGAGGCCACAGGCAGGTCCACACCACTGCCACCAGCTGCACTCTCCGGAAGCTTCCTCTGCAGCCCTTGGACAGTCCAACTGGGTCAAGATCGAACACCCGTACTGCCTACGTCCATTCTTGACCTCTCTGAGCCTTTAGCTTTGTCTCAAGAATCTGCAATGGACCCGCGTCAGCACCTCTCTGGACCTCACCAAGGTATCCTCACCAAGTTGAGGGGCGGGGAGGGCAGGGCCACCCAAAGCCATGGCCTCCAGGGACAGTCAGGCTCGGGAGTTAGGGGCTGGAGCCTGGGCTCTGACACTGTGATCTTGGAGAAGCCATTGAGGTCCGACTTGGACCTCAATGAAGAAGAAGCCATTGAGGTCCACTATAAATGGGGTGCTATGGTTTGGTACAGTTTGGGTGTCCCCAACGCTTCAGGTGTTGCCATGTATGCCCACTGTGAGGCACAGAGAGGGCGGAGACCGTCCCACCATGGAGTGCAGAGCCATGGCCATCAGGAGGTGATGAGATAGGAGAAGGGCATGGACTCATGTGAGCTTTATAGGAAGAAGGCAAGAGACCAGCAAAGCGTGTATGTCCTTCCGGTCCCCGGCCACGTGATGCCCTGCACCACCTTGGGCCAGCCAGTAGGAAGGCCGTCGCCAGAGGAGGCCCGTCAGCCTAGCACGCCCCACTCGACTCAGGAAAGAACTCCTAAAGTTGACTGTCGAAGACATCCCATTACAGTAATTAGAACAGACTCGTTCACGAAAGTCACAGTCACACTGCACACAGCCCGACTTGGAGCAAGCGCAGACAGCTGCAGCCTGCGTCCTCATCGTCATCATCCTGTACTTACAGCTCGGGGAGGCAAGCACCTTTGCCAAGTTTTTACTCCTCCTTAGAACGTGTGTGTGTGTGTGTGTGTGTGTGTGCATGCGTATTTCCTGGGAATGGAGGGAAGAGCCCAGCCGCTGGCCATATCCCAAATCTTCCCATCCAGGGCTCCCTGTCTAGACCGAAGCCTTCGGAGACAGCTCTCCTCCCTCCCTGCCTCCCCCAGTATCCTGAGCATCATCCACCACTCAGTTATCCCAGGGCTGCGGGACCCCAGCGCTTCACCCAACCCAAGCGAACACGCCAGCCAGGTCGGTGGGTGGTTTATTTTATTTTTTCACAAGCTTTGAATTCAGAAATAAGAGCCACGATTAGTCAGTTATTAAGTAAAAATGGGGGTGATTGATTACAAAGGAAAACTGTACAAAACTTTAAAAATCTGACTGCCCCGTCGACCTCCTGGAGGGACCAGGTCGCAGGCAACCCGGGGGCAGCCTTCAGCACACCGTCACTGGCCCCGTGGGGACGCAGACCCCTGTGAACCTGGCTGGGTCTCAAACCCAGAGCTGGCTGAAGAACACACGGACTGGAAGGGCATCGTGGTGAGTCACAAGCGCCACAGAGACCGGCTGACGCAGGACGGGGAGGGTGTTTCTTGTGACCAAGGGGAAGGCTTCCCTGCCGTTCTGAGAGCCACAAACCTCGACGGGGTGGGCTGGGGTGGACGGGCTTCTCTCTGGTGGGCTCGGGCGGGGGCAGTGAGGACACAGCTTCATCTTAGGAGTCCGGGAACTGCCCCGAGGGCTGCGGTCCACATCAGTCCCTGGCGGTGTTCCCGCGGACACTCTCACGGGCTCGGGTGCAGAACGCAGCAACATGCACAGACTATCCTAGAACTGCTACAAGGGCGCAAAGGAACCACCGCTCAGGGCATCGCAGAGCCGTCGGAAGTGGAGGGGACAGGACAAGAGGATGCCACACCTGTGGTTCACTAGGGAGGGGATGAAAACACCATGCTGAGGTGACTCGGAGGGACGCGCAAACACACCACACTAGTACCACTTCTTCCTAAATAAAAAAGGGAAGAACATCATTCGGTTTCCCCCGTATCAGCACCAACTAAAACCGTGGGCTCCAGAAACATGGACAGGGAGAGGATGGGCACGATTCCAGAATCCTTCACTCGCTGTCCGCTCGTCCACGTCAGCCCAGGCTGGTGATGTTGGAGCGGCCGCCAGGGGGCGCCACGATGCGATGGCCGGTACGCCTGGGGTTGTTGTCATCTATCTGGGCACCTACAAGAGACAGAGCCATCACTTCTGGACGAGATCTGCTAACCTCAGCTCAACTTGCTGATTCTGAAGGCTGAGTGTTCTGCACTGTCCCCGCCTGGTGCACACTGTGTTCTGTCTTAAAATGTCCAGGTCACCTCTGGGCAGCCTCCCGGGCAACCAGAGCAGACCACTCTCTCCTCTCCCCTCTCAGTCCCTGGGTCACCCTCCTACAGCCCTGTCCACCTTGTGCATTTTCTTTTCTGGCTTCCCCAGGAAAATTTGACATTCTTGAAACAGGTGAGCACCCACTTTTTGAGTGCCTACTGCGTGCAGGCACAGGCTCAGTGCTTTAGCAAATATTACTGTGTTTGGAGCACATGACAATACAGTGAGGGTGTGTTTTGTCCCCCTGTAGAGGAGGAATCGAGGCTCAAGGTGCGCACCTTGAGGCATAGCTAGCGGCAGGGAAGCCAGGATTCAAGGCCTAGCTGGTCTGTCTCCAAAGTCCCCACTCCTCTGCATGGTATCCCCTGCTCCTAAAGTACTCCATGGATGGCGTGGGTGGGGGGTGGCTACATAAGCGTGCATGGGCGTGTGCAGGAGCACATTCATCATCCAGAGCTGGTTTGCCCCTTCATTTGTAATGGGCAAATCTGCACGTGGGAGCAGTATTTTGTTTTAAATCTTCAAAGCCAACTTCTAATATTACGCATTCTCTTTCAGTCAAACACAGATTTAAAACTCCAGCAGCAAGCCCCATTCCTGGCACTCAATAAATATTCACTGAAAGAGAACAGTGAGCAATGTGTAGGCTGAAATGTGGGTGCTGTGACGCAGGCCTGAGGTCCAGTTGGAGACTCAAGTTTTAATACAGATGATGCTTTGATCTTGGGTAATTTGAAATAAGTCATCCCCCTCACCCCTTGGCCTCATTTCCTTTTCTGAAAAACAAGATCATCAGTCCAGTTGAGGCCCCTCCTGTGACACTATATGGCCTCTCTATGTAAGCCCTAGGAGCCAGGCTTAGAGTACTGATTTTATTTTCTCCCATGGTTCCACTGGTGGACGCTTGTCTTCCTGGTAATTCACGAATCTGCTCAAGGGTCAGGAATCTGGAGTCAGTCAGCACGTAATACACCTTTCCTCCTCATGACCATCTGTGCCTCGCTGGTTACACGTCTGGGATCTGACAATACTCACTGGACAAAGGACACTGACAAACCATGCTACATCTGCATAACAAGATGCTCTGCCAAGATGAGAGGCCCTCTGTGAAGCGGCTCCTGGTGCTAAAACATCTAGGCACTTGTTTCCAAATGATGTCACTCATCAAGCTGCCGTGAGGCTGGCCAAGGGCAGTGCTGGGGCTTCAAAGAGGACCGAGAGCACAGCAGGGAAGGGAGGGTGTGGCGGGGCCCTTCCTACAGCCTTCTAATTTCTTTGCTATCCTTATCTAAAAGGAATTCCCTACGCCTGTAGTTGTCCAAGGTCTAATTTCCTCCCTTGAGAACAGAGGTCCAGTCTGCCAGGTCCTTGAGAGGTGTGTTGTCCTCAGTGGCTCTTCCCAGCATCAAAACAGTCCCTGCACTGTGGACTGAGCATCCAGTGAGACACTGGAGAGGCATCAGGGTCCACTCTGTACATCAGTGACTATCTGTAAACACTGGAACTCGTGTGTAGGCAGCTCTTCCGTAAGAGGCTCGTGGAGAGGGAGGTGGCCTTGGGGCCCCGACTGCGTCATCAAGGAGACCTACTCTGGGCAGGGAGGCTCTGCCCCCACAGTTTAAACTGATGATTCATCGTCTCCCTCCATCCTTCCACTGTTGCCAAGCTGGTCCCCTTTCCAGACGGGAGTCGCACACTATGCCTCGTGAGCCCCATTCAGCCCATTCGTCACCTTGGTTGTTTGTTTCCTCAGTACTGGGGAGGAACCCAGGGCTCTGCACATACTAGGCAAGCGCTCTACCATTAAGCTACGGCCCAACCCCTTTTTATGTTATGTGAGACAGGTCTCATGATTACAGGGATGTGCCACCACGCCCGGCCCACTGCCTGTGTTTATAGGGCTCATGAGCATTTTTACATCTTTAAAAAATGGTTGCAGTTTTAGTAGCTATTTAATACAACCACTGGAGTTTTGCCTGTGACTCACAAAGTTGGAAATATTTCCTATCTAGCCCTTTAACAGAAGTGTGCTAACTCCAGATCTGAATTATGGCTGTCCATGTATCACCACCCTGCTTCCTGGCACCCGCACAGCGGGCGCTGACACCTCCCAGTCTGTGGACAGTTCCCATCCATGGCTCCCAGCGTGCACGTGGGCGCCCTCATGTGGCCGGCTGATGAAACAGCAGGCACATGCCCCAGCGCCTTTGAAGCACTGAATTCTGGGATCTTGACATCAAATTTTCTGGGGCCTCAGTTTCTTCTCTAAATAGGAAAAAGATCATGTACCACACAGGCGATTGTGAGGATAAAATAAAACCACAGAAGATGGCACTGCTTCCTCACCGCGGCGGACTGCCCAGCTCAGCCCTGCACCCACATTTCACTCACCAGGCACAGTGCACAGACCCCAAGGGTGCTTGAGCACGGGGCCAGTTTTGGAGCAAATGTTCATAAACAAGGTCAGAAACAACCTGCTGCCCCCCAAGGACCTCCCTGCCCACGCTGCCTGCCCAGGACAGGGGAAGGGTGCCCCTGCCCCTGCGCTGCTCGCCTGAGGAGCAGGAAGGTCCCGGTGACCGGGGGGACCCGCGCGCCTACCTGACAAGCTGAAGTTGGACTGGTGGAGGTTCCTGATGGGCGGCGGCTGGTGTTTGGAAGGCGAGGATTTGGCAGAAGGAGCCGGAGTGGCATATTTGGGTGTAGCTGGCACCTCGTACACGGGACCGTCGTACATGCCCCTGGAGACCCCTTGCAGGGCAGAAACCTAGACAGAGGGAGCAGGTGACCCCCATGGTGAGCACATGCCCTCCTGTGCCCCCTGCTCAGACTGGGCTGTGCCCTGCCGCAGGACAGGAACCTGAGGTCCCAGGCCTCATGTACACGTGTGCACACACTCACCTGAGCCCCACTGGCCACACACACACCACACTAATGCACACACATAAGACACGCACCCGCATGCTCCTGGACACGGGTATGCTCCCGGGGATGCGAACAGGCACTTGCTGGCTCTGCCTCGCTGCTTCCCCAGGCCTCACATTCCCACCTGATGGCAGCATCTGTGCAATGTGGTGTCTCTGACCTGGCACGGCCCCTCGTGGGAGACGCAGGGGGCCAGCAGGTGGATGGGGAGCAGCCCTGGGTGCTGGGGTTCTGGGAGGAGGGGTCCGGACTGTTCTGTGGAGCAGCAGTGGCGAAGCCACTGGTGATGCCATTGATGAAGACCAGGGAGGGGGGAGCCCGCACACCCCCAGCACACTATGCACGATGCACGCACACACACACATGTTCATACGCACAGACACACACAACTGGCCCTCCTAGTGCACAGCCTTTGCTGGCTGCTGTGGGAAGCAGGTTGCCATGGTGATGGGATGTGTGGCGGGGAAACCACCACAGAGGGTCCACCTGGCTGTGAGTTTCCCCTCTGGGCCGCACAGAGGTGGGGACAGAGCCCACTCGGTGCCTGTGCCAGGACCTCCCAAAGTCAGGGCTGAGTCTTCAGGACGGAGGGAAAGGCAGACGCAAAACCTGACAGAAAGGGGCGGAGGAGCCAGACCCGGAGGACACGGGGCTATTTATGCCCAGCAGATGGCCTGGCCTGAGCGCTGCCCAACTGTGTGCCTGGTGAGTCCTGCACGGCTCTGGGCCTCAGGGTTCTGGTCCGAGAACTGAGGCTCCCGATACCTCCATCAGGGGCGAGAGTCCCCAGAGGACGCAGGTCGGAGCCCAGAGCAGCTCAGAAGTGTCCCTCCACAGCCCTCCCGTGCCCACAGTGCACACCTCTTTACAGTTTGCACGGCCTCATCTGGACCTCACTGCTGTCCTGAGACAAGAACCTGCCTGGATGGAGACAGGGGGGCACACGTCTGTGAGCTCGCTCAACTCCCCAAGAAAGTGTGTCGTTCTGACCCAATGCTGAGTCCCCCAGACCCGCTCACCTTGTTCCTGATCTTGACGCGCTGGTAGAGGTACTCGGGGAAGGGCTTCCGCGGGATGAAGCGGCCCACGCCCTTGTTGACGTTGATGTTTCCGTCTTCGAAGACGATCTTGCCCTGGCTGATGACCACCAGCGGCGAGCCGTGGCACTCCATGCCCTCGAAGATGTTGTACTCCACGGCCTGCGAGCCAAGAGCACAGCTGTACCCACCGTGGCTCCAAGGGTTTTCTCCACGGGAACCCGTCACGGAACAGCCAGGTTGCCTAACCTTAGGTCCCAAGCATTTCCTGGGGTCCTCCCACTCCCAAAATACCCCTGTCAGGGCTGGGCACTGTTCCACCCAGTCACACAGCATGTGTGACCCGCACCTTGTCCCGGGGCACTGAGCCTGCTGGTGGCCTTGTGTCATATTGTCCTGGGGCTTGGTGACTGAGACTGGTGTCCTGGGAGTTGGCCCCGGGCAGCTCCACCTATACTGGGTGTTCTGTGTCCTTTTTTAAATTACTTTTTTAGGATCGCTCTCTAAAATTTAATTTACTAGATCAAAGGACACAGGTTGCATATCACCAAACCATTTTCCAAAGGGGTCAGACCAAGTGACACCACCAGGCCATGGGGAGGAGGCAGCTCATGTCACCCCAGAGCGGGGTGACGTCGTGCTGTTGTTATTAGGTAGAAACGCCCCTTGCTCTCCCTCCTCCTGAAGGGAGCCTGGACCCTGCTGGCCACCGCCTCCAGCCGGCTGCTGTCCAGCGTTATTTTAAGTAGGTCATGTGTGTGGTTGAAAAAAAAGAATCAAATAGGGCAAAGGAAATTCATTGCAGCGTCTCTCTGGCGCTGCTCAGAGGCCAACACCTTGGGGAGCTTCTTGGTCCCCAGGCGCCTCTATTCATGAACCCCTGCCTCACGCAGGTGCTCCACCATTTTTCAGGTGCGCCTTGATTTTTCTCCTGAGCCCAGAGACCGTCCCACATGCGCACACACATGATCTGAAGCGCTCCTCCTGTGCTGTGAACCGCCACACCGCGTCCCATGGACACACCCAGGTTCCACGGAGGGACAGCGACATTTCTGTTTCTGCTAAAGCAACAGTGAAGTACACTCGCTGTAGGTGCCCCACCCACGGCGTGCCTGTCTCCAGATGTGGAGCCCGGGGTCAAGGAACGTGGGTCTGCGCCCCTGGTGGATCTGCCTTCCAAGAACAGCAGCACTGGGTCCCTTCCCCACCAGCACCCGGCCAGCACCCAGCCAGCTCACCGGTTCCCAGTTCAACCACTTTGGTATCCTGGGTCAGGGTCCCTTGACATCCTAGTGCTGTAGGCAGGTGAGATCAGGCCTTTCTAAAGATCAGACACCATTTCTACATCCCTCACGGGGCCACTTCTAACAGTCTTTTAACACTGCTCTGATGACCAGGTCTTGGTATTTTTCCTCATTTCTAAGTACACATTAGATGGTAAAGAGTCTCTCCTGCATTATGTGTGGGGCACTAGCTACTGTCTTTTTTTTTTGGGGGGGGGAGTGGGGTACCGGGGATTGAACTCAGGGACACTAGACCACCGAGCCACATTCCCAGCCCTATTTTGTACTTTATTTAGAAACAGGGTCTGAGTTGCTTAGTGCCTCACCTTGCTGAGGCTGGCTTTGAACTCGCGATCCTCCTGTCTCAGCCTCCTGAGCCTCTGGGATTACAGGTGTGTGCCACAGGCCTGTCTTGCCCACTATCTTTGGTTCTCATATAAAGCAAATTTTTTTGGCCATATAGAAGGTTATTGATTTGGGGCCATATAGAAGGTTCATTTTTATGTTGTCAGTGGTCAAAAAGACCAATGTATTCCTTTATAATTTCTAAGTCTCATGTCTGATTTCTTCTTCAGAATTATCGTTTTTAAAAGGGATGCTTTCTTTTTGTTCCTTTCAGTTTTACTTCAATCTTTGATGACTTTGGAGGTTTTTTTGGTTTTATTTTATTTTTTGTGTGTGATAATGAGTGGGGCAGAGGTCAAACCTTCTGAGCTGCTACTCTAACAGAATTGGCTGATAACTATTTTCTCCTAACTAATTTTAAGTGCCTCCTTCATTGGAAACCAATTTCTCATCTGTGGTCGGTCTACTTCTTGGCTCTCTCTCCTTTCACACAATTCCATGCTGTTGGGATCACTGTGGCTTTGTAATATGTTTTTATATCTGAGATGACTGACAGCCCTACATCAACATTCCCTTTGTCCAGAAATACTTTGATTATTCTAACGTCTACCATCAAGAAAAAATAACCCGTTGAGATTTCTGATGGGATTACTTTAATTTACAGCCTACATTAGAAAGAACTGCCAAGCCCACTATATTGAAGCTTCTTAGTGTACAAGTCCTTGCATTTACGCAAGTCTTATAACAGTTTTTTTTAATAACGGACCACCTGATGGTAAACATTTTTTTAATATTCATTTTTTGGGTTTAGGTGGACACAGTATCTTTATTTTTCTGTGGTGCTGAGGATGGAACCCAGTGCCTCATGCATGCTACAAGTGCTCCACCACTGAGCCCCAGCCCCAGCCCCTAAAGCCGTTTTTCTAAGAGCAATTTTACTTCTATCAGAAGCAGGAATTTCATTTCCATTCTATTTTCCAAGATGGTTTTCAATTATTTCTAAGGAAAGCTATCGATTCTTCATATTGACTTATCATCAGCTGACAGACTCTCCCATAGATCTGAGGACTGTGGGGGCTCACAGGGGGTTCCAGGCCACAGTGGCCCCTCCACAGGGCTGGGAACGCGCGAGGCATTCTGGGATGACTGCTGCCCCCAGAGACAGGCACCCCTGGCTTTGCATTCAGGCTGCTCCTCCAACTCTTCCCGGCTCCCACAGCGCCCCTGCTGGGCAGCAGTTCATAACCGCAGAAGCACAAACAAGGACACTGCCGTCACACAAGAAGCTGGCCACTCTCCCACCGGCTGACAGTGGCCACCTACACCTGCATCCAGAGGGGTCCGCTGCTCCCACTCAGTCCAAGGAAATGACCCACCATGGCGGTGTTCAGGCAGGGATTCTATACTTTAGGACTGCACAGAATTCCGCCTGCTGTCACTTCCTAGCTTAAGGTAGTCTGTGAACAAGTTTAAGAATTCGCATAGTACTAAGGACCATGACAAAAGGTTTGCCTGCCCATCCGAGAGCCCCAGTTCCCCAGAGCCCTCCTATGGGTGCTGTTGTGAGGGGTCTTCTACTTCCCTTCACAAGCACCGTCTGCTGATGGACACTTGGATAGAATGTGGAGCGGCCGGGAGCCAAGAGGATTCACCTTAAATTCGCCTTGGCTTACATGAGCCCCTAAACATGCCAAGCAAGAGCAGCCGGTCCCAACGGGTCACATGGGCACGATTTCATTTATGAAGTGTCCAGAATAAGAAAATCCACACAGAAAAAGTAGGTTAGTGGTCGCCGGGGGCTGGGAGAAGGCAGAACGGGGAGCCACCATTAATGGCCACAGGGTTTCTTTGGGAGCAAAGAAAACATTCTGGAATTAATTATGACTGCAGAACCTTCTGCAAACAGTAAACCCACTGCACCGGATGCTGTATCTCCAGTGTCAAGGTCTTGAGACCCACACTCTATGGGCACCCAGACGTGCATGTGACCCTGTGACGTGCACTTGGAAGCAACCACATTTTGTACCAAGGTGTAAATAATAGAAGTTATAGTATTTTTACAGGAAAGATTTTAAAAAGTTAATCACTGTGGTGTGTAAAAAGTGGTCTCTTTTTAGTTGGTAAGAGTAACATGTTTTTTAAAACCTGAAAGTAAAGCTAGGCTCTAGCTCGGCTCTTCTCAGCCCACGTTCTGAGCAGCACGCCCTTACTGCAGTGCCTGAGTGTCCTTGCCTCAGAGAAGGGGACATACAAAACCCTAGGCCAAACTGCCCTGGAATCCCAAACTGTCCTGCTGTGAGGGAACTCAGGACGGGCCTGGCACGGGGAGGAGACGGGTTCCGGAGTTTACCTGCTCTGGACCACACTTCCCAGGTGAGGAGTCCCAGGCATGGGACTTACTGCTGCGGGTTGGACAGGGAGGTAACCTCATTGGAAACGGGGTCGCTGGGGACGTGACTGGTTGAGAGGTCACCCTGGAGCAGGGTGGGCCCTGAATCCAATGGCTGGTGCCCATGTAAGGAGAAGCCTTGTGGGGACAGAGGCTGAAGGTGGAGTAAGGACACACCCCCATGCCCAGGAACATGGAGGACAGCTAGGGACACCAGACGCTCAGGGCAGGGAAGGGTCCTCCCCAGGGCCTTGGAGGAGCATAGCCCTGCCAACAGCTTGATGCTGCACCTCTGGTCTCCAGAACAGAGAGAAGACATTTCTGTCGAGTAAGCCACCCCGTTGTGGCACTTACTAGGACAGCCACAGGAAGCCAACGCACTTCCCCTGGCTGTCCCTCTTCTTACTTATGAGTGACACACACCTCACCTAGAAGGCGGCTGTGAGGACAATGAGACGATGCATGGAAAGCACAGGGCACAGACTAACGGCAAAGTCACACTGGCTGGGTCACGACCACCCTGGCACCCGGCCACTGACTGGCATGACCTCACGAGAACCCAAGGCCTTCCTGAGCCGCCGGGTGTGCTCCCGACAGTCCTCACCACGACCTTGGGGAGGCGACATCCTCTCAGGATTAGGATCACCCTGGGCAAGAAGTGGCAGCTCCAACAGTCAGGAGGAGGTAGGGGTGGAGGGTGCACGCTCTCGCCTGTGAGACCTTCTGGAACATTCTCCCACGGCCACTACAGTGTGCACAGCCTAATAAATGAAGGTACATCTGCATGCCCTGCAGGGCCGTGGGTGTACAGAGCAGCGCGCACTTCTCCCAGCAAGACGACCTCAGCCTTATTTCCTCCTGGCTCTGATCCGGGGAGCTGGAGGGGGAGCCTAGGCGTGTACCAGGGGGCACTGCTTATCTTGAGAATGACCCTGCGTTGGTGAGCTGGACAAGACCACGATCAGCTACCCAAACCTCTGCTTTACACGCGATGCCTCTAGCAGCTGAGCAGGGACCACGCCACGAGCTGCTGCAAGTGGTTCCTGTGGCCTCCTTAGGAGACTTGCCCCCATGCACCTGGCCTCATCCCTCGCCAGGGAGTCACCCAGGGGCAGGGAGGATCCCACAGCAGACCAACACTGTGCCCAGCTCTGCTTCGGGCTTGTGCCTCTAACAGACTGCAGTGTGCCTCTGAGTGTGCCTTTGGACTGGAGCCCACAGAGGGTGACTCAGACTGGGTGCTGGAGGCAGCACCCTACTCCACCTGAGTGGGTGCGCTGGGTGAGCAGAGAAATCCAGAGCATGTAAGATGCAAAACAGAGACAACCCAAACCACAGGCTTGGGATGCACACAGAACACGGTATGCACCCTGAGGCTGTGCTCAGACACGGTGCCCTTGGGCCAGCCCTTCCTGCTGCCGAAGCAGCAGGCCACAAGGCTAAGTGGGAGGTTCTCAGGCACCCGGTCAGCTCCTTCCCAGTTTGACAGTGTGTTAGGGTCTATAAACAAGTCAGGATGGCGCCTGGCATTTTGCCAGAGGGAGTGGTTTGTGAAGTAACACCAGCGAGCCATTAAGTGTGGAGATTCCTTATTGGTTGACTGCTGTATCTAGTTTATGTTAATTAGATAAGCTGTGTGGAATGTATATATACCCCTCCTGTCCTACAATAAACGGCTCCCACTCCTGCTGTATCAATGTACACAAGTTCCTCGTCACCCCCCCAGCTATTTTGCCCAGCCAGCCGGGCTGCGGCAACAGTGGAGTTGGAGAGAGGGTCGTGGGCCTAGTAGTTCCCCTCTCTGATCCCAGTGGCGCACCACATGGAATTAGGAGCAGCAGCGTCAGAGGGCTGAGAACGCACCTGTGGGAAGGGGCTGGGGGTAGGACGTCCCCGAGATCTCAGGAGCAGCCTGCTCAAAGCCCTCCCTCAATCTCTCCAATTGGAGGGGAAATTTGAGTGACAGAGTCCTGCTAGAGGACAGAGTTGAGAAGTTCCCAATTCATTTTTAACCAGATGCATGTAGAATGATCTTGGGGACGAACTCCTCAGGCAGCCAGAGGCGTGGGGGGGCCAGGACTTACCGACTTGTGACTCTTGGCTGTTATGGTCTTCACCTTGTCAGGGTCCCAGATGACCACGTCAGCGTCGGAGCCCACGGCAATCCGCCCTTTCCTCGGGTACAAGTTGAAGATCTTGGCTGCATTAGTGCTGGTCACGGCCACAAACTGGTTCTCGTCCATTTTGCCTGTAGCCTAAAGGAAGAGCCCCCCGATGAGCAGACAAGCCTGATGGGCAGGCAGGAGGGCAGATCTGAACCCGCGACAGGGTCCGCACGGGTTGGCCAAGCTCTCCTCCCCCACTGAGAACACGCGCCCTCCGAGAGGGCAGGCCTGGCCTCAGAGCAAACTGAGTGATGCTGCCGAGAGCCTTGTGCCAGCTGTCAGTGTCACTGGGCCCCAGGTTCAGTGAAAAGAAGACCTGAGTTCAGGTCACAGCTCACAGTGACCCGGTTCCTTCTGCAATAAGAACTCTCGACACCCACTTGGCACCCCAGCTTCCAGCCCCACGTGCACATGCAGAACCTGCAGAGCCACCTCTACGGAGCTACAGTGTGGCTCACAACCAAACAAACCTTCCTCATCGTTAGTGTGCCCAGGACCACAGGGACACGGGGAACGCAGAGGATCTGGAGGACTTGTGCTGCTGCTTCTCATGAGCAGGTGTCCCTGTGCCCCCTGCACGTCTGCCCCGGTCTCCAGTAAGGAGGGTGAAGAGTCTGGAGTGCACAGTGCCCTGGGCCTTGCTGGGCCAGGCAGGGGGCTTCTAGAATGTTCCTGGGGAAAGGTGGGGGCACCTTACCACTGCCTTGTCCCAGACAACTGTCATCCGCTCCTCGATGCCGTTGACGCCCTCGGGGATCAGGGTGAAGTTGTCCTTGCCCACCGCTTTCTGGGCAGTGCTGTAGGGACAGTGGCCGCTGCCTGTGACCTGCAGGTCTCCACTGGAAGGACACAAGAGGGTGGGGTTCAGACCTGGGTTCACTCCCAAGGGCCAACCCCAACTTCAGTCACCAACGGAAGCCCCGGGAGGGACCTAAAGCTCAGGAGGCTTTAGGAGGAGACCTCTGAAGGACGCGCCAGACGTGGTGAGCTTTACCTCTGTATAAAGAAAGTCCTGGGCGACTGATAAGAGGTGCAGAGACACACAGGCGGGCGGTGAGCCCAGAGCCCGCGCCCGAAAGCCTGTGTGTCAGGAGCCCCATTCACAGCCCTGGCCTCGCGTCTCTGCCCCACAGGACATTCACCCCTGCCAGGGACTGACTGCCCACCTGAGCCACTGGCCACAACAGAGGCTCGGGCCCCACAGCCTGTCGGGAACCGCACTGTCCCCAAGGAGCACCACGACCAGGCCTGTCCACGCCAGTCTGACCCAGTCTGCACCTCCCACCCAGCCACCCTGTCCCCAAAGGCCCCTGGCTGCGCCCCGGGCTCTCACCAGGCCAGCAGGGAGGTCAGGTAGTCAGGCGTGGTGGGGTCTGGGCTCAGGGGCGGGGAGGTGACAAACGCCGCTGCTTTGGCCCAGTTCTTGCTCCAGTAGTGGGTGCCGTCGGTCCCCAGGCTGGCAGCAATGGGCTCCCCGAAAACCAGGGGACCTTGGGAGGGACGAACACAGCGAGCATGGTTACCAGAGCAGTGCCCACAGGAGGGGCAGGTGCAGGGGGACCCTGTCAGGGCCACCCCTGCCAGGCGCCACCTCGCACCTGCCAAGAGCTCTCCAGAGACTCAGTGGCCGAGCCGCCCAGAACACGCTCGGGGGCCGTCACCGACTTTGGCATCTGAACACTGTTATCTCCTTTCACAGAGGGACAGAGGCACTGAGGTCCTGGGGCCACGGGACCAGGGGTTTCGCCCTCCCCTCTTCCTCCTATCTGTCCCTCTGAGCTTGGTCCCCAGTGTCACAGTGTTGACATGGTGGGACCTCTGAGAAGTGTGTGGGGCCGTGAGGGACCCGCCCGTGTGCACGGAGTAATGTCTTTCTGCAGAGCCTGGGCTGGTTCTCTGGAGGCCAGAAAGGGTCTCATGGGTGGACTGGATACCACGAGATTGGGGCTGGCTTCCTCAGCTCACTCTCTGGCTTCCCGTCTCATGTGAGCCCTCACAAGTGTTCCTGTCCAGAGGGGCCTTCATCAGAAGCCAACAAGATGGGCCACCCAATTTGGGGGTTTAAATCTCCAGAACTGACTGGGAGCTAAATAAACTTCTTTTCTTTATAAAATACCTAACCTCAGATACTCTGTTACAGCAACATCATAAAAAGACTAAGACACGGTCCTTCCTCATCCTTGATCTGCCGCTGCTTGGGCACCACTGACCTCAGAGGCCTGGGAGCCACACTTGGACTCCTCTGAGTCTCTGCCAAGAATCCCCAAGCCCATGATGGCCTGTGGAGCAGCCTCCAGCTGTGTGAGCTCCGGCCTTCACCCCATCACCCTCTGTTCAGCCGGCAGGAAGGGAACGAGGACCAGGAGCTGGCCAGGACATGGCCTGACACCTACTCAGCACTTGACATGCCCAGGCTGCTGCCAAGGCTTCACTCAATGGCTTGAAGGGCCCCTCTGAGAGGAGGAGACAGAGGGTCAAAGAGGTGAAGGACATCCACTCTTGGAGCTGGGCAGCTGACGTCCTAAACCAACGTTGTTCATATGCTGGGCATGCTGTTCTCAGGCCCCGGCCCTGGGAAACCACCTTCCTCCTTCCCCAGCCACAGCTGACCCTCTTCCTATCCCCGTGGACCCCGGGGGTAGGAGCCAACCATGAGGCCCAGCAGGGGGACTGGGAGGCCCAGCCAGGGTGACGTGCTCAGGAAGTGGACCAGAAGGAGGTCAGGCAGGAGGCAGGGCCTCTACTACCAGCCTCGGGAGGACAGCTGCCAACGCTCCACCCACGGCCTCTTGCCCTGACAGCCAGGACCATGCCCAGCCCCAAATGAAGAAGCCGAGGCTCAGGACATGCCAGGGACTTGCCCGAGGTCACCCAGGTGGCACCTGGCACACCCAGAATCACACCTAAAACTGACTGCATGCACGGGGTTCTGCCTGCCCCTCCCCGTGTCCCCTCCACTCCTGAATGGGCTGGAGGCCCCGGCTCCCGGCTCCCGGCTCCCGTCTGGTCCTGGATGTAACTGGGCCTGTGGGACACGCAGGGCCCCTCAGGAGGCCCGGCCACCGCATACCCTTCTTCCTGGCCAGGGTGATGATGTCCGCCGCGCTCTTGCTCATGACCTTGGTGATATACACAGGGCAGTTGATCCGGCCGGCAATGGTGATGGCCCGGAATACAGCCTCAGCCTCCAGCTGGGGACAGCAGACACAGGGTCACGAGAGGGAGGCGGGGGAGCCTGCCCCACCCCAAACTCCCAGGGCTCTGTGAACCCGTGTCCTCTGACTTTCCTCAGGCAACTGTGGCAGAAGGGAAATGTACCAAGTCAAGGGGTCAAGTAGAGCAGCTGTTCTTAAAAGAAGGCAGAGCGAGTTTGGGTGGAGGGTCGGAGGCCGACTTGAGCTCCTGTGTGTCTGGGAGAGTTCTGCACCCGCTAGGGCGAGAGGCGGCAGACAGAATCAGGAAGCCCAGGAGGTGGTCTGTGGTATGCGAAGGCTGTGCCAAGAACATGCCCATGTCCACCCACCCCCTGCCCACCCTGCCCACCGGCTCACTCCCTCACCAAGTAAACCCAGGAGCACCCGAGGTCTCTTCGGTCTCCACACCCTCCAGCCCGGCCAACGCGAGTGGAGTCAGCCAACCCGAGGACTGGTTGGTTGGTTTTTGTGGTACTTGGGACCAAACTCAAGGCGCTCAGCCACTGAGCTACACCCTCAGCCCTTTTTATTATTAAATTTCTCGAGAAGTCTTGCCAAGTTGCTGAGGCTGGCCTCAAATTTGTGATCCTTCTGTCTCAGCCTCCCAAGGGAACATCACACGCATGCGCCCTGTGCCCAGCTGTACTTCTTTTTCTTTTTAGGGTGGTGTGGCTCCAGGTGGGCCCTGCTGGAGTCTGACACCTGATGGGGCCCCACCTACTCTCAGGGGCAAAGCCATTGGTCACAAACCCTGATGTGGCAAGCACATTCAGGTGCAATAAAAGCTTATGAACCTTGTTTCTAGTCCTGTCCTGATGTCCCCATGGGCCAGGAACACACAGCTCATGGCCTGCTCACTACTCCTGTGTGTCTCCAGTGTGGAGAAGGGCCAGGGCTGGGGGAGGTTCAGGACACTCGTTCGTGACTTCCTAAGGGCAGAGAAACACACTCAACCCGTGTCCCAGGCACATGTACCATCTGGGCCTCCCTCCACACACAGCCACCCAGGGGACCCACCCATTTCCACCTTGGGAACGCAGTGGGCAGGGTGGCTGTCTCCTGGGGCCAGGCTTGGGGCCCGTGGCTCCCCCTCCCTGACACCCAGGGCACAGTCCTTGGCAGACTCTTATCCAGTTTGGACACTGAAGTGTGTGCAGGGCCCGTGTGGAACTCCTGGACCCGGGAGAGGCAGGGCCTCTTCCTGGCCCTTGCTGACTGGCCTGCGGCCTTCCCAGGAGGGAAGGGAACAGGAGGAGCTGGACGCAGGCTGGGTGCAGCAGGAAGGCCATCAGGATGATGGCAACGCCGGGGACACGCCAAGTCCTTACCTCTTCAGGTCTGCTCAGAGCGTGGCCCTCGGGGCCCGTGATGCCCATCTCTAAGATTCGCTTTTGTTCCTACAACAGAAACAAATGAGTCAGCGATAGTGGATGGTCAGAGCTGGACTAAGTTGCTCCTCTAACCTCCTGCTAGAGGGACAGGGCAGCTGAGGCCCAGCAGGCGTCCCTGAGGCCTAAGAGCAGGTGGGGTGAGCCACGGCCCTCCCACTTCATCCATCCTTTCACTTTAATCATCCTTTCACTTCAATAAGCCCCCACCCAGCACACCTGGCTCCGCCCCACAAGCCTGGCTCCACCCCCTACCTGGCTCCACCCCCACACCTGGCTCCGCCCCACAAGCCTGGCTCCACCCCCACACCTGGCTCCACCCCACAAGCCTGGCTCCACCCCACAAGCCTGGCTCCGCCCCACAAGCCTGCCTCCTCATCTGCTTTAATCTCCCAGGATGTTTGAAGGAAGCAGGGTGCTGTGGTGGGAGTATGGTTTGTACCACCAACACTCGCATGGAGACTTGGTCCCCAGTGTGATGGCGTGGAGAGGTGCTGAGGTGATTAGGTCCCCAAGAGACAGGAATGCTTTTCTTGTGGGAGTGGCTGCCGCTCTCAGGAATGGCTTCATCCTTGCAAGGACGAATGTTATCAAGTGAGCCTCCCCAGGCTGTCCTGCACGCGAGCTGCCAAAGACCGGTCCCCATTCCAGTTTGCCACCCTGCACAGAGGGGCACGTGGCCCGCAGCAGAAGCTGAGTAGTTGCTGGCACCATGTTCTGACCTCCCAAAATAAACTTCTCCTCTTTATACCCAGCCTCCAATATTTCATTACCACAACAGAAAATGGCCGAAGAGAAAACCAGTACCAAGAAGCGGGGTCACTGCTATAACGATGCTGGCAAATGTGGAAATAGCTTTGGAATCAGGTAATGGTCAGAGAGTGGAAGAGTTCTGAGGAGCCAAGACAAAGACACTGTATACACTGTGTTTAGGTGACTGTGGGGACTGGGAGCAGGGGAAGGCGGGGAAGGTGGAGCCCTAGGGGACATGCTGAGGTCGTGCCTAGACCACCGTCCGTGGGCACTGGACGGTAACAGCCACTCCAGTGAAGCCTCACATGGAAATGAGATGGCCTTGGCCACCCCTGCTATGAGGGAGCAAATGTCTAATGGTGTCTGTGCCCCAGGACTCTACCCAACATGGAACCCAAGGCACAAACGAGAATTTCTGGCTGAAGAATTTTCTAAGCCAAATTAAAAGGAGCTGTGAGGTTCCTTAATCTCAATCACTAGGCTGAGATCAGGAAGAAGAAAAAGAAGCTCTTTAAAGACTGAATTTATCACTGTAAAGGGAAGAGAGCATAAAAATTTGGAAAAATCACAGATCATGTGACGAACAAAAAGCAGGTTGGAGATGGCAAGTGTGGCCCAGCTCCGAGACTGGCACCAGGAGAGGAGGGAGGTGCCCAGCCAGACCTCGGGAGGGCCCAGAGGGATCTCAGAGCTCTCCTAGGATTCCCCTCAGCACAGGCTCGAACGCTAGGCCCTTAATGGCAGCAGGGGTGAGCCGTCCAGGGCAGCACTGGGCCAGCCAGGGCTCAATAGGCCAGTGTGCTCAGGCCACCGCTCCAGAGGGTGCAGGTGGCAAGCCCTGGGGTCTGGTGGTGCTGACTCTGCAGACGTGCAGAGTGCAGGCTCTGCAGGGTCACAGTGCTCCTGGGGACGTCAAAGACGAACCACTGCAGGGCCCGGAGGGAACCAGCCTCGAGGACTGAGTGCCACAGAGGCTCCCCACAAGGCAATGCTCAGTGAGCCTTGGGAGGGGGCCTTCACCTCTGGATCCTGGCACGGAAGTGCCAGTGGGGACCTGTAACATGCCTGGGAAAGGCACAGGCACCTGGCCAACCCCAGGGAGCAGCCACAGGGCAGAAGGGACTGGTGTGCCTAGGAGAGGCGCATGGAGTGGAAGACCATCTTCCAGTTTAAGATTCATTATCTTCCCTGCTGTTTTGGATTTGCTCTGAGCCAATGACTCCTTTCTTAAAAAAAAAAAAAATATATATATACACACACACACACACACATACATATATATAATATTACGTATATATTTTATATATAATTATATATGTGTATTACATATATAAATTTTAGTTGTAGTTGGACACAATACCTTAATTTTTTACTTATTTATTTTTAGGTGGTGCTGAGGCTCGAACCCAAGACCCCCAAGTGCTAGGCAAGTGCTCTGCCGCTAAGCCCCAGCTCAGCCCCCGTTACTCCTTTCTTTTGGAGCACTTCCACCTTGGGGGCAGCAATGCTGACCCCGCTGTGCCACCTGTGTCACCACTGGATCTTGGAAGTGGAGGACTGGGTGTTGATTTTGCAGGCTCACAGCTGGAAGGCGCCTTGAGCCTCAGATGACCGGGTTTTAGACTTTGGAGTTGATGTTGACAAGTTAGGGCTCTGGGCTAGGGCACAGGGTGTGTTTCGTAGGTGAGGGGGACACAGGCCGGGGCAGGGCCAGAGTGCTATGGCTGGAACATGGTCTGTCCCTCCACAATTGGAGCTGAGGATTGGGCCCCAGTGTCATGGTGTTGAGAGGTGCCAGTGTGACCCGGTCACTCAGGGATCAACACTCTCAGGGGTGGGCTCCCATCTCTTCTCAGGGAGCCGGAGTGGTTATTGGGAGAGCGGCCTTTTATACAACAAGCTGGCACCTCCCCTCGGACTCTCTTGCATCTGCTGCCCTCTTCCAGTTTTCCGCCACACACAGAGAGTACACGGCTGTCCTCAGAGGCAAGCAGATGCTGGCATCATGCTCTTGGAACTTCAGAACAGAGAGCCAAATAAATCTCTTTTCTTTAAAAATTACCCAGACATGGGTATTCTGTCACAGCAACAGAAAATCAATTGAGACACAGGGTTATAAGAAATGAGCTTCAGAGACCACTGTCCATCCTTCCAATCTGAGTCTCCCTGAAGGCTGTCCTTTGGAAAGAAATATGGGATTCTGGTATTACATGGATGCTAAAATCAGTAAGTTCTGAAGGGGAGCCCAGCTCCAAAGCTGGCCATCCCTAGGACTGTGGGCAAGTTGGCCACGCTCTCTGAGCCTCAGTTTCCTGCACACTGGAGTTGACAGTGTTTGCATCACAACTGTGAAGGTGAGGGGGGAGATGGCCTCACCAAGCACCTGGAGTGACACCACTGCACAGGAGAGCTGAGCAGCAGCAGCCCCTAGTTTCCATCTAGGCCCCTCTCCCTGGCATCTGTCTCTCTGGCAGGAAAACCCCACCTTGAACTTCTCCTATGACCTTGAAATGCCTCCCCAAGCCGGTGGCCCAGATTCAACCTATTGCTCCAGGTTTCCTTGCCCCGGGAACACTTTAATGACTCTAGAAGACAAAACTCTTCTTCTCTTTTTTCTCCCTCAACGTTGCCAAGATGCCCAGGTGCGGCTGCCTAGTTCCACTTGCAGTCTCTGGGTCATCACTCCTGGACACACCGCTGCCACGACTCTGGGCCCACTGACCACGAAGAAATCACAGTCTCGACTGTGCCTCTACGGTTATTGAGCTCCAGTTGATTATAAGAACATAAATTTAAAACAATTTCAAGGTCTGATGCTGGGGTGGATTGAGGCAAACTGTGGAATAATTGCAGCTACTGAAGATGATGTTTATGAAGCATTTTTGGAAACTGTTTACAAAACAATCTTATGATACAGAGAAATCCCTACACTAAATAGTTTAAATGTCAGTTACTATTTCTGTTCAAAGGAGAAAAGACCAGGAGGGGAGGGGAGGAGGAGGGGAGGGGAGGAGGAGGGGAGGGGAGGAAGTGGGGAGGGGAGGAGGAGGGGAGGGGAGGAGGGGGAGAGGGGAGGAGGTGGGGAGGGGAGGAGGTGGAGAGGGGAGGAGGTGGGGAGGGGAGGAAGGAGCCAGGGAGAAACAATGGGAAGAGGAGGGGGTCTAATCGTAAAGGGCTGAACATAGGTGTTATTTTCAGTTCTCTTCTGACCCTACTCAAGTAACAAAAGATATACAAAAATCACGCATTAAAAAACGCAGAGAAAACTGAAGGCATTCCCTCTAAAATCTGGAACAAGACAGGGATGCTCTCTCTCACCACTTCTGTTCAACATAGTTCTCAAAACACTGGCCAGAGCAATTAGACAGACGAAAGAAATTAAAGGCATAAAAATAGGAAAAGAAGAAATTAAATTATCACTATTTGCAGGTGACATGATTCTATACCTAGCAGACCCAAAAGGGTCTACAAAGAAACTATTAGAGCTACTAAATGAATTCAGCAAAGTGGCAGGGTATAAAATCAACACGCATAAATCAAAGGCATTCCTGTATATCAGCGACAAATCCTCTGAAATGGAAATGAGGACAACCACTCCATTCACAATATCTTCAAAAAAAATAAAATACTTGGGAATCAACCTAACAAAAGAGGTGAAAGACTTATACAATGAAAACTACAGAACCCTAAAGAGAGAAATAGAAGAAGATCTTAGAAGATGGAAAAATATACCCTGTTCATGGATAGGCAGAACTAACATCATCAAAATGGCGATATTACCAAAAGTTCTCTACAGGTTTAATGCAATGCCAATCAAAATCCCAACGGCATTTCTTGTAGAAATACAGAAAGCAATCATGAAATTCATATGGAAAAATAAAAGACCCAGAATAGCAAAAACAATGCTAAGCAGGAAGTGTGAATCAGGCGGTATAGCGATACCAGACTTCAAACTATACTACAGAGCAATAGTAACAAAAACAGCATGGTACTGGTACCAAAACAGGCGGGTGGACCAATGGTACAGAATAGAGGACACAGAAACCAATCCACAAAACTACAACTATCTTATATTGATAAAGGGGCTAAAAGCATGCAATGGAGGAAGGACAGCATCTTCAACAAATGGTGCTGGGAAAACTGGAAATCCATATGCAACAAAATGAAACTGAATCCCTTTCTCTCGCCATGCACAAAAGTTAATTCAAAATGGATCAAGGAGCTTGATATCAAATCAGAGACACGCCATCTGATAGAAGAAAAAGTTGGCTACGATCTACATACTGTGGGGTCGGGCTCCAAATTCCTCAATAGGACACCCATAGCACAAAAGTTAATAACTAGAATCAACAAATGGGACTTACTCAAACTAAAAAGTTTTTTCTCAGCAAAAGAAACAATAAGAGAGGTAAATAGGGAGCCTACATCATGGGAACAAATCTTTACTCCTCACACTTCAGATAGAGCCCTAATATCCAGAGTATACAAAGAACTCAAAAAATTAGACAATAAGAGAACAAACAACCCAATCAACAAATGGGCCAAGGACCTGAACAGACACTTCTCAGAGGAGGACATACAATAATCAGCAAGTACATGAAAAAATGCTCACCATCTCTAGCAGTCAGAGAAATGCAAATCAAAACCACCCTAAGATACCATCTCACTCCAGTAAGATTGGCAGCCATTATGAAGTCAAACACCAACAAGTGCTGGCGAGGATGTGGGGAAAAGGGTACACTTGTACATTGCTGGTGGGACTGCAGATTGGTGCAGCCAATTTGGAAAGCAGTATGGAGATTTCTTGGAAAGCTGGGGATGGAGCCACCATTTGACCCAGCTATTCCCCTTCTTGGTCTATTCCCTAAAGACCTAAAAAGAGCATGCTACAGGGACACTGCTACATCGATGTTCATAGCAGCACAATTCACAATAGCAAGACTGTGGACCAACCTAGATGCCCTTCAATAGACGAATGGATAAAAAAAAATGTGGCATTTATACACAATGGAGTATTACTCTGCATTAAAAAATGACAAAATCATAGAATTTGCAGGGAAATGGATGGCATTAGAGCAGATTATGCTAAGTGAAGCTAGCCAATCCCTAAAAAACAAATGCCAAATGTCTTCTTTGATATAAGGAGAGTAACTAAGAACAGAGTAGGGACGAAGAGCATGAGAAGAAGATTAACATTAAACAGGGATGAGAGGTGGGAGGGAAAGGGAGAGAGAAGGGAAATTGCATGGAAATGGAAGGAGACCCTCAGGGTTATACAAAAGTACATACAAGAGGTAGTGAGGGGAAAGGGAAAAATAATACAAGGGGGACAAATGAATGACAGTAGAGGGGGTAGAGAGAGAAGAGGGGAGGGGAGGGGAGGGGAGGGGGGATAGTAGAGGATAGGAAAGGTAGCAGAACACAACAGACACTAGTATGGCAATATGTAAATCAATGGATGTGTAACTGATGTGATTCTGCAATCTGTATATGGGGTAAAAATGGGAGCTCATAACCCACTTGAATCAAAGTGTGAAATATGATATATCAAGAACTATGTAATGTTTTGAACAACCAACAATAAAAAATAAATAAATAATGCAGAGAGAAGACAGAAAGTTTTAGAAGCTGGCGAGCAGATGTACAGAGCCCTGGAGCTGGTCATTGCCTTGGGTCGGCTGGGAGGAGCGCTGGAAGGCCCCTGCGGGCTCCTCACACACTGGAGGGAGCGGAAAGCGGGGCACCAAGGAAATCTACAAAAGCCGGATCACACAAATCCTAGAGCTCAGCAGCCCCACTCCTAGGTATATATCAACAACACGTGGACCCACGTTCAACAAGACTCTTCGAGAACACTCATGGATGTTTTATACCTAACAGTCCCCAATTTCGAAATTGTCCAAATATCCAACAACTAAAAAATAAAATGTGACATGTTCATGAAGAAGCAGAAGCTAACTACACAGGAGGAAGCTAGCCCTGAGCAACAGAGAGCAGGCGTGAATGAGCACCTGCCACCACTGGGTTCCATGTCCATGAAATTTAACATCAAGCCAAACTCAGACGTGCGTCGTGGGCAACTTCCAACATGGCGCCCGATGATCGCGCTTCGGGGTTTCACGGCCTGGGGGTGCCCTCCCTGTGAGCGTGGGCTGATTTAGTGAGCAGACTGAGGCAAAGGATGCACGTCACCTCCAGAGTTAGGTCGCAAAGTCTCTGGCCTTCCCTTCTCCGTCTTTCCTTTGTTCATTCTGAAGACAGCCAGCTGCCACACCGTAGCCATGCACAAGGCAAGAACCAGGGCCGTCTCTGGCCTGCAGCAGCCAAGAGCAGGGGCAGCAGTCTGACAGTCTGCAAGAAACCGAACCCTCAGCACCACCCTCTGCCCCAGTGGGGCCAGGAGATGCCCCCACCTGGACCAACACCTTGGTTCAGCCTGGGAGAGGCCTGAGCCACGGACCCAGCCACACTTGCATTCCTGACCCACAGGAAGAGGAGAAGACAAATGTTGGTTGTTTCAAGATGCAGGCTGAGCGCTGGGTAAGTTTTTCTGCAGCCATAGATAACGAACACAGATTTAGGGACCAGAGCAGAGTGTCAGTATAACATTTACCTAAAAATGTGGAAGTGGCTTTTGGAACCAGGTCGGGAGAATTTCAAGGACATGACAGGTGGCCTTGAGCAGACTGTTACAGAGATGTAGACTTTGGGGACACTGCCTGTGAGCTCTCGAAAGGAAATGAGGCAATGAAGGAAGGGGGCCCAGGCTACGCAGCAGCAGAGGCTCCGCGCTGTCTTCTGCAGCCCTGGGGAAAACCCCATGGGCTGGGTCCAGCTCAGGAGGTCTCCCACAAAGTGTGGAAGGAACTGCCTGGTTCTTCTCACATGGGAGAGACTAATGGGGAGAAGAACCGTGAAATCAGAAAGAACCAGGCCAGGTGGGGTGGTGGACGCCTGCAATCCCAGAGACTTGGAGGCTGAGGCAGGAGGACTGCAAGTTTGAGGCCAGTCTAAGCAACTTCGCAAGGGCCTAAGCAGCTTGTGAGACTCTCCCTCAAAAAAGGGCTGCAGGATGTGGCTCAGTGGCTGAGTGACCCTTAGGTACCAAAACAAACAAATAACCACAAAAAATATAAATAACAACTCATATCATGTACGACCACAAGAATGGGATCAAAATTGGAATGGGTTGCACTCCATGTAGGTAAAATGTGTCACAACACACCCTACTGTCACGTATACCTAAAAACACTAAGTGGAAAAAGAAAGAAAGAAAGAAAAGAACTGGGACATTTGAAGAGCTTGGGAATTCACAGCTCTCCAAAAGCAAAAGATCCAAATTCAGGAATGGCTTCAGAGCCCCTCTCAAATTCAGGATATTGCCAGATAAATAACTCCTGATTCTCCAAGAGTGTGATCCCACAGACTTTGTTAGAATCCACAAAGATGAGGGCGGTGCCTCCAAGCCCTAGTCAGTCATACAGAGAAAGAAATCCTCTGAAGAGCTTCCCGTCTCCTCAGGACGCGGGAAGTTCAAGGTGCACTTCACAGGGGGGCGGAGGGCTCACCTGGGAGAAATGGGTGGGGTCTTTCTTCCTGGGAGGCAGTGAACCCCGCCCAGTGAGCTTCCCAGGAGGCCACAGGGTTCTGAGGGGACTACTTTAGCAGAACCCTGGCAGCTCAGACGGCCTGGCCCAAAGGCACGGGAACGGAAGGCAGGGAGCCCCAGATCTGGCCACACAAGCAAGGCCTCCCGCCTGAGAGGATGGAGAGGCACAGGAAGGGCCGGCCGAGGTGGAGCCGAGAGCCAGGAGGCCTGTCCCTGGGTTAGGCTCCCCAGGCCTTCAGACCAGAGGCCCCAGCAGGGCACCTCCCAGCCCAGCCCAGCCACCCCAACAGTGGTGAGGCCCGTGCTCCCCCTCCCACACCCCGCCCACCCCTCTCTACCACCTCTTCTCTCTCATGAGAGCTGGGGAGTAGGGCCCAGATGCCCACCTGCCGTGTCCTCCTAAATCCCACAGCCAGAGGGACCCGCGTGTGCTCCCGTCTCCTCCTCCCCCAAGTTTTTGTGCCTGTTTCGCACCAGAGGACAGACCTCAGACCCCTGTAAGCTCACTGCACCTCTGTGAGGTGGGAGCTTCGGGATAAATAAGGCTTCATGGGTAAGGCTGTCTGTCACCTCAGGCCACATGGCTGGGACATGCAGGAGGCAGGGCTGCAACACTGCTCCACTCCTCTGCCCCCTCCCAACCCCAAGTCAACGAGCAATGCCAGCCTCTGTGTGCATGGCCCTGGCACCCCACACGTGAAACCCCAATACCCCCAGGTGTGCGAGGCCCAGCATTCCCAGGTGTGCGAGGCCCCGGCACCCGTAGGTGCACAAGGCATTTTTGTTGGGATTCTCACCTGCCCTTATGCACACCCCTCAAGGCCACCGATGGTTAGGTCATGCCCACTGCATGTTTGAGGTAACCGAGTCTCAAGAAGCAACCTGGCCTGCCCATGGCCACACTGCTGAGAGTGTGGGTGACCGTGTGTCTGAGACGACATCCGTTCCTGGCCTGGCCTTTCACTGTCCAGTCTTCTCACTAATCAAGCCAGGAGCCCCTCCTGTGGACCCTTCTGACGGGGGTGGGGGGAGACTAGGGGCAAGGACAGAATTGGCACCACTCACCTGAGCTATCAAGTCTCCGTTTTCCGCGTGGACCAAGATCAGAGCTCCCAGCCCCTTGAGGAAGGTGAAGGCTTCGTAGAGCTGAGGAGGGACACGAGGGGTGGGTGTGAGAAGGGAGCACCACGCGCACAGTGGTCCACGGCAGCAGGGGTGCTCCACTCCCCACTCAAGGAGAGGCGCTTCCCTTGGCCCTGACGCCTTCCAGACCCGAAAGCAGGAGCTGGGGTGAGGCAGAAGCTACGGCCTGGGGACACCCCTGGTCTCCTGCCTTGGGCCTCCTCCCGGCCTCTCCTCCTCCTCCTCCCCTTGGGCTGCCTGTGCTCCTGGGGACACCTGGTACAGGCAGTCCTCTTTGGTTTCACGGCGACTGTGTACCTGAGCCTGCTCAGCCTGTGCCGCAGGAGATGTGTGATTCTTTTCAAAAACTCCAGCACCCGCCGTGCGGGGAGGGAACTCTGAACTCAGACAACAGAGGCTGGGCCAGCATCGTGCCAGTCCACCAGGGAGGCCTTGCCCCTGCCTGACATCTCCCTACCCAAGAAGAGCCCGCCCTGCTGAGGATCAAGACCACCAAGCTCCCTCTCCAAGACACCTGAATTTCAACTCTGTTCTCCATGAACAAGATAACACCCAGGAGTACCCTTATGGATTCAGACAGCAGGTGAGGGGGACTCCTGGGGGCTTGAGGGGCTTTTGAGGACCCTGGTCCAGAGGCCACAGGACTCCATCCATGCCCAGGGCTTCAGTGGAACCAGTGTTGGACAGAAACAGCTGAGAATCAGCTACCTGGTGCGTCACGTGCCCCTCTTTCCACGACAGAACCAACCTTCAGCTTTCGGAACACCCTCTGCAGGCTGCAAAGGCCTCCGGGCATCCTGGGCAAGTTACTTTTCTAACCCCTGTTGTCCATCTAGCTCTAGGGCAATAAGGAGTGATCACCTCCCAACACCTGGGTCGTGCCGTTGTGCGTCAGGCACTGTCCTGGCAGTTCTCCTGTCTGCATCACTCAATCCTCCACAATCTCCACCAGGCAGGTGCTATTATGAGCTTGAAGCCCAGAGAGGCTGGGAAAGTGGCTCCAGGCTGCACAGCAAGGGCCAGGCTGGCTCTACCGTCCATGGCTCCCTGTGCCACACTAGCACGCAGGGAAGAGGGAAAGGAGAGGAAACCAAGCCAAGAGATCCCACAGTGAGGAAGTCCAGGTGGCTGGTAAGCAGTCCCCTGTCCCTGCAAACAGCTCGCGGCAGCACCCCACTCTGTTGCTGGCACCCACATAATGACTGAAACTGGCAGGCCTGAGGCTTTGCATCTTCTGGATGAGAAAACTGAAACGAAGTGACGTGCCCAACATCTTGGGTTGGCTTGAGGGAAGCCAGGGCCAGTGCCATCGTCCCCAACCTTGCTCAAGCCAGCGCCAGCCGGGAGCTTCCAGGAAGCACATTTCCCGAGCCCCTCTGCCCGTGCGCCCAGCTCTGCAGGCTAATGGCACTGAGATGCAACAATATGAGGAACCATCGACCAGGGCTCCTGTTCCACTCCAGAGTGAGAAAGGAACCCAGACCTGAGGGGCGACTGCACTTAGTGCCACCAGCAGGGCCTGAGCCCCAGCCTCCCTGCCAGCCCTGACTCCTCTGTCCTGTGCCAGGTGACAGGCTGGGGTGGCCCAGAGCTGCCAGGTGAAGAGGAGTGGGGCCTACCTGGCTGTCGGACATCTGGTAGAGGTCCTTATACGCCATGTAGACTTGGAAGGAGTTGACACCTGTTACAAGATAAGAAGGAAGAGAGAGAACGCATGTCGAAGAGAAAGAAGCAAGCTCTCCCACTAAACCACGATCCCCCGCGCAGCGGAAGCTGTCAGAGAGAAGCCGCCACGGGGACCGCTGTGAGGGTGGCCAACAGGGAGCCGAGCGTGCAGTAAGGCAGAAATTATGAATCAGTAAGCTGTGGCCAAATTAACTCCTATACCCTGGCACTGGTTCCCAGAGCAGGGATATAGGGCAGCGCTGTCTTAGGTTAGAAATCACCACTAAAAAGTCGAGGTAGGTCTGACTCCTTACGAATGGGAACCTACACGTCAGTTAATTCTTAAATACTTCAGAATAAAATAACAAAGAACCAACATGATAAATATACCAGCAACAAATTTAACAGCTTTTTAAAATCAAGAGACAGTGGTGACTTTGGGGGAAGGAGACGTCACTGCAAGGAGGAAGGAAAGAGCCTGTGGGACGGCTGGCAGAGCCCCACTTGTCTGGGGTGGGTGAGCTCGGAGCAATTCGTAAAGTCACGTGTTCATCTATCTATTCTATTAAACAAGACCAAAACAAAAGCAAAGGAGCCAGAAAACAAAATCCAAAAGCGAACTGTTATTTTTGGACATTTTAAGAAGAAAGCTCATGCCTGACTAATAAAGAAAAGATTCGGTCCTCAACCAAACCTCCAGAATCCACCAAAGCCAGCTCTGCTCCAGGCTCCGTGGGGGCTCAGCTCTGAGGCAGCAGGAGCTCCTCTGGGCGGTCAGCTCGCTCACCCGCCCTCCAGTTCTCCTTTCCTCCTCTCCTAGCCACACAGTAACCCTGGCAACAGCCACCTTCATGCGATGTGACCCTGAATCACATCCAGGGATGAGTACCTGGCAGACGCTAGGCTGAGCCAGGAGGGACAGGACACAAAGGACACCTGGATGACCTCTAACACGGAGACAAAGCAGGGGCCAAGCCAAGAGAGGTCCAGGGGACAGGAAGGGCACAGCTGGCTCATGGAGGAGGACGAGACAAGCAGGGAGGAGAGGCCTCGGCACAGGGTCCTAGGCCCGTCTCCAGCACTGAGGCAAACCTGCTCCCCCGGGCCCAGCGCAGCTCCAGGAGGACCTGCTGTCTCTGGGTCACACTGGACTCTCCAGCAGTACCCCAGTCTCCCCCCCACAGGTCTTCCTGCAGCTTTTGACAAGATCATGTGCATCAAGACACTCAAGAGGAGAAGCAGGAGCGCCTCCCCCAGGGGTCCCGGAGCCTTCTCCAGGGAGTGCTTATGTTCTCACCCAGCACATCGTTACTGAGTACCTCTGTGTGCAGACTAGAGCTAGACACTCCTGTTGACAGGCAGGCTGGGCCTGTCCGCCTTCTGGTGGGAATGATGAGCAAGGGGCAACTACATCGATGATCCTGCCAGGCAGAGACGTCAAGTCTGTCATGTCTTGGGAACTCACAAAGCCTTCACGGCAACTCCCATCAAGAATCAGATCGACCTCCCACCCTAGAACCTGGGTGGTCGCACGACTTGCTCTGACCCACTTCACGAGTTCCTGGCACAGGCCACAAGGACTAGCCACTGGCCCAGCTGCCCCAGCAGAGGCCGAGGCACAAACAAGACAGGTGTGAACAGCAGAACTGTCCAACTGAGCCCCAACCAATGTGCCCACCCACGGAGCTGGGAGCAAATGAACAATAATTGCTGCCTTTCATTACCTGTGGTACCGCTGTGGTTTGGAGGTGAGGTGTCTCCCAAAAGCTCAGGTGTTAGGCAATGCAGGAATGCGGCTGAAATGATTAGGTTATGAAAGCTGCCTCACCAGTGGATTGATCCATTTAGTGGATTAATCATCTGAATGGACTTCTGGGTGGTAACTGTAGGCAGGTGGAGTGTGGCTGGAGAAAGGAGGTCACTGGGGCATGTCCACGAGGATTACATTTTGCGCCTGGATCCCTGTCCCTCTCTACTTCTTGGCTGCCCTGAGCTGAGCCGCTTTGCTCCACCACGCCCTTCCGCCATGATGTTCGCCTCACCTCACCCAGAGTAACGGAGTCAGCCAGCCATGGACTGAGCCTTGACACTGTGAGCCTGAGGGACCTTCTCCTCCTCTAACTTGTTGGGTCAGGCACTTTGACTTCAGGGGAAAGAGCAGAGTGACACAGATACAGCAAAAACGCAAAAGTCACCATCTTAACCATCTGAACATGGTTAAGTGCTGTTGAGGGGCATTAAGGATACACAGTCCTGTGCAGCCATCATCACCATCCACCTCGGGAACTCTCTCAGCTGTCCCCGTTAAACACTAGCTCCCCACCTCCCTCCCTCTAGCCCCTCTCATTCATTCCCATCTCTGTGAATTCAACTACTTTAGGTGCTTCCCATAAATAGGATCCTGTGATATTTGCCCGCGTGACTGCATCATCTCACTGGGTGTAATGCTCTCCACTGCTCGTCCAGGCTGCAGCACGTATCAAAATCCCCTTTAAGGCTGCGCAATATTCCTCCACACAGTGTGTACATTTTGCTCATCCATTCACCGGCTGCTCCTACCTCTTGACCGTCGTGAACAATGCTGCTACGAACATGGACGTACAAGTATCTCTGAGCGTCTGCTTTCAGTTCTTTAGGGTACCTATCCAGAGGCAGAACTGCTGGATCACATGGTGACTTTATTTTTAACATTCTGGGGACCCACGTACTGTTTTCCGCAGAGGCTGTACCATTCTACATCCCTCCGCAGGTGCACAAAGGGTCTCATTTCGACACCTGTCATTCTTCGGTGTTTTTTTAATATTGCACCTGCCCTGAGCGTGACGTGGTGTCTCACAATGGTTTTGCAGTTGCAGCGTTTATAATGCAGACTCGCTGTACAGAAGCTGGTGCCTAGGCTGCGTCTTGTGGTGGCCAGAACCTAAAACATGTGGCAGTGGTTTGGGGACGACTGGTGGGAGGGACACAGAAGAGTGACAGGAACTACTGGCAAAGACTGGAGAAAAGCAAATGAACCATGAGCAGAGTGAATGGGGGTGGCCTGGACTAGGGAGCAGCAAACTGGAAACATCGCGGGGGGGGGGGGGCGTGGATAAAACTTCCCCAGGGTAATAGAACGCACTGTGAGTCTAGCTAAGATGGTTTTCAGGAATCATGTTTAAAGCGTCACAGGGCTTCTGTAAGCTGTGCACGACGAGGTTCAAGGCAACGGCAATGAAAGGGGACCAGGGTGAGGAAGACAGAGGGAGCGTTCCGTCTGCAGGATTCGGGGGCCATGCAGGAGGCCCACAGAGGCTGAGCTGGACTCAGGACTGCTTCCCGTCTCTGCCCGACCAACCCACAGGCAATTCCCAGAAGTACAACATGTCTTCAGGGTCAAGTTCCTCACTTCAAGGGTGCAGCTACAGAGCAGCTGGCAAGCTTCCTCCACTAGACAAAAGGGCTTCCAAGACTCCGACAGATCCTGTCGGCACGGTGGCCGTCACCTAAAACAGACTGGACTCCAAAACCATCTCCCCAATGCAGTGGACTAGAATCATACCTTGGAAACCCACAGAGTTTTTAAGAAAGTTGTATCACCTTCTAAAAGACACTGAGACGGGTCAAAAGGAAAGGGGCCTCTGGGCTGCCAACCTTCTGTGGGTACAAAAGGCTGGGACAGCGGCAGATAGGGCGCAACAGAGTGAGGTCGCGGTGGAGGCTGCCTCTGCAGGACAAAGGCCAGAGTCAGGCAGCACCTAGGACCCGCCGGGCTGGCAACTGTTTTAAGCCTTGGGGTCGCAGACGGTCTCTGACACGTATTTTTGTTATTGTTTGATTGTTTTGCTTTATTTAAAAACCTTTAAGAATGTGAAAGACATGCCCAGTTTCAGGGCAGTGCAATGGCAGTCCATGGCCAGATTTGACCCCTGGGCTGTACAAAATTTTGTTGGTCTCTAAACTTGGGCACTTCTCCCAAGGAGGACAGCTGGGCCCCGGGGGAGGAACTTCTCAAAATAGAGTGGAATAGGTGGACTGAGCAGTATGTGCCCAGCTGGATTCCAGAATGTCTACCCATCATGGCAAAAGGGGCCCCCATTTTTTCCCCTTTCTAAGTAAAATCATTCAGCATGCCTAGCCTGTCCCTGTGCCTGTCCCTGTCCACCAGTGCACGGTGGCTGTGAGTAAGGTACAGGCTCTGAATCAAGAGCAGCCACACCCCAGGAGCTCCATGGCAGCCTCTGGAAATGACAAGGTCAGGGATCTGGATCTTGTGCCATCACTGGATGACACTTCTGGGTTGCTGGAGGGCAAGAGCATTCTGCACCTGGGAGGTACACAGAGTAGCATGGCTGCGGCCCTGCCCTGTGGTAGATGAGATGCCATCATTCTCAGGTGCTTTCTGTCAGGAGGCGAATCCCTCCTCCCACCCCGCTAACCTGGGCGGCTCTTGTGACTTGCTCTAATCACTGCAGTGCTGCCTGAGCCCCAGCTGAAGCTGCAAGGGCCCTTCAGCCTCTCTGCCTGCTCTTTTGGAACACTGCCCGCTGGGAAGGAGTCCTAGAGGGCCACTGGAAGATGAGAGATGGTGCATGGAGCCACCCAGCAGTCCCAGGTGAGATGCAAATGCTCAAGTGAGCCTGGGAAAGATACAAAAAGCTGCTCAACGGAGCCCAAACTGCCAATCAACAGAATATTAGCGACTGCTGTCTTAATCCTGAGATTCGGGGTAGGTTATTACACAGCAAGGCTAGCTGATACACAGAGCAGCATGATAAACAATGAGAATCCCCAAAGAAAGATCCAGGAGGTTCATGCCAAAGAGCATGATACCACTGCCCTTGCACTGCTGCTCCCAATAAGCAAGTATCTGGCCCCTAGGAGGCTCCCAGGCACCACGAGTTCCTTTCCTCTTTACTACAACTTGCTTCTTCACCTCTTAATGACTTCTAAATTAAAGTCTCTCTTTTGAGAATGAGCTGCTGCTGACATCCATCAAAACTGAAGATTAATATTAACAGTGGTTGAGGTCCGCGG